AAATTAGAAATCTTTCATATGAAGAAAGATTAACAAAGCTTAAGTTGCATTCACTGGAAAGGCGAAGAGTTAGGGGTGACATGATAGAGGTTTACAAGTGGATGAATGGACATAACCGGGGGGATATTAATAGGGTATTAAAAGTATCAACACAGGACAGAACACGAAACAATGGGTATAAATTGGATAAGTTTAGATTTAGGAAAGACTTGGGTAAATACTGGTTCAGTAACAGGGTTGTTGATTTGTGGAACCAATTGCCGCGTAACATTGTGGAGGTGGGGTCCCTCGATTGTTTCAAGCACGGGTTGGACAAGTATATGAGTGGGATTGGGTGGTTATAGAATAGGAGCTGCCTCGTATGGGCCAACAGGCCTTCTGCAGTTGCCTTTGTTCTTATGTTCTTATGTTCTTAAGTGTAATCTCAGGTACTTCTCGCAGAGCTGCAGCTAAATGGCGCCCATCTGCATTGGCTGGCCCAGTCGCACCTAACTCTTGATGATGAGCATTAAAATCCCCAGCAATAATTACATTTTCCTGCGTGGCCAAGGCAAGCACTGCCTCTGCTTCTAGTTTACGTCTAGGGGGCTTGTAGACGTTGTATATGAGGAGCTCAATGTTAGCCATATTCACTGTTACTGCTAATACCTCTACTCCATCCCCACATGAAACTGAGTCTATTTTCTTGCTGGGTATTGTGTTCCTGACTAGGGTCATTAACCCTCTTTGTCTCCCCTGCTCATACGGTAGAACATAGTGCTGATATCCAGCTAATCTGAAGGTTTTCGTGGCTGGGGAAAGTGTTTCTTCCAAAACGATTATATCTGTTTTCGTGCTGATAGCAGCCTCCTGAAGTGTGTGGTATTTATTTCCAAGACCTTGTATGTTCCACTGCAGTGTTCGTAATGGCCAGACGACGGGTTCGGTTGGTGTTGCTTGTTCTACCAGAACTCCTCCTCGGGATCGACCTCTATATTCTCCACCTCGCAAGTCGTGTCGCTGCATGTCGGACTGCATTGATTGCTCGGGGCTGTTTCTTGTGTTGTTGGAACCTGTGCATCTCTGCTGTTCAATACGTCTTTGTTGGTGTTGTTGCATATCAGACTGTATTGGCTGTTGTTGTCTGTCTCGTGTGTTGTAAGACTGTTGATCTTGGGTGGTCACTGCTTCTTGCAGTTGCTCTTGTGAATGTTGATGTTCTGGTGTCTGGACTACCAGACTGTTGTTGTTGGTAGTCTGTATGTCCATGTTGCCTTGTCCTCTTGTGCTCCGGCTTGTCTCAGACTGTCTATTTCTCGTGTAACTGTGGTCTGGTCTGCCTTGTGCTTGGGTATACAGTCTGTGGTTGGATGTCTCAGGCTGCGCACTCCGCATCTCTCCTGTCCGGAGCAACGTGATTGATGGTGGCCGTATTTCTGGCACCTGAGCTTCACTGGTAATTTAAACAAGATTAACAGACACCATACAGCAGATTGATAGCACATATAACAGCAATGATCACAATGGTAAAGTTGTTCGGATTGGGTACATAAAGATTGGGAGATTGGGTACCAATAGATACAGTACAATTTTAAAGCAACAAGGTAAAAAACTATGAAGATGAAATTAGGAACTTTTTAGTATTGTTTTCGAATGAGGCAAAAGTTGGACAGCTTTTTAATTCATTAGGGAGTGAGTTCCATAGACTGGCTCCCTTTATATGCATAGAGTGTTTACACAGATTAAGTTTGACCCTGGGGATATCAAAGAGGATATCAAAGGACTCTGGGGATATATATATATATACCTCTCAGTGTAGACCTACCCACAAACTGGGGTGATAAATATAGGCCTAAAGCCGCATACAAACTCCAGTATGGGAGAACTGAACATTGTAGCCATATGGCTATAGCCAGGAACAACCCGCCGGCTTCCTGTCCCCGGCGTGGCCACTAAATACATGGTGTTCATCAGGTAAATTCAGGATAGCTCGCCTTCCCTTCACATATATTTATATATGAATTATATCAATGTTTCTCGACTCCCAATAACAATAAAGAATTAAATGACAGAAAACGGAGTTTCTTATTTTAAGGTAAACTTAAGGTGCGCGAAGTTTTCTTTGTATATATGTACTGAGCGGCCTGTATATGGCTCCTTAATAAACTAATTATGCTAACTACAACAGTTTTCTACATCACAAGTTGACGCCCAGGATATACCCACTGATCTCTTTACATTATATAACCCAATAAATATATACATATCCTATTATTTATTAATATATTATGACAAAGAGCAATATGCATGAAAATTATTGTTCACCCAAAACATATAGAAAATGGACAATATATTACAATTCTTTAGTTTAATAAAAGATTAAAACAAGTCTTATCAAAAATGGCTTTTTATTTATGTAAACTTAAAATTAAAAAATTATTTTAATTTGATAGTTTTGACAAATTAAAATAAAAAATTGAATATATTATATGTTTATATATTTAACGACTATATAAGTAATAAAAAAAAATATATTATTTAATAATGTTTTTCCCAATGAATGTTCTTAATTACCAAATATTTTAATATATTTTATAGAATATTTTTAAACGCACAAATGTGTGATCATTGCTTAACTCATTGAAAGAAAACATGAGATACCAGACACGACGCTTCTCAGAGTATATCCTTAATGGTGTTCCAGTAAGCTGTTGTGGTGGGTGAGTAACTCTCCAGAGGTTGGTAGTCCTTATTAACTCTCCAGAGTTAGTCCTTACTCTCCAGAGGTTGGTAGTCCTTATTAACTCTCCAGAGTTAACATTATTAACACTCCAGAGGTTGGTAGTCCTTATTAACTCTCCAGAGTTAACATTATTAACACTCCAGAGGTTGGTAGTCCTTATTAACTCTGGAGTGTTATTCACCCACCACAACAGCTTACTGGAACACCATTAAGGATATACTCTGAGAAGCGTCGGGTCAACTTTCCCAGGTTTTCTCCCCATGAATTAAGCCAATAAACGCACCCAAGTGTGTCTAAAAATATTATAAAAGGAAAACACTGAAGCTAATGTTATTTTCTTCTCCTTGAAATACGTATATTATTTCTTTAAGTTTTGTTTATACTTACATTACTATTAATTATATAAACATACATTATTCTTGGACTTTCCTTTTTATTTGTGAAAATTAATGAAATAAAATTATATTTATTTTTTAATTAATTGTAAGGAAAAAGCTCGTTTGTTTAACAATTATTTTATTTTGTTATTTAATTTAATATTTGTAATATGGCAGCCATTTTTTATAGGTTTTGGGATGACAAAATTGTTCATGCATGTTGCTCTTTGTCTTATTATATTAATTAAAATTATATTATGCAAAATTAATGTAAAGAGATCAGTGGGTATAATCTGGGCATCAACTTGTGGCGTAGAAAACTGTTGTAGTTAGCATAATTAGTTTATTAAGGAGCCATATATAGGCCGCTCAGTACATATGACAAAATAGTATATTGTATATTTTGATTTATATATATATATATTTATATAGTATATTTTGATATTCCTAGAGTACGACTTAAGCAAACTAGAAATGCTCTACAAATCAAGGGGCCCAGAATGTGGAATGACCTTCCCAACCATGTTAAAGACTGTACCTCTCTCAACCAGTTTAAGATAAAAACGAAGCTATACCTAATAAATTCCCTGTAACCTACCTTACCCTTCTATTGTCAACCAATGTCTGTTATTTATTTATTATTATTTTTTTAATCAATACTGTTTGTCAACCTATTGTATTTGTGCTGCTTTTTCAGTCATGTTCCCCCTTTTTTTTATCTTTATTTGTATTTGTTCTCAACACTTTTTATTCTTTATGCTCAATTAGTATTAAGTTCTAGATATTAATGTTTTTCTTGCCTGAAACGCTTTGCGTAATAGTGGCTTTAGGCATTGTATGTACTAGCTCTATCTATAAAGCCAACAAACTTTGTAAAATCTCTTTATGTATGTACCTTACCTAAATACAAATTATTATTATTATTATTATTATTATTATTATAAAGAATTAAATGACAGAAAACGGAGTTTCTTATTTTAAGGTAAACTTAAGGTGCGCGAAGTTTTCTTTGTATATATGTACTGAGCGGCCTATATATGGCTCCTTAATAAACTAATTATGCTAACTACAACAGTTTTCTACATCACAAGTAGACGCCCAGGATATACCCATTGATCTCTTCACATTGTATAACCCAATAAATATATACATATCCTATTATTTATTAATATATTATGACAAAGAGCAATATGCATGAAAATTATTGTTCACCCAAAACATATAGAAAATGGACAAAATATTACAATTCTTTAATTTAATAAAAGATTAAAACAAGTCTTATCAAAAATGGCTTTTTATTTATGTAAACTTAAAATTAAAAAATTATTTTAATTTGATAGTTTTGACAAATTAAAATAAAAAATTGAATATATTATATGTTTATATATTTAACGTCTATATAAGTAATAAAAAAACAAATATAATTTAATTATATATTTCCCAATGAGTGCAACAGGAATTATATGTATTATCTCAACCTATTAAATATATTTTTAAACACACAAATGTGTGTTCATTGGTTTAATTCATTGAAAGAAAACATGAGATACCAGACACGACGCTTCTCAGAGTATATCCTTAATGGTGCTCCAGTAAGCTGTTGTGGTGGGTGAATAACACTCCAGAGTTAACCTTATTAACCCTTCAGATCCCTATAGGCTTATACGTAACTATAAATAACCCTATAGGAATCTGCTCTCCATTTATTAATCAAAAACTTGATTCTCACCGTAACGAGTGTGAAAACATGTTGATGATATCAACCGGTTTATCTGATATGTGATCCCGATAGTGTGTTGATAACCATGTTGTCACCGCCACCTGAGGTACGGTACGATCCATCACCACGCCCACATTACCGTATCTCCTCTAGTGACACTTATCATACATACTGACGCATACCTCGCATATCACACCGATAAGAGATGCGTGTGTGTATATAAGTGAGTGTATGGCTCCATATAAGTCAGTCTCCGCTGACAAGAGGTGGGGGATACGTGCTTTGTAACTGCTCACTGTTTTCTGTTGCTGTGATTATCTTCTGAGTCTTTTTGAGGTATTTATTTACACCCTCTTTATTAAAAGAGGGTGTTTAAAGTTATTATTGTTGGTAGTGATGATATTTATATTATATCTTTAAGTTTTTTCATTATTTGTATAACTTTTGTTATCTATATTTTACATTAATTTTGCATAAATTTGTATTAATTTCCAAATAATTGCTATTCACAATATTTAGGCCAGTGCTTCAGTCGCTTAATGTGTGTATTTTATTTAAGATTAACGATATTGTTTGTAACTTGCGAATAACTAAAAAAAATTACTTTATAACTTAATTAATTTATTAGCATAAAGCTAAGCAATTGCTCTTAGCTCCTTGCTGCTAGTAACTGTGAAACTCTACCATTTGAACAAACTTTTGATAACACTTATTATAACTATAATTATCTTTGTCATAGACCGGAAAAAAAAAAAAAAAAAAATATATATATATATATATATATATATATATATAATATATATATATATATATATATATATATATATAATATATATATATATATATATATATATATATATATATATAATATATATATATATATATATATATATATATATATATATATATATATATATATATATATATATATATATATATATATGTATATATATATATATATATATATATATATATATATGTATATATATATATATATATATATATATGTCGTACCTAGTAGCCAGAACTCACTTCTCAGCCTACTATTCAAGGCCCGATTTGCCTAATAAGCCAAGTTTTCCTGAATTAATATATTTACTATAATTTTTTTCTTACGAAATGATAAAGCTACCCTTTTCACTATGTATGAGGTCAATTTTTTTTTATTGAAGTTAAAATTAACGTAGATATATGACCGAACCTAACCAACCCTACCTAACCTAACCTAACCTATATATATAGGTAAGGTTAGGTTAGGTAGCCAAAAAAAGCTAGGTTAGGTTAGGTTAGGTAGGTTAGGTAGACAAAAATACATTAATTCATGAAAACTTGGCTTATTAGGCAAATCGGTCCTTGCATAGTAGGCTGAGAAGTGAGTTCTGGCTACTAGGTACGACATATATATATATATATATATATATATATATATATATATATATATATATATATATATGTCGTACCTAGTAGCCAGAACGCACTTCTCAGCCTACTATGCAAGGCCCAATTTGCCTTAAGCCAAGTTTTCATGAATTAATTGTTTTTCGACTACCTAACCTACCTAACCTAACCTAACCTAACCTTTTCGGCTACCTAACCTAACCTAACCTATAGAGATAGGTTAGGTTAGGTTAGGTAGGGTTGGTTAAGTTCGGTCATATATCTACGTCAATTTTAACTCCAAAAAAAATTTACCTCGTACATAATAAAATGGGTAGCTTTATCATTTCATAGGGAAAAAATTTAAGAAATATATTAATTCAGGAAAACTTGGCTTATTAGGCAAATCGGGCCTTGCATAGTAGGCCGAGAAGTGCGTTCTGGCTATTAGGTACGACATATATATATATATATATATATATATATATATATATATATATATATATATATATATATATATATATATATATATATATATATATATATATATATATATATATATATAAAGTATCCATATAGCAACAAAATGAAAAAAATAGACATTTATAAGCGTGGGTTCATCTTGACCTACGACAATAAGTCATGGGTTCGTATCCTGGCCGGGGAGGATTGACTGGGCGTCAATCCTTAACTGTAGCCTCTGTTTACGCATCAGTAAAATGGATACCTGGTTGTTAAACGATTTGGCGGAGTTGTATTCCTTAGAACATTAAGATTGAGGACCTGTCCAAAACGCTATGCGTACTAGTGGCTGTACAAGAATGTAAGAACTTGTATATACATGTATATAAATACAAAAAATTTAATTCAATTGAATGTTGATTACTGTGATCACCTCTCGAATGAATATTTTATTTATATATACAAGAGTTGTTTATTCTTATACAGCCACCAGCACACACAGCGTTTTGGGCAAGATTCAGGCAGGCCTACACAAACTACTAATGGGCCAGGCATTCGTACTAACGGAATGACCGTTCGTACCAACGGAATGGCGTTCGTACTAACGGGACAGCGTTCGTACTAACGGAATGACCGTTCGTACCAACGGAATGGCGTTCGTACTAATGGGACAGCGTTCGTACTAACGGAATGACCGTTCGTACCAACGGAATGGCGTTCGTACTAACGGGACAGCGTTCGTACTAACGGAATGACCGTTCGTATCAACGGAATGGCGTTCGTACTAACGGGACAGCGTTCGTACTAACGGAATGACCGTTCGTACCAACAGAATGGGCGTTCGTACCAACGGAACTGCGTTCGTACGAGTCATTCACTAGGTAACTGAATTATTGCAGTTACTCGTATTTGTACTCGTTCGTGTAGACATGTTACTGAATCCGACTCTTAATGAACAGGACGCAATCTATCAGCTTCGAGCCTGCCTGCTCTCTTGTATCATATATAACTGCAGCTTGTAATTGGTTGAAACTTTGATCATAGCTGTTATATTTGGTAACCTTTGTGTTATGTCCTCTAGAACGACCACTTCCTAGGACGACCACCTCCCAGGACGACCAGAGGGACAGCGCAATGACCGACTCGGTCAAGTTTACCATTAATGGCGTCCAGTATGAAGGTGAGGCAGTGTAAGGGTGAGGCAGTGTAAGGGTGAGGCAGTGTAAGGGTGAGGCAGTATGAGGGTGAGGCAGTGTAAGGGTGAGGCAGTATGAGGGTGAGGCAGTGTAAGGGTGAGGCAGTAAGAGGGTGAGGCAGTGTAAGGGTGAGGCAGTATGAGGGTGAGGCTTCTCCAACAATGGTGGAAAAAGCAAGAAAGAATGTACACTTTCCCTACACCACATGATATTTGGTCTCGTCTCCAACAGTGGGAGGAGAGGTGAGCGCCAGCACTTCTCTCCAACACTTCCTCCACCAGCAACTCCTCACAGGCACCAAAGGGACGTGTTATGAGGGAGGTTGTGGGTCTTGTACAGTGGTGGCGGCTCTACAGGACCCCGACATTGGTGAACTGAGGACTGGAGCCGTCCACAGTGTGAGTGCAAGAATGTCATTTAAAGTGAATTTATTATATTGTTTTTCATATATAATTATCTTAATTGTGGTGTTTTTTTATCTTTTTTATGTGTATAGTTTTATCTGATTTTAAATAATATGAAACTTGTAATAATTGAGTGTGGGATAACATTATTGTTATTCCATTAAATGCTTAAAATTACTTTTAAAATACTAGAACGGAATATTTCATAAATTGGAGAAATCGTTTAGAAAAGTCTTAGGAAAAACCTGACGACAAAAAATCCACACATAAAGAAAATCCATAAATGATAAAAATCCTAGATGACAAAAACCCCTAAATGACAAAAAAATCCCTCGATGGCAAAAAAAACCTAGATGACAAACAATCCCTAGATAAAAACAATCCCTAGATGACAAAAATCCTTAGATGACAAAAAATCCCTATATACCAAAAATCCCTAGATGACAAAAATCCTTAAATGACAAAAAAATCCCTATATACCAAAAATCCCTAGATGACAAAAATCCCTGGATGACAAAAACCCCAAGATGAAAAAATCCCAAGATAAGATGTACTTTGCCTTATAGTGCCTGGTGCCAGTGCTAGCCTGCGAGGGGTGGCAGATCACTACCGTTGAGGGCCTCGGGAACCGCCATGATGGACTTCACGTCATACAAGACACTCTGGCCTCCAAGTCCGGCTCTCAGTGTGGCTACTGCTCCCCCGGCATGATCATGAACATGTATGGGTGAGTACATATTTACCTGAATTTAAGGCCACCATCTCTCTCTAGGGGTCTCGGCGGGACACACGAAGCCGACGACTTGTCAGAGGTCTGCCTCATTGTTAATGGGGGACGTTTTCCAACTAGATTTTCATCTGAAGTAATGTTTTGGCAATTACAACTTTGGTGGGTAGCCGATTCCATGAGTTTATAACCCTATGGGTAAAAAAAAAAAACATGTTTTCTGTGCTATACTGTGGCTTGTTGAGTCAAAGCTGTTCCCCTTGTGTGAGTTACATCTGACCTTTTAAAGAAGTTGTCTGGATTAATATCACCAAAATTTTAAAAGGTATAAATGAGATCAACCCAGTCTGGTTTGCTCTCAACCATGTTTATACTCTGAATATGAACCAGGGTCCTGTAGATGTCTCGCACCATGCATGGGTGAATATGTTGGACGTGTTTAAAGTCAGACACGATTCAGGGTTCTGTAGACGTCTCGTATCATGTATGAATCCTTGTGGGACTGCTCCCACAGTGGTGTCAGTGTAAATTCTTGACCAGCTGGTCTGAGGTCACCCAAATTGCATGAACCAACAGGTCAGAGGTCACTAAGGGGGGCCTAAACCCTGGTCAGAGGTCACCAGAACACCTGTACCATCTGTTAAACCCTATAACCGACTACCTTTCCACCATCTATCGCAGACTGACGCAGCAGAAAGCCAGCTGGACAGAACAGGACGTCGAGGACCACATCGACGGAGGGAACTTGTGTCGATGTACGGGCTATCGACCTATCCTCGACGCCTTCAAATCCATCCCCGTTGCTGACATAGAGGTACTTCCCTACCTTCAAACATCAAGTTCTCCTTTTTAGGTTACATTTTATGTAAACAATGTGTAGTTATTCATGTGACGGTCACGTAATGACGGTAATGTTGTTGACTCGAATGACACTCAAGATGGTGAGAATGAGAACAATTATGATGTCATTGCAGTCATCACACCTGGTTCGCTGTCCGAGGACGGGTCAGCCTTGTAAAGGACGCTGTCAACCCCCTACGGTAACGTAAACTTTCCTTTCCATTGTAAACTTAACCCTTAAACTGCTAAGCTATTTAAAAGTCCTACATTCAGGTGTTCATGTCGAGAAAGCATTGAAACCCCCCCAAGGATCAATCACATATGGTGATTGGTGTACCGGGAGGAAATTACAACATTAGCAGTGTAAGGGTTAAGCAGTTAGTAAAGTTGATATGAGAGTTGACATGCATTAGTATGTGGGGAAAACAGCTTTATGCAATGTTTGTGTGTGTTGCAGGTGACTGGAGGTGGAGAAGTGGCGGGAAGGAAGGGTTCTGGTGGGACCACTAAGGAGATTGTCCTCAAGGATGCTGTGTGGTACAGCCCGGAGACCCTCGAGGTGAGACGGAAATGGTAATCCATATCTTCCATCACCACTACTACTGTCACCACACCCATCACCATTACCACTACTGCTACGACTACCATTATCATCACTGTTACCACCACCACCACCACACTAACTACCACCTACTGCCACCCACCACCACATTAACTACCACCCACCACCACCACTACCACACTAACCACTCTTCTCTCCACCAGGAACTCAACACCATCTTGGCCGACCTTGACCCAACATCAACCTACCGACTGGTGTGTGGAGACACCCTTAAAGGTAAACATACCTATCTACTTATTTACCTATCTACCTGTCTACCTCTCCCTCACTCTCTGACTCTCCTTCTCCACCCTCAGCCGTCTACAAGAACGAGGGGCCCTACGACGCCTACATCTACACCAGGAAGATCCCGCAGCTCTCAAGAGTGGTGGCTGCGGCGGACGCTGTGGTGGTGGGCGCCAACGTTTCCATCAGCAGACTGCTGGAGGAGCTGTCTGCTGTGGCCAGCAGCCTCTCCGGGTACTCCTACCTCGCTAGCATCGTCAGCACCTGGAGGGCCGTCGCCAGCACCTCCCTCAGGAATGTTGGTATTCTTGAAATTGTTTTGTGTTTGGCAGTGTTCTAAGGCAGTACGTTCTTGACTCACATTCGTCCATTCCGGGTTCGAACCCCCTCCCAGGGCATGACTGAATTGGTGGGGAAGTGTTTCATATTACTTAATACCCCCCCTCTCTCTCCCCCCAACAGCTGGGCAGCTGGGGCGGCAACATTGCAGGCAAGATGCAACATAAGGAATTTGCTTCTGATATCTTTATTGGTCTCCTCGTAGCCGGAGCCATTATAACCACTGGTAAGATCATATGAGGTCACCAAGGGTAATCTGAGGTCACTTAGGGTCATCTGAGGTCACTTAGGGTCATCTGAGGTTACTTAGGGTCATCTGAGGTCACTTAGGGTCATCTGATGTCACTTAGGGTCATCTGAGGTCACTTAGGGTCATCTGAGGTCACTTAGGGTCATCTGAGGTAACTTAGTGTCATCTGATGTCACTTAGGGTTATCTGAGGTGACTTAGGGTCATTTAAGGTCATCTGAGGTCACTTAGTGTCACCTGAGGTCACTTAGTTTCACCTGAGGTCACTTAGGGTCATCTGAAGTCACTTAGGGTCATCTGAGGTCACTTAGGGTCATCTGAGGTCACTTAGGGTTACCTGAGGTCATGTAGGATCACCTGGTGACCCCTGGGGTCATATAGGACCACTTGGTGACCCTTGGGGTCATATAGGACCACCTGGTGACCCCTGGCTCATCACCAACAATGCTCCTCCTCCAACAGGGGGACCAGACGGCCCTTCAGAGAAGCTGACACTGGAGGAACTGCTGGAGGATGACCTCGTTGGGAAGCGTCGAGTTATACTCGACATGATCCTTCCCCCTCAACCTGAGGACGTTGTCATCAGGACATTCAAGGTGAGAGAGAGAGAGTTTCAACTTTTTTTGTTATTTATATATTTCAAAAACAAATTTCGATTTGCTGTTAGAGCAGGACAATCTCGGCTCAAAATCACTCCCAGATAAATCTGTCTGTATCTGATCCATCCGTCTGTGAACCAGCTACCTGTGACTGCCAACTGCAAGCTTATCCTTCTCCCACAGATCCCCCCACGCCCCAGCAACTCTCACGCCCACCTCAACGCTGGCTTCAGGCTTCAGGTGGACGCCCAAAACGCCCACACCGTCGTTGGTACCCCTGTGCTCGCTTACGGTGGTGTCAACCCCCAGTTTGTAAGTCACAACCCTACAACCACAACTAGTAACAACTCACAACCACAACTAGTAACAACTCACAACCACCAGTAACAACTCACAACACCTCACCACCACCAGTAACAACTCACAACACCCCACCACCACCAGTAACAACTCACAACACCCCACCACCACCAGTAACAACTCACAACACCCCACCACCACCAGTAACAACTCACAACACCCCACCACCACCAGTAACAACTCACAACACCCCACCACCACCAGTAACAACTCACAACACCCACAGGTGCGGGCCACAGCAACAGAAGCAGTGATATCCGGCCAGAGTCTGGAGCAAGAGAGTGTTCTACAGGCAGCCATGGCCGCCCTGGCTGAGGAGATCCAGCCGGATAGTCAGCCTGCTGACGCCTCCCCTCAGTACAGGCTGGCTCTAGCACAGAACCTGCTCTATAAGGTGGGTGACCTGCTGTACATAGGGTGTACATGGGTGTGTCGTAGCCTCTGGAGCCATCCCACGGTAACTGCCTGCCATATGCCTCCCGAGACCATCCTGGGAATCACAATAAGTGTTTATGATTCATTCGCAGACTATCCTGGGAATCACAATGTTTATATATGTTCCCAGACCATCCTGGGAATCACAATGTTTACATTACACCTTTCCAGACCATCCTGGGAATAACAATGCTTACATTACACCTTCCCAGACCATCCTGGGAATAACAATGCTTACATTACACCTTCCCAGACCATCCTGGGAATAACAATGTTTTCATTACACCTTCTCAGACCATCTTGGGAATAACAATGTTTATACTACACCTTCCCAGACCATCCTGGGAATCACAATGTTTACATTACACCTTCCCAGACCATCCTGGGAATCGTGGGGGACGCGGCGGCAGCAAACGTTGCCAGCGGCGCCACAGATCTGGTGCGACCAGTCTCCAGCGGACAACAAAGCTTCGACCAGAACACTGACGTCTGGCCGCTGGCGCAGCCTGTGATGAAGCTTGAGGCTCCTATACAGTGTACCGGTGAGTGTATGACGGTGTATGAGGGTGTAGATGGAGTGTAAAGTCCCACAAACACGGGGAGTAATGGTGAATTAATCCACCAGGAGAGGCGGAGTTTGTGGAGTTCATGGCGCCGGTCGCTAAGGAGCATCATGGATACTTCGTCACCTCCACTATGGCTAGAGCTGCTATTGTGGCGGTGGATCCCTCCCCTGCCCTGGTGAGTGTGTGGATGTGGGGGGGTTGTGAGTGTATGGGGGAGTGAGTGTATGGGGGGGGGGTGAGTGTGTGTGTGTGTGTGTGACCCCACTAACCCCCCACCTCCCCCCACACAGGCCATCCCTGGGGTCATAACCTTCGTGGGGTCAGAGGACATCCCTGGGGTCAACAACATCCACGTCTACTCCGACCCCAACGCCACCCAACCAGTGAGTACTATCCTCCAGTCCCTGACGAAACATTTACATCTTGGCTAGTGATGTTTCACAGCTCATAAACAAACAAAAGCGCTACGATTGGCAAAACATGTAAACATTTCATAAAAGATTGTGTTTACACACTTTCTGAATCCTCCTCTTGCTTGGCCTGTGGAAAAACTACATTGCCGCAGGTTCGATCCTACTGCATAGCCCCGCAATATTATTTTCTCCCTTCCGTGATTGTCTTAAGCGTTTAGGCTATATCTGATGGTTCGTCTATATTCCAGGTGTTCGCTGAGGGTCAGGTGTCGTACTATGGCCAGCCTATAGGCCTAGTGGTGGCCAGCACGCTGGAGGTGGCCAAGATGGCCGCCGGCAAGGTGGTGGTGACCTATGGCGCCGCCCAGACCCCTGTGCTCACTATTGACCAGGCGCTAGAGAACCCTTTGCCGCCCGGTCAATATGACCCCTTTGTGGAGGGCAGCGTGGAGGGTGAGTGGCCCCTTTGTGGAGGGCAGCGTGGAGGGTGAGTGGCCCCTTTGTGGAGGGTGAGTGGCCCCTTTGTGGAGGGTGAGTGGCCCCTTTGTGGAGGGTGAGTGGCCCCTTTGTGGAGGGTGAGTGGCCCCTTTGTGGAGGGTGAGTGGCCCCTTTGTGGAGGGTGAGTGGCCCCTTTCTGGAGGGTGAGTGGCCCCTTTGTGGAGGGTGAGTGACCCCTTTGTGGAGGATGAGTGGCCCCTTTCTGGAGGGTGTGTATGGAAGGCAGATGGTTGTACTGAGAAGGCCAATAACTAGTCAAAGGAGTTCCTAAAATAGTGGAAATAGGTAGGCCTCGGCCCCCAGGGAAGAATACTCCCAGCAATGAATACTTCTTTGGCTAGAATAAAAGTCTGCCGTCTAAGGTAGTCACCTACTCCACTCTAAACAGGATGGAAAGATACTCCTAGCTTTATCCTTATTTATTAAACCTTCTAATAACCCTCCATATACATAAATACAATAAATCACTTTACCACTCTACCTTACATTAAACACCTTGGTCCACATAAGCAGGATACAAGGTTTACACTTCCAACTAGGGTAAACGCTACTTTCCTGAAGAGACACTAGTATCATAGGTATCACAGACTTAAGCACATGCGGTCTCCCTAGTCCCTTGAGTACACTTAGGGATACGCAAAACACTAGCTTAAGTTACACAAGAACTAATTACACACCTAGCCAGTAACACGGCAATACACAGTCAGATACTTATCTTGTATAACAAACCCAGAATAAGGTAAGGGAAGAGAGAAGGAGGAGGAGAACAGAGCCCACAAGGAAGGTGTAGACGCCACAGCAGTCAGAGCCAGAAGATCTCTAGAACAGCCTCAGAGCTCTCTCAGAGGATGCTGCCGGGAAGATACCTAACTGATCGTACAGCCACAATCATTTCACGTCTTCACCGACATTCATTACTAGTTACTTTAACAATTCTAAGAATAGCTGATAACTAGTCCAATATTATATTTAATAATCAACAAGCACAGAGTCTGAATGCTCTGTGAGTAACAAGATTCATCTTACGTCTGGCAAGGGAGACTGAAACAAAGACGCATCAGAGGTATGAGAAGCCCTGAGTATAAATGTTATTGTTAAGTAACAATCCCTCTTACATAATCCAATCCTATGAATTAATGTATATAATTATTTAGAACTCAAATAATTGAGTTCTAAATAAGGGTGTGGAGGGTGAGGGGTGAGGAGAGTCCCAGGGGTAGGTGAGGGGTGAGGATAGAGCAGCTGAAGGCTCACACTCTGCTCTTCACCCCTACAGAAGGCTTCGCTGCGTCAACGCACATCCTGGAGGGGCGTCTGAGGCACGGTGGTCAATATCACTTCCACATGGAGAACCAGGTGAGTGGTCAACACTCTCTCTCTCTCTCTCTCTGTGTGGGGGAGAGAGACAGAGAGAGAGACAGAGGGAGATGGAGAGAGACAGAGACAGACGAGAACACAACTAGGTAACCACATCCCGTTCTCTTACAAATTATGTCTGAATTTAGCCGTTTACCCGTATGGCCGAAATTGGACGTAATTTTAAAATTATTAAAAAAAATAAAATAAATTTTGGATATTTGTTTCCAAAACAGTAAGTTAATGAACAAATCCGCAAGGGCCGTGACGAGGATTCGAACCTACGTCCGAGAGCATCCAAGACGTTGCCATAATCGACTGAACTACGACATGGTCAAAAGAATTGAAACCAGAAGTTCTACTGAACTTACTTGGATCCTGCAGCCTCTCCGAGACACAAACCAGGGTTTGAGTAATGTGTAATGAAGTAAGGGCGAAGAGGGAGAACGGCCTATTGACATAGCTCGGGTGCAGGGGGGAGTTGTGTAAAACTCTGGTTTGTGTCTCGGAGAGGCTGCAGGATCCAGTAAGTTCAGTAGAACTTCTGGTTTCAATTCTTTTGACCGTGTCGTAGCTCAGTCAATTAAGGCAGCGTCTGGGATGCTCTCGGACGTAATTTCGAATCCTCGTCCTGGCCCTTATGGATTTGTTCATTTGATGCATCAAGCTATTGTGATTTATGTGTGTAGTGTAGTAAGTTAATGGTCCTCTGGTAGGTTAGGATGACAGAAAATTCTCCTAAAGTTTCAAAACGTCATGAAAAACTTTAATTGAAAGTTTCCTCTCCTAACTGAGTAAACCGGAGTGTAACAGTCTGCTGTACAAGACCTAGCATCTCTCCCCCTCCCCCTCCTTCCCCCTCCTTCCCCTTCCCACTATTCCCATCCCTTATTTCCTTCCCCTTCCCTTTGTCGCGCCCGGCCTTCACCTGGTATAAACTGTGGAGTCAAGGGTCCTTAGGCAAGTGAGACAGTCTCAGGCCAAGCCTCCCCTTTCTTCCCCAAGCCTCCGCCTTCAGCCCTGTGTCCCCCCAACCATCCTTCACATTTTCCCCTCTCTCTCTCTCCTGTCTCCTCTATAGCCATTGACAAATTAGGGCCAATAAACTCAGCCGGTACATGCCCTGCTCCGGTGTCCTTTGATGTAAGCCAGTTAGAAATCTGCTGGAGAGAAACAGACCCCTTCAGGGCAGGTCTATAGCCTATCCTGGAGCTCGATAGCCAGGGAGGCCTAGTGGGCGGTTCTAGGACCTGTCACTGACTGGCTGGACCAAGGCCTAGAGCCGGACTTTTGACATCATTGGCTCTAGACTTGGAGAGTCGGGGTTTATTGGGCCGAGCAAAATAGTTGAGAGAGAAGCTATTCCTCACTGGTCAGCTTGTGAGGAACTCTTAGTTAGTGTGTACTGGGTCGCGGTTGGGACAGGTCCAAGGGACCTGGGGGCAGCCATTCAACATCTATGACCGGTAATTGTAGAGAGAAGGTAATGTGTTGCTCAGTTTGCACGTCTAGTTAATTTGCACTACTTTGCCTCATAGGATGTATTAAGAGTCACGATATCATTTATTTTGTGTCATTGATTGAATAAAGTTTCATTATTTCGAGTTTTTGGCTACTTCCCCCTCTCTATTTATTATTGTTCTTAGTTTTATCCTCATGCTATTTTGATGTTCCTTTTGTTCTCCTACATTTAATGGTAGTTATAGTTGCCCTTGAATAAAAAATAGTAAAGATTTTCCATAATTCCCAAGGCTCCTATGCCCTTCGAGTTCATAATTATTGATGTCTGTCCTTCCTGGGAGACAAGTAATGCAGACACACTCAGGCTTCAGGAAGTTGGTGTCAGGGTAAACTTTATTATTATTAATATTAGAATCTTAACCCTTTATTTCTAGCTTCCCCCATTTAATATTTCAGTTTATCATTTAGCTAAGAGTTCAGTGAGGGTCACAGTGAACTTTCAAGAAGAGTTATGTTGGGGTTTTAAGTGAGGAAAAGGAGTTACAATCAGTTGCTACAAGATGACCCACACAGAAAACGGGACAGTAGATTCATGGGCCGATTTCATTTCCAATTATGTCAATTTTTGGCCATAGCGCGTACGAGGGAGAAGCGACGGGTTAAGAGGACAGGTTGGAGCACTAACCTCTGTATACCATGTGCCCGCAGGTGGCCCTGGTGGTGCCCACGGACGATGGCTTGGAGGTCTACCCTTCCTCACAGTGGGCATCTGAGACCCAGAGGTCCATAGGCCAGGTCCTTGGTCTTCCTGACAACTGGTGAGTCTATACTGCCCTCACACTCTCCCTCACACTCTCCCTCACACTCTCCCTCACACTCTCCCTCACACTCTCCCTCACACCCTCCCTCACACCCTCCCTCACACTCTCCCTCACACCCTCCCTCACACTCTCCCTCACACCCTCCCTCACACCCTCCCTCACACTCTCCCTCACACTCTCCCTCACAGCATCAGCGTCACCGTGAAGCGGCTGGGAGGAGCTTTCGGGGCCAAGATCGAGCAGGGTAACCTGGTGGCTACCGCGGCAGCCGTCGCCGCCACCAAGGTTCGACTCCCAGTGCGGGTCTCCATGGACCTGGCCACCAACATGGCCATCTTCGGCGGCCGTGACCCGTTTATGTCCACTTATAAGGTGGGTTCCTCCCCCCCTCCTGGTGTGTGTCCCTCCCCCCTGGTGTGTGTCCCTCCCCCTGGTGTGTGTCCCTCCCCCTGGTGTGTGTCCCGCCCCTGGTGTGTGTCCCTCCCCCTGGTGTGTGTCCCTCCCCCCTGGTTGTGTGTCCCTCCCCCCTGGTTGTGTGTCCCTCCCCACTGGTTGTGTGTCCCTCCCCACTGGTTGTGTGTCCCTCCCCGCTGGTTGTGTGTCCCTCCCCACTGGTTGTGTGTCCCTCCCCACTGGTTGTGTGTCCCTCCCCGCTGGTGTGTGTCCCTCCCCGCTGGTTGTGTGTCCCTCCCCGCTGGTTGTGTGTCCCTCCCCCTGGTTGTGTGTCCCTCCCCCCTGGTTGTGTGTCCCTCCCCCCTGGTTGTGTGTCCCTCCCCCCTGGTTGTGTGTCCCTCCCCGCTGGTTGTGTGTCCCTCCCCGCTGGTTGTGTGTCCCTCCCCCTGGTTGTGTGTCCCTCCCCCCTGGTTGTGTGTCCCTCCCCGCTGGTTGTGTGTCCCTCCCCCCTGGTTGTGTGTCCCTCCCCGCTGGTGTGTGTCCCTCCCCCCTGGTTGTGTGTCCCTCCCCGCTGGTTGTGTGTCCCTCCCCCCTGGTTGTGTGTCCCTCCCCGCTGGTTGTGTGTCCCTCCCCGCTGGTGTGTGTCCCTCCCCGCTGGTTGTGTGTCCCTCCCCCCTGGTTGTGTGTCCCTTCCCCGCTGGTTGTGTGTCCCTCCCCGCTGGTGTGTGTCCCTCCCCCTGGTTGTGTGTCCCTCCCCGCTGGTTGTGTGTCCCTCCCCGCTGGTGTGTGTCCCTCCCCGCTGGTTGTGTGTCCCTCCCCCCTGGTTGTGTGTCCCTCCCCGCTGGTTGTGTGTCCCTCCCCGCTGGTTGTGTGTCCCTCCCCGCTGGTGTGTGTCCCTCCCCGCTGGTGTGTGTCCCTCCCCGCTGGTTGTGTGTCCCTCCCCGCTGGTTGTGTGTCCCTCCCCGCTGGTTGTGTGTCCCTCCCCGCTGGTGTGTGTCCCTCCCCGCTGGTTGTGTGTCCCTCCCCGCTGGTTGTGTGTCCCTCCCCCCTGGTGTGTGTCCCTCCCCGCTGGTTGTGTGTGTCCCTCCCCCCTGGTGTGTGTCCCTCCCCCCTGGTGGTGTGTGTCCCTCCCCGCTGGTTGTGTGTCCCTCCCCGCTGGTGTGTGTCCCTCCCCGCTGGTTGTGTGTCCCTCCCCCCTGGTTGTGTGTCCCTCCCCCCCCTGGTGTGTGTCCCTCCCCGCTGGTGTGTGTGTCCCTCCCCGCTGGTGTGTGTCCCTCCCCCTAGTGTGTCCCTCCCCCCTGGTGTGTGTGTCCCTCCCCCTGGTGTGTGTCCCTCCCCCCCCTGGTGTGTGTCCCTCCCCCCTGGTGTGTGTCCCTCCCCGCTGGTCCCCCCCGCTAGTGTGTGTCCCTCCCCCCGCTGGTTGTGTGTCCCTCCCCGCTGGTTGTGTGTCCCTCCCCGCTGGTTGTGTGTCCCTCCCCCCTGGTTGTGTGTCCCTCCCCGCTGGTGTGTGTCCCTCCCCGCTGGTGTGTGTGTCCCTCCCCGCTGGTTGTGTGTCCCTCCCCGCTGGTTGTGTGTGTCCCTCCCCCCTGGTGTGTGTGTCCCTCCCCGCTGGTGTGTGTCCCTCCCCCCTGGTGTGTGTGTGTCCCCCCCCGCTGGTGACCCCACCCCCTCCCCCCTGGTGTGTGTCCCTCCCCCCTGGTTGTGTGTCCCTCCCCGCTGGTGTGTGACCCAAGCCACCATCACCAGCGACGCCGGCTACCTGCCCGTCGACCCCAATAGTTCACTGTCCGCCGAGTGTGTCCCCTCCTGCTACTCCTGCCCCAACTGGCTGGTCACACCCCAGTTTGTCCTCACCAACACCCCGTGTAACACCTGGTGTAGGACCCCTGGTGAGTGGCGGGAGGGAGGGAGGGAGGGAGGGAGGGAGAGAGAGAGAGAGACAGAGACAGAGAGACAGAGAGAGAGAGAGAGAGAGAGAGAGAGAGAGAGAGAGAGAGAGAGAGAGAGAGAGAGAGAGAGAGAGAGAGAGAGAGAGAGAGAATATTTGATCTAGATATTGTATGTGTCATCATATATAATTCTACATCCCGTGTTGTATATACTTGCATTGCATCACACTGTATCATACTGTATCCAGTGTATATATATTGTATCATACAGTAACAAGCCACACGTATCTTGAATAAATTTACCTGAATAACAATTTGAATTTTTTTAATTTTGAATTTTTTCAATTTTGAATTTTTTGAATTTTGAATTTTTTGAATTTTGAATTTTTTGAATTTTGAATTTTTTCAATTTTGAATTTTTTCAATTTTGAATGTTTTGAATTTTGAATTTTTTTGAAATTTGATTTTTTTTAATTTTGAATTTCCTCTAACTACCACTAACCCCCCCCCTCCCCTACAGGCACACTAGAGGGGGTAACCCTCATGGAGGAGATACTGGAGCACGTGGCCCAGGAGCTAAACATCGACCCCGTGGAACTAAGGAAAAGGAACCTAATGCCGGACGGAGCCACCAGGAGGGTCAACCACAGGCTCCTAGCCCTCCGGTCCCGGATAGCAGGAAGAGGTGGGATGGTGTTGGGATAGAGGGGGCGGGGCCGGGATATTCGTGCCCGTGCCACCTCAAGGGTGGTCTGTAATCCCTTATCAATCAATTAAATCGAGCCAGGAGTAAGCAGGGATAGGTTCAAGGGGATTTAGGATAGTCTGAGGGGCCAGGGAATGATGAGTTATATGAATACGAAGCAAATGGGTAGGATGGTGAATATTCTGATTCTAACGGTTTTTAACGGTTTTAACGGTTTTTAACGGTTTTAACGGTTTTTAACGGTTTTAACGGTTTTTAACGGTTTTAACGGTTTTTAACGGTTTTAACGGTTTTTAACGGTTCTCAGTGGGTCCTAACGATTCTTTATGGTTATTGACGATCCTTAACAGTTTTTAACGGTTGCTAATGGGTGTTAACGATTCAAACTGTTTTGACTAGATGCTATTATTTTACGATTTTCAACGGTTGTTAACGATTCTCAACGATCGTTAAAGTGTCTTAACAATTGTTAACGATTATTAAACAGTTATTAACGATTCATAACTGTTGGCAATGATTTTTAAAAGTTATGAACAATTGCTAATGATTCCTAACGGTCTTTAACGGTTTTTAACGATTTTAACTGTTTTTAAAGTTTTTTAACGGTTTCAACGGTCTTTAACGGTTTTTAACGGTTTTAACGGTTATAACTGTTTTAAGGGTTTTTAACGGTTTTAACGGTTTTGACAGAGGTGACGCGGTGTCCTCGAGAGATGACGGTTCCCAAAAATCTTATTTCGGACATGATCGACGAGCTTATGGTGTCCGCAGAGGTGCAGCGGCGCACACAGGCTATAACGCAGTTCAACCAGGTGAGGTCAAGTCTTCAGGGAGGTCACATTTTCACTATGAGATCCTTGGTCTCGTATCCCAGCTCCTTGTCCTCATATCCCAGCTCCTTGTCCTCATATCCCAGCTCCTTGCCCTCATATCCCAGCTCCTTGTCCTCATATCCCAGCTCCTTGTCCTCATATCCCAGCTCCTTGGTCTCGTATCCCAGCTCCTTGTCCTCATATCCCAGCTCCTTGGTCTCGTATCCCAGCTCCTTGTTCTCGTATCCCAGCTCCTTGTCCTCATATCCCTGCTCCTTGTCCTCATATCCCAGCTCCTTGTCCTCATATCCCAGCTCCTTGTCCTCATATCCCAGCTCCTTGTTCTCGTATCCCAGCTCCTTGTCCTCATATCCCAGCTCCTTGTCCTCATATCCCAGCTCCTTGCCCTCATATCCCAGCTCCTTGTTCTCATATTCCAGCTCCTTGTTCTCATATCCCAGCTCCTTGTCCTCATATCCCAGCTCCTTGTCCTCATATCCCAGCTCCTTGTCCTCATATCCCAGCTCCTTGTCCTCATATCCCAGCTCCTTGTCCTCATATCCCAGCTCCTTGTCCTCGTATCCCAGCTCCTTGTCCTCATATCCCAGCTCCTACTGGCCCATAGGAGACAGCTCCTATTCATATCCACCCTTCCTCCTGTCTAACCTACGCTTGAAACAAACCATTCCTCCTATCTATCCCTTCTCCCTCCCACAGGAGAACCGCTGGAAGAAGAGAGGGCTGGGATTCATGAGCCTATCCTGGCCCTATTCCGTCCCTCTGGTCTATCCCTTCAGCGCCCTGGTGTCCATCAATGCCAGGGACGGGTCCGTCCTAGTGTCCCACGGTGGGACGGAAATGGGGCAGGGGATTAACACTAAGGTAGGAGACCACTCTTGTTCGGGGGGTAAGGAAGGGGGAGGGGCCATGGTTGTGGGGCGAGATATATACACACAGGCTCCCTGTCCCTGATATTACGTGCTACATGGACACTTCGTTCTGAGTAGCTAAATCTGAAACAACTTACATGTCCGTGATAATCAGCATTTAAAGAATTAGGTCAATAAAGCAGTGATTTTTTTCAAATATTTATGACCGTTGGTGACCTTTGACCTCTCAGGTGGCGCAGGTGGCGGCCTATCAGCTTAGGACTACGCTTGACGTCGTCAGTATCAGGCCTACCAACACCCACGCCAATGCTAACTCGTCATCCACCAGTGGTTCCCTCGGCTCCGACGTCGCTAGTTATGTGCGTAACTACCTGCCTCTAACGACCTATCTCTACCTGCCACTAACTACTTACCTCTAACTACCTACCTCTAACGACATACCACTAACTACTCACCTATAACTACCACTAACTACTTGCCACTAATTAACACTAACCGTGACTGTTAGGTTGTTAGGCCTCTTTATAATTTACCTTCAGCTATTTGATTATTAATTGTAAACCTGTTGAGACCTGATCCTGTTTAGAACATGTTTCTGGCGTGTCTTAAACCTGTTCTAACATGTCTTAAACCAGCTCTAACATGTCTTAAACCAGTTCTAACATGTCTTAAACCTGTTCTAACATGTCTTAAATCAGTTCTGACATGTCTTAAACCAGCTCTAACATGTCTTAAACCAGTTCTAACATGTCTTAAACCAGTTCTAACATGTCTTAAACCAGTTCTAACATGTCTTAAACCAGTTCTGACATGTCTTAAACCAGTTCTGACGTGTCTTAAACCAGTTCTGACATGTCTTAAACCTATTCTAACATGTCTTAAACCAGTCCTGACTTGTCTTAAACCAGTTCTGACATGTCTTAAACCTATTCTAACATGTCTTAAACCAGCCCTGATTTGTCTTAAACCAGTTCTGACATGTCTTAAACCTTCATGTATGCTTGCTAACATCGATGATATCTTCCAAACATCATCTAATTAAGCCTCAGCCCATGTATCTGCCTCTTAATGGCTTCTAACAGCCAATTAGTCTCTGATAATCCAGCACTAAACATCATTTGTGGAACCTGTACATCTTTTCAGAGTCGTGGCGGTTTTAGTGGGTGTCGGCTTACAAGCTCGTAAACTGGTTAAAAATTGTAAACAAAGCCGACATGATTGTTGAAAGATGTAAAGGTTTCGTGGGTGTTTGCGAACATGGTTCCTGGCCTCGTAACGCCACCCACTAACAGACACTGCCCTCCTGCAGAGCGTGAGCGAGGCGTGCAAGATACTCCGCGCGCGCCTTGATGTCGTGGAGCAGGAAATTGGCGGGAAGCCGACATGGGCGGAGCTCATACAGGCGGCGTTTGCCATGGGCGTCCCTCTCTCCCAGCAGTATGAGTAAGGTCTCCTCTCTGTAGTTACCTAAGTGTAGTTACTTAAGTGTACTTACAGGATGAGAGCCTCGCTCGTGGTGTCCCGTCTTCCCAGCACTCTTTGTCGTAACTTTGAAACTACTGACGGTTTTGGCCTCCACCAGCTTCTCACTAGTTCCAACCGTCTACCACTCTGCACAAGGGAACTTTCTAATATCTCCTTTGTTTATTTAGCTTGAATCTATGGCATCTTGTTTTTAAGTTCCTCCTTGTCTAGTGTGTCAATTCTAGTTACTATTTTGTATGTAGTGATCATGTCTCCTTTTTTTATCTTCTAGACTGGTATATGTAACGCCTCTATATTCTCGTAACTCTTATTGTTCCAGAAGCCAGTTAGTTGCATGTCTGTCCACCTTTTCCAATTGTTTATGTTTCTTGTGGACAAGGGTTCTGGTTCGATCCCCTGCGATGGCGGAAACAAATGGGCAGAGTTTTTTTCACCCTGATGTACCTGTTCACCTAGCAGTAAATAGGTACCTGGGAGTTAGACAGCTGCTATGGGCTGCTTCCTGGGGATGTGTATGTGGAAGAAAATTAGGAGTAAGGACCTGCCTGCAACGCTATGCGTGCTAGCGGCTGTACAAGAATGTAAGAACTCTTGAATATATATATAAAACCAAACTAGGCCGCCTGGCTGAGCCACGACTGATCTGGACACCTGTTCCTTCCTTCTCTCCCCAACCACCAGGAACGGACCGGATGAGGTCAAGAGCTACGCCGTGTTTGGTGTTGGGTGCACTGAGGTGGAGCTGGACGTCCTCACAGGCCAGTACCTGGTTAGTATGGCTGTAAACATATATTTAATTTATTTGTAAATAAATATAATATTAGGGTAGTATGTAAACACTCGCTTGGGTCTTTAAATTTTAATTTTTCCTTAACTTTTCTCAATTGCGATTTTATTTATGCTATTTTTGTTATTATTATTATTATCATTATGAGAAAATCTTTTGAGAAGAGTGGTGGAATCGAACCAGAGTCCTGTGCAACATCTGCCCCCTTCCCCCCCCCCTTAATGGCCCACGAAATAGTACAAACAAGAGTCTGGACGGCCTTACTAAGAGTCTGGAGACACCGAACTGCCATACAGCCAGGTCCAAGTTTTAGATATAACCCGGACTGCCCCTCTGGTGTAGGAATAGACGCTTCCAGTAAATAAACAATGTTATTGTAGTAACATGATGAATCTACAAAGAAAACTTGAATTTGGCTGCGAGCTTAGAGATGCCAGACTCTTCTAATTTGGTTCAGACAGATTTCAGACAAGCTGAAATGTGCCTGAAATCGTGGTCTGTGGGTATGAAGCGCGTGTATGGTGTTATCCAGGACGATGGTTCGATCCGCCACTGTTTTGTTCCAATGATTACATCATAGATATATCACGTTGATGGGATTCCATTATGCATAATAATTCAGTTAAGGTTTCTCAACGTCAAGAAATTCTCGTACTAAACTGCCTTTATCCTAACCAGAGAACCCAAAACAGAAAACAGGACAGTATATGACAACGTTGACCAGACCACACACTAGAAGTTGAAGGGACGACGACGTTTCGGTCCGTCCTGGACCATTCTCATAGTCGATTCTATCACAATCGACTTGAGAATGGTCCAGGACGGACCGAAACGTCGTCGTCCCTTCAACTTCCAGTGTGTGGTCTGGTCAACATACTTCAGCCACGTTATTGTGACTCATCGCCTGCATATGAGTATATGACAATTTCACGAGCCGCTTTCATTTTCTAGCACGACGATTTTTGGCCTTAGGGAGAGTATACGTCAAAATACGACGTTCTATTAGGAGGACGGGTTGATTATGACTGAGACTTCATGGTTCACTGACAGGTGTTGCGGACGGACATCTTGGAGGACGCAGGAAGGAGCTTGAGTCCGCTGATAGATATTGGCCAGATAGAGGGCGGCTTTGTCATGGGTCAGGGGCTCTTTACCACTGAGAAACCCATCTTCGACCCCGTCACTGGACAGAAGCTCAGTGCTGGTACATGGGTGAGTGTACGTGGGGGGAATATGGAATCAACCGCATACCGTTTTCCTCTATTCAGCTTATAGCTGAACCCATTTTTTATATATCAAAATACATGGATAACTTTAACAAATTTTCAATTTTAACATAAAACATCTGCCAAATTCTTATTGTCTAATTATTGATACGTAAGTTGCTTAGTTCATTTTGAAAGGCTAGTGAAGGCTACTACATTATGTAAGCCTATTTGAAAGCCCTCACATAAAGCATATTTTATTTACGAAAATAGTCGGAAAGCCTAAATAAAATTTATCTTCCATAATACCTGAGAAACTAGAACCCATTTGTTTTCACAATACAACATAACCATGCCCCGTTTTCTGTCACATTTCAAATTAATACAGCCTATTTTCTTTATCAGAGCCACCTAATGTAGACACCACGTTTTCCTTTACAACAATTTAGTAACTACAACTTGTCTGTATTTTGTCATTAGTTAATTATTATACCTGTCGCGTTTTTCCAACAAGAATCTTTATTCCAACTATTAAATAACTTTTGGGACTATTTTCTCAATCATCAAAGTAACTTTATCCCGTTTTCTCTTTCTGAACCATCCCATTTTCTGGTAACTTCATCCCATTTTCTCTTTCACAACTGTCGAATAATGTTATTGCAATTTTTTTATTTATTTTTTTGCAGCATTAAGTATAACAACACATAATTTTCTTTTCGCAATTGTCGAATATCTTTTCCATTTTCTTTCACAATGGTCGAATATCTTTTCCATTTTCTTTCACAATTGTCGAATATCTTCTCATTTTCTTTTCACAATCATCACATAGCTGGAATCTGTTCATTATTTCAGTGTTAAATAAACCCCAAACTATTTTATATTGCAGAATTACTACATCCCAACATCCCATGACATTCCGGTGGACTTCCGGGTCAGTATGTTGTCCAACGCTCCCAACCCCATCGGCGTCCTCTCCTCCAAGAGTGAGTAGTGGCCCCTGTGACCTCTTGTGACGTGTGGTTGATGTTTGAGGCGTTGTTGTGACGTGTGGTTGATGTTTGAGGCGTTGTTGTGACGTGTGGTTGATGTTTGGGGCGTTGTTGTGACGTGTGGTTGATGTTTGGGGCGTTGTTGTGACGTGTGGTTGATGTTCGGGGCGTTGTTGTGACGTGTGGTTGATGTTTGAGGCGTTGTTGTGACGTGTGGTTGATGTTTGGGGCGTTGTTGTGACGTGTGGTTGATGTTTGGGGCGTTGTTGTGACGTGTGGTTGATGTTCGGGGCGTTGTTGTGACGCGTGGTTGATGTTTGAGGCGTTGTTGTGACGTGTGGTTGATGTTTGGGGCGTTGTTGTGACGTGTGGTTGATGTTTGGGGCGTTGGTGTGACGTGTGGTTGATGTTTGGGGCGTTGTTGTGACGTGTGGTTGATGTTTGAGGCGTTGTTGTGACGTGTGATTGATGTTTGAGGCGTTGTTGTGACGTGTGGTTGATGTTCGGGGCGATGTTGTGACGTGTGGTTGATGTTTGGGACGATGTTGTGACGTGTGGTTGATGTTTGGGGCGATGTTGTGACGTGTGGTTGATGTTTGGGGTGTTGTTGTGACGTGTGGTTGATGTTTGAGGCGTTGTTGTGACGTGTGATTGATGTTTGGGGCGTTGTTGTGACGTGTGGTTGATGTTGTATCTGTATGTTTGTGTTTGGTATTTTGTGTGATCAGATGTGGAGGTGTTGTGGAGTGATCTGTGGTCTGGTGGAGCCTTCGGTGTCCAGTTAGGTTCTGGTGTAGGTTATAGAGTGTCCGGTTGTAACCTGATAAAGTTTAGTGTCCGATTGTGATCTGTATCCTGCTGTATCCGGCTGTGATGTGTACCCTGCTGTATCCGGCTGTGGTCTGTATCCTGCTGTATCCGGCTGTGGTCTGCTGTTTACAGATATAGCCAGCTGTGCCAGGTTGTGGCGTGAGGTTGCATTCAGTGTAATTTTCTTTAGTATCCCTAAAAAAGTTATTTTCAGTTTTCTTTTCGCCAGCCCTGAACTAATGTTCTCCGTCCACTACAGGTTTTTCAATTTAGATCCGCCATTACCACTGTCATCACTAACTTGCCACTATTCTCTCCCTCACAGTAACTGCAGAACCACCCGTCTGCTTGTCCTATACAGTGCCAATGGCACTTCGCCACGCGGTCAACAGCGCCAGGACTGATGCTGGTTCGCCAGGCTGGGTCCAGATGGGTGAGTCTAAAAGTCCCGTAAAGGTCAAGGAAAGTTTAAATCTACTTCAGTTTGTGATCAAAATAGGAATAAATAGGTTATGTGGCTTTAGAACCTTTTAGAACTTTTAGGTTGGTTCTATATTACTAGAGGTCGCTTTAATAAATAATTAAGCTTAGTTTTTATAATAATAATAATAATAATCTTTATTTAGGTAAGGTACATACATAAAGAGATTTACAAAGTTTGTTGGCTTTATAGATAGAGCTAGTACATACAATGCCTAAAGCCACTATTACACAAAGCGTTTCGGGCAGACAGCGCCCGAAACGGACAGGTTTGTTTTTAGGACAGGTTTGGTCCGATTCAATAATCTAGCTTTGTTTTATAGTGCTAAACATCTATTTGGGGTAATTCAGATTATTTTTTGGTGGGCTTAAATCTTCAGGTCTCGTTCAAAAATAAGGAAGATGTGATTACCACATAGAAAATACTCCAGACAAAGACAGACTATTTGGCTAGGGGTAGTAGACGATTAAGGTGACTTAGATTGAAACTAAATACTAAACTAAACTTAAACTAAACTAATACTAAATATTAACTCTTCTTGGACAGATGTAATAGGACCCATTATCACCACACCAGAATAAATATCTCTTTGATATCCCCGGTCAAACTTAATCTGTGTAAATACTCTATGCAAATAAAGGGACCTGGTCTATGGAACTCACTCCCTAGTGAATTGAAAAGCTGTCCAACTTTTGCCTTGTTCAAAAATAAAACCAAAACGTACCTAAATTTGTCTCCATAGTTTCCTAACTAGTGCTTGAAACACACACTGTATCTAGTGCTACCCAATTCCCCAATATATGTACCTATGCCATACAACTTTACCATTGTAATCATTGCTGTTATCTTATATCATGTTATACACATAGTTTGCTACATTATATCTTGCAATAATCCTCAAATTATGCTACAATGTACCTGTGGATAACCATTAAATTTACTTTAATGTCCCTACTTTTTTCTCTCAAATTTCTTATACAATGTATGTATTTTTTTAGTCTTTCTTACAATGTACCAGTAAACATTTTGTTAATTTTGCTGGAAATCACCTTCTTAAAATATGTTAGATTAAGGATCTGCCCGAAACGCTATGCGTGCTAGTGGCTTTACAAGACTGTAAAACTTCAAGTCTCATAAACCCATTGTACCTTCTGGTATATAGATAAATAAATAAATAAAAATACCCTAATGAACCACAGAGACATTAGAACTAATTTTGTTCAGGGTCAGAGTAGTTTACACAGAATTTCACTCAGCTTTACACACAAGACTGGTATAGGTTGTCAGACTTGGGTTACACTTCCAGAAACCATTTTTTACAAGTTTATGGTAATCGTTAGGCTATTTAAAAGCAATTAAGAGTAATTTTGGACCACATACATGCTCTTGCATACTATTTTCTCCAGGTACTGTATATATCAAACCTTATCCCCGCAGATTCACCGTTCACCGTGGAGAACCTACAGTTACTGTGTCTTGTGTCGCCTGCCGCCCTCACCATCCACTAACGCATATTAGAAATTGTCCAAATGTACTCTTAACTCTTACTAGAGAATGTTCAGTCATTCTATCATGGGAAAATGTTGTTGTTGGTGTGAATGGCAGCGACGTGACTGCCCTTCATACCAACAGCAACACGAATACCTTTTTTAATGATAGAAAATGACAACAGAAAAACAGTACATTTGATTATAACCGCTCTATGAAGGCTTCAGCACCATAGAAAACGATTATTTGCTCTGTTTACAATGTGGGACATTTCTATAAATTATAATTATTTAATAATGGTATAAACTCGAATATTGATTTACAATTGTTTGTGCTTCTGTACAGGCTCACTTAATATAATATATATTATTAGGAAATTAAGGAAATACTCCTAATTCTGGATAAAAGAAATTCTGTAAATATTAGAATCCGTCTAAATTCACTTGAAAATCAAACATGTGCAAGAGTAGTAGCTCTGCACATGGCTATTATAATATATTGTCATTACACAGAGAAATACCATTATCGTCATATATCAATGAACAAAGCCACATGAGCCGTGACGAGGGTTCGAACCTATGCACTGCGTGTTTCCAATGCATAGCTTTGAACCCTCTTCACAGTTCCAGTAGATTTGTTTAATTTGGATATTGTTAATTCTTAGATTAATTTGATCTCAGGATTTATTACCAAACAAAATATAGAAAGTTTTGTCAATGTTAAGGGTGAGTTTGTTAGTAGCTAGCCAAGGATGAACTTTATTTAGTTCAGTATTCATTGTGTCATTCAGAATAAGAGAGCCAGGACTGGAGAAAATTATCATTGGTATAAAAATTATCATTATTATCATTGGTATTATAAGTAATGCAGGAAGGTGGCTGACATATATTATAGTTTAACTAAAGTTGAGGAACCAAAGAAAACGGTGTTGACACAGGAACGCAAGCGACCGGCACCATCACAATAACAACAACAGTTATTACCGGCATCCGGTCCCACGATCGTCGTCGCCCCTAAATTAACAACAGCCATTACCAGCACCAAACATGGCAGACAACACTACTTAAGACTCCTGGTTCATGCTTGACGACGAGCGTACACCTGCTCCCCCTGAGCAACACATCACCACATTTTGACCATTGGATCTCGATGCTGCCGTCAGCCATTCCTCTTCAACGGCCCAGTTTGATACCAGGCTCCCTTGAAGGTCACTGGAAGACGTGTTTGCCCAACTGGGCTTGAGTTTAGGAGGAGCCATCGTGCGTGATTGTGCCGTTAAGCGGCGACATTGTTCCACTACCAGAGTTACAGGACGCCTGACGCCTTATGGTCTGGGGGTTACTGGGGGTCCATAGTCTTCCAGCTGGTTCTCTGTGTGGGGGTGTCCCTCGCCTCCCTCTGGGGGACGCCTCGGGTCGCCAAGCATCTCCTCACAGCCTCTTTATCTCCCCTAAGGCTCAGTAGTCTTCCACCCACACGCCACCATTACCCGCAAGACTTCCTGTTGTTCCCATCACGGGAACGCTTGGGCACATCCGGCACTAGTGCGCTCCTGGGCCCTAGATCAACAACAACTATGCCCGGCAACTCTGCTTAATTATCCTACCCAGTGGCAGTGTTGTGTCTCCAGGAGACGCCCCAAGTCACAAGACAACTCCAGCAGTCATCAGAAGGAGATAACCTTCATGCAAAATCTGTGAATCATAAATACAATGATGAAACCTCATGAATATCTAGAGTGTGGGAAAAGATTCAGATGTCATGCAGAGGTAAAGCAGCACATGTTCGTGCATACGGAGGATAAGCCTTACGAGTGTACAGAGTGTGGAAAAAGATTCAGGCGTCAGAGAGGGGTGAATCGGCACAGGGTTGTACATACAGGAGATAAACCTCATGCGTGTCCAGAATGTGGGAAAAGTTTCAGACGTCATGCAGACGTGAAGCAGCACATATTCGTGCATACGGAAGATAAGCCTTACGAGTGTACAGTGTGTGGGAAAAGATTCAGGCGTCGTGGAGAGGTGAAGCGGCACATGGTTGTGCATACAGGAGATAAACCTCATGAGTGTCCAGAATGTGGGAAAAGATTCAGTCGTCAAGAAATGGTGAAACTGCACATGGTTGTGCATACAGGGCATAAACCTTATGAGTGTCCAGAGTGCGGAAAAAGTTTCAGTCAACATGCAGCTATGAAGACTCACAGGATGGTGCATACGAATCAGAAACCCTATGAATGTGCTGAGTGTGGGAGAAGATTCAGAGAACGTCACCATATAATTAGACACATGTTAGTGCATTCAGATGATAAGCCTCATGAGTGTCCAATATGTGAAAAAAGATTTAAGCTACGGACAAGTATGAAGCGTCACATCATATTATTGCATCAAGGCGATAAACCTGACGGCTTAGTGCCCTTTCTTGTGAAAAAAAAATGTCTTGGTAACTAAATTATTTTGGAAAGGCATGAGATGATGTGTGTATGTTGGATAAGTCTTGTGAGTGGCATTCATTTAAGCATTTCAGTATTATATCAGATACATATCAAGACGTTAACTTTCCACTTATCCAAAATATTGTACTGAGATTAATCTTAAAAGTACTGTGCTATCTCAGTTGGACGTTCTACAATGGTATTTTTGTTTTCATTATTTGTGTGAGAAATATTCTTGTCCAAGGAACTTTGACATTTTGTCTATAGGCCTGTTTGCCTGACTTAGATATTTATATTAACCTAACTTCAGAAGTTTATTAATCTAATGCATTTATATCAGTTCGAATCTGGGAATTATAATTGCCCAAGTCTGGCATTTCTTTCTGCCAGGCATTAGCTTTCACATAACCCAATTCCAAAATTTGTATTATCCCAGGTACATTATATTCATGGTGGTTAACTTAGGCTAGGCCTAATTGCCACTATTAATTATGTCATTATTTATAAATATAAAATACAAGGATATCTACTTTCTATTAAAAGTTATAATTATTTTAGAGTACAGTATAGGTATACCATAATTGTAAATGTTGCTAATGTACTAGGCTGATAATTATAGCCTATAGGCCAGATATAGAAGTAACGAATATTGATTTCATTGGTAGTCAAATTTGTTGGTGTTCTGATGTTTGTAATTAATGTGGCTATTGTTTATTATTAATTTATAATATTGACAATATTGTAATAGTTGGGCCTTACTTATTGTCCATTAATTATTATATAGAACTTTACAGTTCTCTTTATATACAAGGTCACTATAGTGTTCATTTAATTAATAAACAAATATGATTCATGTGATGTTTATTTATCTTTGAAGAATTATTCAGTATGTCATAATTCCAGTGACTGCTTTCATTTGTAAAGTGGCTCCCTCGCTTCTTGCTGGGTCGACGTTCAATCCCCGATGATCCAAATGTTTTGGGACAATTCCTTCATCCCTTCCTCATATCCCAGTTTCTATCCTGATATCCCATCTCCTTTCCTCATATCCCAGCTCCTCTCATATCCCAGCTCCTATCATCATATTCCAGCTCTTCCTCATATCCCAGCTCATCTTAGCTCCTCTCATATCCCAGCTCCTATCATCATATCCCAGCTCTTCCTCATATCCCAGCTCTTCCTCATATCCCAGCTCCTCTCATATCCCAGCTCCTATCATCATATCCCAGCTCATCCTCATATCCCAGCTCCTCTCATATCCCAGCTCCTATCATCATATCCCAGCTCATCCTCATATCCCAGCTCCTCTCATATCCCAGCTCCTCTCATATCCCAGCTCCTCATCTTAGCTCCTCTCATATCCCAGCTCCTCATCTTAGCTCCTCTCATCATATCCCAGCTCTTCCTCATATCCCAGCTCCTCATCTTAGCTCCTCTCATATCCCAGCTCCTATCATCATATCCCAGCTCTTCCTCATATCCCAGCTCCTCATCTTAGCTCCTCTCATATCCCAGCTCGTCTCCTCATATCCCAGCTTCTGTCCTCATATCCCAGCTCGTCTCCTCATATCCCTTTCAGAGCACACATGAGGCAACAGCATTTTCTAACAATTAGCTAACATGTGAAGGTATATGATCGCTGGGACCCAGCAGGCAGGGGAGAAGCTCGCCTCATGTGACCGCAGTACACTAAGGTGAAGTATAAGTACACAAACCCATATATAAAGGCCCAGGACGATGGCTCTCTAGGGAGGGTGCAGCTGCACCTCCACAGATCTCCAGTATCAGCTCTTGATACTGGTAATGGCTCAAAAGGGCCACCACTTTCGGGCTATTCATGCCCGTGCCACCTTTTGGATGGCTTAATCTTCATCTTGGACACATTCATGGGAGACATCTCCCGTCACGCAGGGTGCAGTTGCACCTCCACAGATCTCCAGTATCATCTATTGATACTGGTGATGGCTCAAAAGGGCCACCACTTACGGGCTATTCATGCCCGTGCCACCTTTTGGGTGGCTTAATCTTCATCATCATGGCTCTCTAGACTACCTTACCTGGTTGATACCTGGCTGATGGGGTTCTGGGAGTTCTTCTACTCCTCAAGCCCGGCCCGAGGCCAGGCTTGACTTGTGAGAGTTTGGTCCACCAGGCTGTTTCTTGGAGCGGCCCGCAGGTTTACATATACCTGGGTGATGGGGTTCTGGAAGTTCTTCTACTCCCCAAGCCCGGCCCGAGGCCAGGCTCGACTTGTGAGAGTTTGGTCCACCAGGCTGTTGCTTGGAGCGGCCCGCAGGCCCATATACCCACCACAGCCCGGTTGGTCCGGAACTTCTCTTAGAAAAGTCCAGTTTTCTCTTGAAGATGTCCACGGTTGTTGAAGGAGGCTTATCATAGAACAATGTTAGTAAGCTTTGAACAAAACAGTACAGGCAAGTTGTGAATAAGAGAACAATGCAGGTAATCTACAGGCAAGATGTCAACAGAAGAACCATTTCTGGCGAGGGTTCCGAGAGTTCTCGTTGGTCCAGCACTAATTGCAAGATATGATCTAAATGTCATGCAAGCAAGTTGTAAACAAAAGAACATTGCAGGCAAGTTGTAAAATATGAAGCTCCAACAAGCAAGATTTTCCACCTTATTGAGTCTCATCCTCGCCCTTGCCCCCCCCCCCCCCTCTGCATCGAACCGTCTGTGGCCACTGTCGGGCGAGCAGCTCCCTTCCTCGGACACTCGTCCTCCACCAGATAATGTTATAGTTTTATCATAGCTGGTGCCAATGGCCTCATTTTTCTTTGGACACGGCAAAGTTTTTATTTGGTATTGTGAGTAATGCAGGAAGGTGACACAATCGACTTGAGAATGGTCCAGGACGGACCGAATCGTCGTCGTCCCTTCACCTTCTAGTGTGTGGTCTGGTCAACAAGGTGACTGACATGTATTATAGTTTAGCCAACTTCCCCTGGCCCGCACTGTGGCATTGACCTCATTAGTTCCTTTGACAGGTTGGTGAATTCTAACTCTAGTACTCTTTCGGACCTGTCTGCCTTCAGTGGGGCCCTTATCCCCGTTCTTGACAGCTTGTTTTCTAAAAATCACCACCTTCCTCGTCGCTTCCAGCTTACCCTTGCCTCCATAAAATCTAACAACTCTATTCTTATCTTTCCTTCCGACAAAGGCAATTCGGTTTCCACTGAGGAACCCAGGGTCGTAACATAAACACTCTATGCAAATAAAGGGACCCAGTCTATGGAACTCACTCCCTATTGAATTGAAAAGCTGTCCAACTTTTGCGTCATTCAAAAACATTTCATCTTCATAGTTTTTTACCTTTTGCTTTAAAATTGTACTGTATTTATTGCTACCCAATCTCCCAATCTTTATGTACCCAATCCGAACATCTTTACCATTGTGATCATTGCTGTCTTCTTATATGTGCTGTCAATCTGCTGTATGTGTCTATTAATCTTGTTTAAATTACCAATCAATGTAATCAATCAGAGCTTTAATATACCAATGTGCTTTAATATACTTACTAATCTCTCTCATCTCATTTTTTTCTTGCAATGAATTTGTTATCATTTTATTAATTCTGCTAGAATTTACCTACTTAAAATTATCTGTTAGATTAAGGACCTGTCCGAAACGCTGCGCGTACTAGTGGCTTTACAAGATTGTAAATACTATGCTATGTATTCTCTCTAACCCAATGTACCTTTTTGTATATAAATAAATAAATGAATAAATAAATAAATAAATAAATAAATAAATAAATAAATAATAAATAAATAAATAAATAAATAAATAAATAAATAAATAAATAAATAAATAAATAAATAAATAAATAAATAAATAAATAAATAAATAAATAAATAAATAAATAAATAAATAAATAAATAAATAAATAAATAAATAAATAAATAAATAAATAAATAAATAAATAAATAAATAAATAAATAAATAAATAAATAAATAAATAAATAAATAAATAAATAAATAAATAAATAAATAAATAAATAAATAAATAAATAAATAAATAAATAAATAAATAAATAAATAAATAAATAAATAAATAAATAAATAAATAAATAAATAAATAAATAAATAAATTGACTTGAGAATGGTCCAGGACGTACCGAAACGTCGTCGTCCCTTCACTTTCTAGTGTGTAGCTTTGGCAACATATTTCAGCCACGTTATTGTGACTCCTCAAGTTCAAGTTCAAGTATGTTTATTGAGACAAGAAAAAATACATCTCAAAGGGATAAAGTAGCTTAGGCTATTTCTACCCCCCATTGTGACTCCTCGTCTGCACAGTTTAGCCAAAGTTGAAGAACCAAAGAAAACGATGTTGACACCGGACCCCAAGTGATCGACACCATAACAACAACAACATTATCAGCGACAAACATGGTGGACAAACACTGCTTAGTGCAGTCATCGGGAGGACAAATCCTTCATGCAAACTGCACTTATTATCAAGAAAACTGCTTAATAATCCTACCCAGCGGCAGTGTTGTGTCTCCAGGAGACGCCCCAAGTCATAAGACAAATCAGGTCTCCGTGGCACAGTGGTAAAGCTTCGCGAGAGCTTTGTCCAGGGTTAGTATCCTGGCCAGGGCGGATTGACTGGGCACCAATCCTTAACTGTAGCCTCTGTTCACCCAGCGTAACCCAGGGTTGTATTACGGGGAAAAATTAGGATTAAGGACAAAATAAAAATGTCATCAGGAGGGGATAACCCTCAAACAGTTTTGACAAATCATAAGATGCCGAAGCAACATGAGTGTCCATTGTGTGGGAAAATATTCGGTCGTCGTTGCCACCTGAAGCAGCACATGCTTGTGCATATGGAAGGTAAACCTCACGAGTGTCCACAGTGTGGGAAAAGATTCAGTCAACTTCAGCATTTGAAGAATCACATGGTTGTGCATACAGGGGTTAAACCTCATGAGTGTCCTGAATGTGGGAAAAGATTCATTCGGCGTGCAGAGGTGAAACAGCACATGCTTGTGCATACAAGGGATAAACAACATGAGTGTCCAGTGTGTGGGAGAAGGTTCAGTCGTCCTGGAGATGCTAAGAAGCACATGGTTGTACATACAGGAGATAAACCTCACGAGTGTCCTGAGTGTGGAAAAAAATTCAGTCACCTTGGAAGTATGAAAATTCACATGTTTTTGCATACAGGGAATAAACCACTTGAGTGTAATGAGTGTGGGAAAAGATTCAGTCATCTTGGTGGTATTAAGCAGCACATGAAAGTGCATACAGGGAATAAATATCACGAGTGTCCTGAGTGCGAGAAAAAATTCTGTCGACTTGGAGCTTTTAAGAAGCACATGCTTCTCCATACAGGGGATAAACCCCACGAGTGTCCCGAATGTGGGAAAAGATTTAGAATGGTTCAATATGTGAAGAATCACATGGTTGTCCACATGGGGGATAAACCTCATGAGTGTCCCGAGTGTGGGAAAAGATTCATTCGTCGTGGGGAGGTGAAGCAGCACATGGCTGTCCATACAGGGGATAAACCACACGAGTGTCCAGAATGTGGAAAAAGATTCAGCCTACTTCGATATGTAAAGCTACACATGGCTGTTCATACAGGGGATAAACCTCATGAATGTCCTGAGTGTGGGAAAAGATTTATTCGTGTTGGAGAGGTGAAGCAGCACATGGTTGTGCATACAGGAGAGAAACCTCATGAGTGTCCAGAGTGTGGGAAAAGATTCACACAAGTTCGATGTTTGAAAATACACATGAAGGTGCATACAGGCCAAAAACCTTTTGAATGTGCCGAGTGTGGAAGAAGGTTCAAAGACCGTAGCAGTATAATTTCACATGTTTTGGTGCATACAGATAAGCCTCACAAGTGCCCAGATTGTGGAAAAAGGTTCAGCCTACTTCGATATGTAAAGCTACACATGGCTGTTCATACAGGGGATAAACCTCATGAATGTCCTGAGTGTGGGAAAAGATTTATTCATGTTGGAGAGGTGAAGCAGCACATGGTTGTGCATACAGGGGAGAAACCTCATGAGTGTCCAGAGTGTGGGAAAAGATTCACACAAGTTCGAAGTTTGAAAATACACATGAAGGTGCATACAGGCCAGAAACCTTTATATGTGCCGAATGTGGGAGAAGATTCAAAGACCGTGGCAGTATAATTTCACATGTTTTGGAGCCTCATGAGTGCCCAGATTGTGGAAAAAGATTTGCCTACCGCTGTAATATGAGACAATACACGCTATTGCATCCAGGTGACAAAACTGATTTGACCTAGAGTCCTGTCTTGTGAACAAACAATCTTGGTTGAGCAATTTATTTTTAAAAGAAGCCATATAGTGTGTTTAATTTGGATATTGAATAAATCAATCACATAAGTATTTCAGTACAGTATTGTATCCGAATAATCCAATATACTGTACTGTTTGGAAACTGTATCATCATAGAGTACCATATTACATCAGCTGGATATTCTACAAAGGTTGGTATTGTGTTCATTATTTGTGTTTGAAAAATATGCTTGACTACATAAGGTAAAGCTCAGCAACATTGGGTATTGAAGTAATATTTTAATCATCTGTTCTATAATAAAAATTAGATGTTCCTTAAAGACCATGCAGGCACCTTGGAAATGGTGGTAATAGACACACATCTTTATGTGTTTTTCGAAGATAAAATAAAGTTTATAAGTTTATTTAAAACTTTGTATTTAGGTCCTTTTAGAAAATGTATTTGCAGTGTAATAAAGTCTTTCGCTGCTAAGATAAAAGCTATTTTATTTTTATTAATAACTAGCTGTACCCGGCCAAGGCTCTGTTGTTGCTCAGCAACCTTTCCCTGTCTCCCAGTCCTCCCCACCATTCCCACCCCCCTCCCCATCACCTCGTCCTCCTAACCATTTCCCACTCCCCCGTCCCCTCGTCCTCCCTAATCATTCCCTCCTCCACTGTCACCTCGTCCTCCCCACCATTCCTTCCTCCCCCATGACCTCATCCTCCCTACCATTTCCTCCTCCACTGTCACCTCGTCCTCCCCACCATTCCCTCATCCTCCCTACCATTTCCCTGTCCCCTTGTCCTCCCCCACCATTCTCCATTTCCCTGCCCTCTCGTCCTCGCCATTCCCCAACTCCACCGTCCCCTCGTCCTCCCAACCATCCCCCAATCCCGTCCCATCGTCCTCCTCACCATTCCCCACTCCCTCGTCTGATGTATTCCCAAATGATCTGATGTTCCCATAAAAAAATATGCAAATGATCTGATGTTCCCATCACTGAAACATCAAATGATCTGATGTTCCCATCACTGAAATATAAGAAAAAGTTAAAAACGAAATGAAAAAATAAAAAAAACTATACTCCCGAAATGAATGGTATGGTAAACAACACAATGCAATGTCACACAAAATAATTAAATCAAAATGAAAATAAATCGAAATCTATGAAAATTTAATTTGTTAGTGCAATCGGAAACACTGAAATGGAATCGTACCATATTTAGTATAGTATGTGTTGCTCTTACGTGCAACAGATGGTGCTGTTTCCTACAAAAATAATATTTTTACCTGACACAGGTGTGGCATCTATACTTATCCTTACAAAATGAAAGGTATGGTAAACAACACAGCTCAATTTCAATGTGATGTCACACAAAATAGTTAAAAATCAAAATGTAAATAAATCAAAATCTATGAAAATTAAATTTATCCATGCAATCGGAAACATTGAAATGGAATAGTAACATATTTAATACAGTGTGTGTTGTTATTACGTGCATCAGATGGCTCTGTTTTTCAAAATAGGCATATTTTTGCCTGTCACAGGTGTGGTATCTATTAAGAAGGCATACAAAAACATGCACGTATTCAAATGGAATGTTGTGTCAAAATTTCAAAGCAATCGGTGAAGAATTTTCGTAGATTACAACGTGTGTTGTGCTTACGTCCAACAGATGGCGCTGTTAAAAAAAAAAAAACGTTTTTTCCTGTCTCGGGTGAGGCATTTATATAGTAGGTATATAAAAACATGCGCTTATTTGAATGCAACATTGTGTCAAAATTTCAAAGCAATTGGTAAAGAGGTTTTGAAGATTTCCCTCACATGAAAAACACAGTTTTATAAAAAAGCATGTTTTTTCCATCACAGATGTGACATCTGTATAGCATGCATATAGATAACACGCGTGGATGCGAATGGAAGATCGTGTGAAAGTTTCAAAGCAATCGGTGAAGAACTTTCGGAGATTAGCGATTTTGAAGAAACTAACATTTACATTTTTATTTATATAGATCTAGGGGAGAAGAAAAACAGTTTGAGATGTACTCAATATTGTACTTTTATTTTTATGTTCATTGTACATAGGGAATCATTCAGAACCTTATACACCACTTATGTCAGACCAATCCTTGAGTATGTAGCTCCAGCCTGGAGTCCATACCTATTTAAACAAGACAAAGTTAGAGAAGATCCAGAGGTATGCTACCAAACTAGTCCCAGAACTGAGAGGTATGAGTTACGAAGAAAGGCTACAGGAGTAAAGGGAAACATGATTACCACCTACAAAATTCTCAGAGGAGGACAAAGACAAATTATTTAACACGGGTGGAACACGAACAAGGGGGTGACACAGGTTGTTAACACGTAATTAGGGGGGCCTGATAGCCGAGTAATTACCTAAGTGTAGTTACAGGATGAGAGCTGCGCTCGTGGTGTCCTGTTTTCCCAGCACTCTTTGTCATATACTGTACTGCAAAGTGGACAGCACTTTGGACTCGTAATTCTAGGGTCCGGGATCGATCCCCAGTGATGGCAAAAACGAAATGGGCAGCGTTTCTTTCTCCCTGATGCACCTGTTACCTAGCAGTAAATAGGTACCTGGGATTTAGACAGCTGTTTCAAGTTGCTTCCTGTGTGTGTGTGTGTGTACTCACCTAGTTGTGTTTGCGGGGGTTGAGCTCTGGCTCTTTGGTCCCGCCTCTCAACCGTCAATCAACTGATGTACAGATTCCCGAGCCTACTGGGCTCTGTCATATCTACATTTGAAACTGTGTATGGAGTCAGCCTCCACCACATCACTTCCTAGTGCATTCCATTTACTAACTACTCTGACCCTGAAAAAGTTCTTTCTAATGTCTCTGTGGCTCATTTGGGTACTCAACTTCCACCTGTGTCCCCTTGTTCGCGTCCCTCCAGTGTTGAATAGTTCATCATTGTTTCCGGGCCGCGGGGATGCTAAGCCCCGGAAGCACCTCAAGGTAACCTCAAGGTAAGGCAAGGCACTTACGAACATTTTTCTTCTCGGCATCTTCCTAGCGGCTACGTCGTTATTCAGGTAGGCATTTAAGAAGGAAAATCTTCGTACGTCTGCTCCGTCGCGCTAAGGTTGCTCTCGACCACTCGTAGCTTTACATAAACTGGATATAACTTAATTTTTCTCTACTACACAACACGGAGGATCGATTTTATTATAAACAAAACATTTTAGTTGGCGAGTTTCATCTAGACGGCGTCCTTCGTGTTAGCTATATATATGCATTCTCTGCTTGAAACTTGAAGTAAATATGTCTTTTATGATATTAGAATTAGTTTTATAATAGCAAGATATTATACCAGTAGTTATTAAGTAAATAAACACTGGTGAACATGAAATATGAGAGGTGATGATCCTTCTCAATATAAGAGAAGGTGGAATATGAGAGGTGATGGTGAGAGCATTTACTATCACCAAATGCCCCTGTTCACCTAGCAATAAGTATAGCTAGGGTCGTACCTTAGCTATACATACCCATTTTTAATTTATTTTGTTTGGTTTTATTTTTAAATTAAATCTGGGTAAGACATAAAAGAAAAATATCCTGCACAAATCTTGGGCAAGGGTAAAGACTTCAACAACTTTTGTCATTGAATACTTAGGCCTATAATTATGATTATATGGACTATTATGGCCTGTTAAAAAAGAGAGGGGGGAAGCAGGGGTCCAAGACCTCTCCCTGTTACACAATTTGGCTGTGTGTAACAATCAGTAAGTAATCAGTTATCAAAAGAAGGCACCAAGCTGGGAAGGTTATGTAGCACGATTGTGTGTAACAATCAGTAAGTAATCAGTTATCAAAAGAAGGCACCAAGCTGGGAAGGCTATGTAGCACGATTGTGTGTAACAATAAACCAAATTTTTAACAACTAATACACCTGTGAGTAAAACAAATCCTGTCAGCTGTAAAAATATTGATGCAGTTATTTAAATAAAAAATATAATAAAAGAAATATTACTGGTTTATTTTTATCCTATCTTTTTGTACTGTACAGTATATCTAAAGAAGTGAAAAATTGAGACATAATGCACAATTTAATGAATAATTCAAAAGAAATATGACTTACATATCAACATGAGATCTTAATGATCCATGGTTAACATGATTTAATAAGGATAATACTGGTACTGTAATATTACAAACTATAATTTAAAATCTGTATTACTGATTTTTTTTTAATTAAGAAGCTTAGGTATACATAGCAATGTGCTGTTACCCTATTCTATATGGAAGATTACACAGTGTAGATAAAAAACTAGCTATATAAGTTAATCATCTAATACTCCCATCTCACAGGATGGTTAGGCATGCATGGAATCAAGGGAGAAAATACCAGCCTCAGTACAAAAAAACAAATTAACTCTGACTAAACGACAACTTCATGATTTTCACGAGAGGTAAGCACTGAATCATGGGAACATTATATTATAATTACTCTTACCAGTTTCTACAAGACTCCTCTCAATGTATTTTTTTAACATGCTTAGGTATACACAGTAATGTGCTGCTTCCCTATTCTGTATGAAGGCCCACACAGTGTAGATAAAAAACCAGCTACAAGCTCATCCAACATCCCCACCTCACAGGACTGCCAGTCATACATGGAATCAAGAGAGAACAAAATATGTAAGACTGATCTATTAGCCTCCACTGGCAAAATTTGGGTTCAGCATAAGAATATCTTCCAATATTCCTGAGTGTATGAAGTAATTACAGAGCTCAAAGTACCTCATACCATTTGGTATGAAGTCACTGATAACAGGGCAATCACAGATATAGTGTTTGAGTATGAGTATGTTCTCTCAAGTAGGACTGAAAACTGGTGTTTTTTCACAAAGAAGGTTATAAACCCATGGAACCGCCTACCCGCTGAAGCCGTAAATGCCAAAATCCAGCTAAAAAATATCATTAAGACAATTGGCGGGCCCTTTAACAAGCCGTCGGCTTTCTGTCCTCGTCGAGGCCACTAGATAGATAATGGCCCTTGGGTAAATTCAGGTAAATATATACAATAATTGTCAGCACATCTTCCAAACGATAAGGGAAGCTACACAGTATTCTAAGTATGTCTTAGAATTACGTAGGTAAACAACAAATGTAACATATTTGTGTACTACAATGTCGGTGCTGGCTGTAAAAGTTATATATACTAATTTTATGAGAAAATTTGACGTAAATGGGTGGCAGGTGAGCTCCGATAAGCCAGCGTTGTGATTGCCTAAATCTTCAAGATGTAGAATGTTGCCTGCTCTGATTGGCCAAACAAAAAGCCCTAGTGACATCTAGCGACACTTCTTGAAAGTTGCTAATACTGTAACTTCATAAGTACGGCTTTCTGAATCGCATGTAGTCACGTTCTTAGCCAGTATTTACGAACCTTCGTGAATCTAGGTCCTGGTTTTTATTTTGTTTTGGGGGGCGAGTGCGGTGGCTTGTAGTGAGATCCATACTGCTAAACGGGAGAAATGGCGATGCTGTGTCTCCATCATTACGTTTGACACCCTTCTTCTGATCTGGAAGAAGATACATACGATTGCTGGTAAATTTGTTCCAGATATATTGCCTGTCCTTCATTTCCATGGTTCTGTCGTAGCGGATCTGGTGTTGGTCGCGAATGAATTGGGTTTGCATTTTTTCAGCCATTAGCCCTGGTACCCACTTTCCTTCTGCTTTCCTTTGTTGCAAGTCCCTTCTCGAGTCTCATACTTTGCCCATCAGTATTCCCCTCCAGCTTTTTTATAACAATCTTCTCTCTCCACCTCGTAACTCCAAGTCTGCCCTGCCCCTCTGTGGTTCAACTGCAGTGATCTGGGATGGCATTCATTATAAAATGCTTCACCATCTACCACAGTGTGCTTTTCAGCACTTGCTGGATATGTATAATCGAGTTTGGGAGACATCTGCCCAAGGACTGGCTTGCTGTGGTGGTTCTTCCTATTAAAAAACTGATATTCTTGGGATCTTTCCGTCGAGAACTTTCGTCCCACTGCCCTGATGAGCAAGCTTTTTGAATGTATGGTCAATGTCCATCTTATGGGGTTCTTTCAACACTTGTCATATCCTTTCTCCCTCTCAATTTGGCTTTCACAAGTGTCACAGCGAGACCAACATTTTAGTGAGCCTAAAGAAATATTCATTCTGCCTTTGCCACAAGGTACTCTATGAACGCTGGTCTTTTTTACTTGGAAAAGGGAAAAAAAGGCTTATGATAACACCTAGAGGTACAAATATTTTGTCTCAGCTTCCTCTCTCATCATTCCTTTAAAGGGCCTAGATAGTATTCCTGGGACTGTTAAGAATAACAACCACACAATGTACACTTGACTCAATGTCTAACTAGACAAGCCAATTGATTCTGGTCGAAACGTACCATTTTATCCATTTCCACACCAAAGTGTGTTGCTTACCCCCCTTTCCTAAGGAGGTAGGATGGGGAATCAGCTCCTAGGTAGGCTCAACAACCAGATGAAGGAACGATGGGGAATGCACAAACACATGGTGCATTTTACTAGTGCACCATCATAGGAGGCAGGCGATGCCTCCACCTATCCGCAGGCAGCATACAAGAGCCATCCTCACCACACAACCTATCCTTAGTCCAAGTCCATTCCATCCAGCAATTTACCTCAAAGATGCATTCATAATTTTAACATGCTGTTCACGCAATAGTAATTTTCTCCAATATAAATTAATATTATATACTGTATATATATATTTATTAACATAGTTAGACACTGGCAATAATTTGTATTTTTAGTATGCGAGTGTGGTTCATACTACAAAGTTTTTTTTTGTTTTTTATTATTATTATTTTCTACCACAGACGTGGCCACACATTTACAATGCTAAGCAGCATATATACATTTTCTTCTGTCCTCCATGGACAGGGTTAGAGATGTGTTAAACATACAGTTCAGGGGTTTATTAATCAATCAACCACAGAAGGTGATTCGGTGCTTTTAAAATGCTAAGCTAACCAACATACGTAAATACATAGATACACAGATTTACGTATGCCCTACATAAAGTGTTCGATATGTCTTTTACATAGTGTAATTAATGTGCATTTACAAAGGTGAAATGTAATTCTGATCAGCTTCCATATATACTTTACACACACACATACTGTATGTACACATACGTATGTACACATACTGTATGTACACATACGTATGTACACATACGTATGTACACATACGTATGTACACATACGTATGTACACATACGTATATACACACACACCACTTGTCCCGCAAGTGTTTGGACATCATCAGTTGTGAGTAGTGTGTAAAGCGTTGCATTCATAAACAGGAGGTCTGGTGGGTGCATGGAATGGGCTTTGGCTTTTGTTTATAAGTTTGGGCTGCACCACATCAGGGGACTACCCACTGAGTGGGTTGTTTCCAGAACCTCATGCAATAAAACTCAATTCTACAGCTATTATCTTTTTTTTTTTTAGGCCCTATTTTGATTATACAGTTCAAGTTTGGTTGCCATACTATAGAATGTACAAATTAACTCTGTTCAGCAAAGGAAGTTATTCCTGTTATTAGGAAACCTTTCATACAAGATTAGAAAAGGCTAAATTTACATTCTCTAGAAAGGCGAAACGTTAGGGGCGACGTGATTGAAGCACACAAGCCCAAAAAAGGGTACAACAAAGGAGATAGGGAAAAACATCCACTAGGGCTGTGAGGTAGCGCAATCCTACAACCTCGGCATTGCCAGTCGCGTACTCTACCACTGGACCACCACCGATTTGTAGCATTGTACAACTGGAATTCTACCGAAATCAAAAGTTAATCTGGACGCCTGTACTGAAGCCAGTCCAAGTTTTTACGTATGACACCCCAAACACCCAGAATAAATTCTGAAGTTATATTGGCAATTTCTGAAGTTAAGGCATAAGGTGTAGGACCACTCTGCCCTTCCACCCCCAGTACTTGTGGGTCATACGTAAAAGTTTGAACTGTCTTTAGAGGCCTCCAGACTTCCCGTGATTTCCGTAGAAATCCAGTTGTATGACTGATGGTCCAGTGGTATACAACTGGCAATACCAAGGTCGTAGGTTCGTGCCCCCTCTCAGACCCAGTGGTTCGTCATCGATATAGAGTACATCACGTTATATTGGCAGTAGGTTAAGGCTACACAAGTAAGTAATTATCAAAAGAAAGGCACCAAACCTAAGGCTACACAAATTGCCTTATGATTACCTCTTCCCAATTGCAACCGCAAGATTGTGTCAAGACTCGCACAAGAAGGGTACCAGAATTAACTACACTAAGGATCCCTTCTAGACAGGAGAAGGAAGTACTAAACGTATTCAACATTTTATTCTTATATATCTTCCACCGGGGGATAAGAATGTAAGGTAAACTATTCACAATTCTTATAGAGACATGGTAACCCATACAAATATATAATTTCTTATCCAATTACCATTAATTTCTTTCTATAATCATTAAAATATAGACCTAATTCTTCAACCAAAAATAAAGAATCCACATTAGCCAGAAGTACACGTGCAACACTGCATCATTTATTAAAAGTACAACAACACAGTTCTGAACTAAAATTGAAAAATTGTGAGAATACCAGGGACCTGCACGGCCCAGGTTTCAATAACCCGGATCCGCACGGCCCGGGTTCCTCAAATACACACAACCATTTGCAACACCTGTACATCTTTCCTCATGCTTCACATTTATTAAATACTTTATCAGCTCCAAAGCACTACACAACAACCTTGGGTTGTGAAGTGTCGAGGCTCGTAAACAATTTAATAAAAAAAAAAGCCCCTATAATTAAGAAAGCTGTACGAGTCTTGTAAATGGTTGGATAACTGTACGGTTAAATCCTGGTACAGGAAGACACTTTCCTCTTGCCTGTAATCACGACTTACTAGGACTTGAATAATAACGGGAGGTTACAATTAACAATACTCTTGGTACAGTGATGCAGATTTGAGTCAATACTAGGAAATATGAACTTAGTATGTATCTGCTAAAGAAGGTGTGGGTGCACAGGTTGTACATGTGCACACACCCGAGCATCTGTACACGTGCGTGCACACCCGAGCATAGGCGTCTGTACACGTGCGGGCACACCCGAGCATAGGCGTCTGTACACGTGCGTGCACACCCGAGCATAGGCGTCTGTACACGTGTGTACACACCCGAGCATAGGCGTCTGTACACGTGCGGGCACACCCGAGCATAAGTGTCTGTACACGTGCGTGCACACCCGAGCATAGGCATCTGTACACACGCGTGCACACCCAAGCATAGGCATCTGTACACATGCGTGCACACCTGAGCATCGACATGTGTACATGGGCGCACACATACCTGAGCATAGGCATCTGAACATGTTTTTACATGTACATGTATGTAAATTGATTTAAACATGTGTACACTGAGTATGTGCATGCAAGCACATTGTGCATGTACAAATGGGGGTCTTGAACATTTGTGGACATGCACCCATCTCCCCCCCCACACACACACACACTGTATGGTAACTGTGTGTGTGAGAGTACACACACAAGTGAAGTATACATGTGTAATTGATACCTGAAGTGCAGGAAGAGGGGTGGGGGCAGGGCTTCCCGACACTCAACAAGCAACAGTCTCACAGCCAATATCACAAGCACATCACAGTACCATGCTCTACTATATACAACCTTCATGCATTACTCATCAGAACTCATGATTACCAACTTATTCACTGTAAAAATTCATGCATTTCTTGAATTGTGAAGGAAAATTGCACTTTCATGCCCATCTACCTTTTAATCAAGGCCTGCACTGGAGACCTTAGTCGCTGATGAGTGCCCATTCATCGTAGTGTACAACCTACATGGTGCTGTGACAATGATGCATTATCAATGCATGTATACTGTGTATGTTCACATGGTAGACTATTACACTGTAAACTTGCTCAAACAGAACCTGGCCAAACAGGCAATTGGATGCACTGGAAGGATTACGATTCAATTAGTGTTATGCGCACCAAAGTAGCTAATTAATATTTACAGTGATGATAAAGTAAGAATTATAAAAAGCAGGCATTAAGCCTCAAAGCGGGGAAAGGAACGCAGCAAGAATGTGCCCCATCACACTGCCTGAGCAGGTCCTGCGACATCATATGGACGTTCACTACCAATCATTTATGAATGACATCACCGTACACAGCAACTTGATCGGCACTGATTAATGTGGTATCGGTGTTTTATTCCATCATGCCAAACGACTTTTTAAACTCATTAGGCCGACAGACTAGATATGCACCAAGATTCCTACAAGCCACTATTACCAACTATACACTGGCCTGGATAAACAGCTGTTTGAGAGTATAATGGCTGAATAGTCTTCCCATATAACGCTTTAAACAAAGTATAAACTACATGCGCTTACATTAGCATATATAGTTCATACAATGCTTATTGAGTATTATAACTTCGAGGAATGTTGCATCAATTGCAATGGGCAAAGTATCCTACTTCAGTCCACAAAGATCTGCGATAAGCATTCCAATTTTGGTACAGCGTTATAAAAAAAAAACTAATACAGTTTTACTCCATCAAATACACATTTTAATGCACATTACAGTTATTTGGTCTCATCGTTTCAGTATCTTCTTGATTTGTACATTCTGGGAGCCAATGGTTGTGTCTGCCTTCTCAACCTTCCCATGTATGCGATCAAGCATGCTGTTCTGATCCACAATTTCCGCCCCAAGACCCTCTGCCAAGCCCTTGAGGCGCGACAATCCCATACTCATCTCGTCTGAAACAAAAGGCAACAGGCTTATAGTTTTGCAAAACCCACATGTTAGGCTCGGTCACTATCTGACAATCAGGAAATCATTCTACAGCAGCACGAAAAATGCAGGCAAGGGGTTTGTCAACCTATCAATGCAATTCATTTGACAACTATTTACAAGGCACTGGCCCACCTTTCATTGTATTTCCCATTGCCATACACACATAGGAGTACTGTATTAACAGGCAACGGAAAGTTGATCGATTCATCTTAAATTAATGAACACCACGAGTGCTGAATTTGTTCTACATACTGGAACTGAAGCTTATTAAATAAGCAGAATAATTACTACTGGAGAAGATAGGTGATAATAGTGAAGCTTCTCAACACGTCCCTACTGGATAAGGGTCCAAGATAGACCAAAATGTCGTCGATTACACTTCCTTTTCACACGTATGGGTCGAGTTATTTCTTTCAGCAATATTATTGCAACTTGTTCTCTACGTAAATATTACCTCATCGGCTTTAAATCTTTAAATCCTTAAAATTACAAGCCTTCTGGCTGAGCATGTGGCTGACCAGGAGTATATAATACAAGTTTAATCAGGATTTGGTATTATTATAATCTTCAATCTAGTTCACAAAATTTATCAAATAATATGGTAATGTTTCTTTGCTATAATGATTACATGTATCATCATTGTTGTACCCTTCACATGATAGATATCTCACACCTTACTCTTCATTATTGTCCCCCATGTTGGGGTTTCTCATTTCTCATGTTGCTTAATTTTTTTACTTGACCCTTTCCCAGCTGCAATGTTGTTGTTCTCTTAACAGCTGGTGTGTAACAAATGTGCAAGTTACTCTCAAATACTGGCAACAAATTCAATGTAACGCAAAGAACACATACAGTGCTCCAAGATATAACCAATGGGTAATCCACACAACAATCGTCAATGCTAGCAGCGACCACTCCAGACAGGCAACCAGAGCGCAACTTCATAGTCTCCCGAGACTGATGGATGCCTGCTCATAGCAGATGCGATCATAGCACTGGCATAACATTTTACGTACAGTTGTGTGACTGTGGCAAATCTTGACCTATTTGTATTGCGGACAAGTTCGGCCATACAGAGGATGGACGTACAGTACTGTATCACACGTTTGTACGTACAAATTCTGCAGCCCTAACCTTGGAGACCCTCAATACTTTGGCTCATCTTGGAAAAATAATGGCCAACACATTCTAAATATTAAAGGAGAAAATATGAACATTTTGGTTTGTCAGACAAGATGAGGTGAGGTTGCCAGGCATCAACCCAGAAAGTACCACGTGAAAAACCTATGTCAATATGCAGACGACGAGCCACAATAAAGTGGCTGAAGATATAAGCAAACCTAACATCAGGAAATGAAGAAACGATGTTTCAGTCCATCCTGAACCATCAAGTCATGTGACCATTCTCAAGTGACTTCATAATGATCCAGGACAGTCTGGAACATTTCTACATTCTGATGTGCAGTTTAGTCTTCAGGTACGTCAATAACTTAACAGTAAGAAATGCGTGCTACAATACAACAAGACTACATTAATCAATTTATTATACATTTTCTTTATATTTACTCAAAATTCGACACCCAACTCACATGTTTGAAAATAAAGCAATGGCATTTTGGTCCATCCTGGACTATTATCAAGTCGTGTGATGGACTGAACCGTCCTCACTTCCATTATTTTCAGACGTGTGGGTTAGGTGTAATTTTTAGCCAAGTTACCGTGACTTACTGACGGCATTCCAAACTAACGATTTATCATAATTACCCGTCAACCCATCAAGTTCTTTTCTGTAATTTTCACCTGTTACTTCAAGAGATGTTCTAGTCTCAACCAGGCTTGAAGTCAGCCTTTCCTACGATTGCCTAGTCCGAGGCCGGCTGTCTTCATAGGACGAAGGCCCACAGAGCCACCACAGCCAGGCTGATCCAATAACCCCCAGCAGAAATTTGTCCCATTCTCTTTCGAAAGCTTCCAATGTTCCTTAATTTTTTAAGTCATGTTACAGCCACTTACACTGAGCTTCAGTTTAAGAAGGAATGCCTGATGCTTTACCCTAATTTGCTTCACAACAGTTACTTAATACTATGAAAGTCTTATACTAAGACTGCAAATCATTCATTCAGAACATCAAACAAGTTTTCTTACCTAAATCGGAATCAAGCTGAGCATTGACCTTCTTTGCATTTTCCCGGAAGTTGCTGAAGTCTGGATCTTCATCGTCATCTTCCTCTAGGCCTTTGAGACGCAGACCTGCCAAACACCAACTTTCGTTTAAATCCTAGAAAATCCCTTCATCAACCTAAATCAAACTCTCCAAGAACACACAGGACGGTGGGGGGCAGGGAAAGAGACGCGCAGGACGGACAGTGGGGGGCAGGGAAAAAGACGCGCAGGACGGACGGTGGGGGGCAGGGAAAGACGCGCAGGACGGATGGTGGGGGGCAGGGAAAGACGCGCGCAGGACGGACGGTGGGGGGCAGGGGAAGAGACGCGCAGGACGGACGGTGGAGGGCAGGGGAAGAGACGCGCAGGACGGACGGTGGGGGGCAGGGGAAGAGACGCGGCTGACGGACAGTGGGGGGCAGGGGGAAGAAACACGCAGGACGGACGGTGGGGGGCAGGGGGAAGAGACGCGCAGGACGGACGGTGGGGGGCAGGGAAAGAGACGCGCAGGACGGACGGTGGGGGGCAGGGGAAGAGACGCGCAGGACGGACGGTGGGGGGCAGGGGAAGAAACACGCAGGACGGACGGTGGGGGGCAGGGGAAGAAACACGCAGGACGGACGGTGGGGGGCAGGGGGAAGAAACACGCAGGACGGACAGTGGGGGGCAGGGGAAGAAACACGCAGGACGGACGGTGGGGGGCAGGGGGAAGAAACACGCAGGACGGATGGTGGGGGGCAGGGGGGAAGAAACACGCAGGACGGACGGTGGGGGGCAGGGGGAGGAAACACGCAGGACGGACGGTGGGGGGCAGGGGGAAGAGACGCGCAGGACGGACGGTGGGGGGCAGGGGAAGAAACACGCAGGACGGACGGTGGGGGGGCAGGGGGAAGAAACACGCAGGACGGACGGTGGGGGGGCAGGGGAACACACACACACAGGATGGATGGTGGGGGGCAGGGGGAAGAAACACGCAGGACGGACGGTGGGGGGCAGGGGGAAGAAACACGCAGGACGGATGGTGGGGGGCAGGGGGAAGAAACACGCAGGATGGAAGGTGGGGGGCAGGGGAAGAAACACGCAGGACGGACGGTGGGGGGCAGGGGGAAGAGACACGCAGGACGGACGGTGGGGGGCAGGGGGAAGAAACACGCAGGACGGACGGTGGGGGGCAGGGGGAAGAAACACGCAGGACGGACGGTGGGGGGCAGGGGGAAGAAACACGCAGGACGGACGGTGGGGGGGCACGGGAACACACACACAGGATGGATGGTGGGGGGCAGGGGGAAGAAACACGCAGGACGGACGGTGGGGGGCAGGGGGAAGAAACACGCAGGACGGATGGTGGGGGGCAGGGGAAGAAACACGCAGGACGGAAGGTGGGGGGCAGGGGGAAGAAACACGCAGGACGGACGGTGGGGGGCAGGGGAAGAAACACGCAGGACGGAAGGTGGGGGGCAGGGGGAAGAAACACGCAGGACGGAAGGTGGGGGGCAGGGGGAAGAAACACGCAGGATGGATGGTGGGGGGCAGGGGGAAGAAACACGCAGGATGGATGGTGGGGGGCAGGGGGAAGAAACACGCAGGACGGACGGTGGGGGGCAGGGGGAAGAAACACGCAGGACGGATGGTGGGGGGCAGGGGAAGAAACACGCAGGACGGAAGGTGGGGGGCAGGGGAAGAAACACGCAGGACGGACGGTGGGGGGCAGGGGAAGAAACACGCAGGACGGAAGGTGGGGGGCAGGGGGAAGAAACACGCAGGACGGACGGTGGGGGCAGGGGAAGAAACACGCAGGACGGAAGGTGGGGGGCAGGGGGAAGAAACACGCAGGACGGAAGGTGGGGGGCAGGGGGAAGAAACACGCAGGACGGACGGTGGGGGGGCACGGGAACACACACACAGGATGGATGGTGGGGGGGCAGGGGGAAGAAACACACAGGACGGACAGTGGGGGGCAGGGGGAAGAAACACGCAGGACGGACGGTGGGGGGCAGGGGAAGAAACACGCAGGACGGACAGTGGGGGGCAGGGGAAGAAACACGCAGGACGGACAGTGGGGGGGGGGGGGGGTAGGCTTGCCTCCTGCTTCTTTGATCGCAGGTTTTAAACTGTTTTTATGTAAAGAATTTCAGTGTCACCTTTGTGTGTGTGTGTGTATATATATTTTATATATTGATTATTTCTCATGTGTGCTAGCTAATTATGTCAATTCAGAGGAGTGTTATAAATTTTTCATACATTTGTTTATTTACTTTAATATCAAAATGGTAATTTTTCACTTAAGTATTCCTTCAGTCCTGTGCAATTCTGATACTGCAAGGGCCAATGCTTTTTTTTTTTTTTTTAATGCCAAGTGCTTGCCACATTCCATCTGCCCAGTACAGTATAGTTGCACTACCGAGTCATGTCTCGCTACCAATAATCCAGCACTGTTCATTTGGATGCCTCTGTTACAAGTGGGTTACCTATGAAGAAAACGTCTCTCAACATGGCAACACACTCGAGCTGTGCATTGTTGCACTAAACACTTTACTCTGTGGATAACCGTGGACTGTCGGCCATATTGTCAACAGTAAGGATTAATTGATCAAAGTTTGGGGGATGCCTGGTGGGGCCGCTGATCACTGGAACCTCCACAAGGTAGGTAGTGCAAAGGTACAAAGAGAAATGAGCAACAGCTACAAAGATACAAAAAATAAACAGTCAGCTGAAAGAAGAGACCCAAACCTGGATGAGTAGTGGCCATTTGAGCACTGACCAACGTCTGGCTTCTCTCGTACGCAGGTCCCAGGTGTGGGTTACTCGTCACACTTGGTGCACCAGACTCAACAGGAGATGTTGCAGAGTCCTCCTTTGTGTCCTTACCCACCGGCTGCTTGGGAGTTGTCCACCACGTCTTCAAACTGCTGAAAACACTCTGGTACAAAACAAATTTACGATTACCATAGAGGATTTCAGAAATTCCATACATATCATTCACAATAACTTTACAACACTGGAAAAAAATCAATTAATAATTCACTGTGTTATGGGGATAGGAAGCCAGAGTATTCATACACATTTGGCTTTTATTCAAGTACCCCCCCCCCCACCCTTCCAGGCTGAATTACAGACCCCGCCCAGGATGCAACCCCCACACCAAGCTGACTACCTTCTGAGTACCTACACACTGTTAGGTGAAAGGAAATGTGCCCAACCATTTTTGTCTCGCCCGGGATTTGAACTCAGAATTCTTGATTGTGCATCGACAACGAACTCGACTGTATTACCGGGACCCTACACAATTGTTTAATTATTGGTATACTTTGATCACAGAATCAAAAGAGGTATCCCAGGGTTTGCACATGTATCCTGGGACCTTGAAGATTGCACAAGGGAAGATACACTACAGAGTAATTAATGCTTATTGATCAGCAACAGGAGGTAGTGAGGGTGTGGCTGGGTAATGAGGCAGGACCCCTCATTATCCAGCCACACCCTGCCTCTTCATTATTTCCACAATCAGCCTATCCACACCATTTTATAAAAGAAATTAAGTTTTCTAATGCCTATCTTGAGTATCTTCAGATAATTTCGGGGCTTGGCGTCCCCGCAGCCCGGTCCTCGACCAAGCCTTTTTTGATACACCCCCCCCCCCACCCCCAGGAAGCAACCCATTGCAGCTGTCTTAACTCCCAGGTACCTATTTACTGATAGGTGAACAGTGGCATCAGGGTGAAAGAATCTCTGCCCATTTGTTTCTCTGGGCAGAGTTTGGGACGGACAGGCAGAAACTCTGCCCATCCGTCAGTCCCCATATTGCCTAGACTCCCTTGAGTAATAAATAACAGCAAATTTCCTCCATGCTTATTAAGGCAGTTCCTTTTGGTGTAGTGGTGACCCGCACCTCGCGAGCAATTTGGACTGGATACAAATTCTTACCAGGGAGGATTATCTGGGCACCTGGGTGCTGACAGATTAGCGAGTCGTGTTCCAGGGTAAACTTGTGGATAAGGTTTACCACGAGCTTCGAGAAGGGAAAAGTTTTCAGCCTAATAAGAGGAATCAGAAGTCTTCTCCTGTACCCAAACCGGGCTGAGGTGAGTATGTGGGCCTGCGGGCCGCTCCAAGCAACAGCCTGGTGGACCAAACTCTCACAAGTCAAGTCTGGCCTCGGGCCGGGCTTGGGAAGTAGAAGAACTCCCAGAACCCCATCAACCAGGTATCAACCAGGTAACCCCCCTTTGAAAAGAAATAATTGAGGGAGTGTCAGGCATGGGGGGGGGGCCAACAATATCAAGTTATTGATTTGAGACAGTACACATTAATACAAAACTCAACTAAAACCAAAATGCTTTACATATTAGTGGCTTTATTTTTGTTCCTACCAATTAACCAATGTAACATGTTTTATGAGTATTTTATAAATAAGATTATGATGATTTATGACCTTACAAGTTAAGCAGTGTTAGCAAGGCAGCCTGAAGCTGCCTCGGGGCCAGCCTGACCTGGCCTCCAGGACGGCACACCATCTCACCTTCAGTTATCCCGACACCCGCAGGTATCACCCGGCCGAGATAAAAGCGTCAACACTACCCTATCCATGTCAAAGGTGCTTGTGTGTTAAACAAGTTTGAGCCAGTAAAGATGGGGATTATTATTGCATACTCAGCACTGTGCACATTAACTAATGTGGCCAAAGCAAATATTCCAAAAACTGGCGGATGGTTGGAATATTTGCCCCCCCCCCCTCCCGTATGAGTAGAAAATGAATGCATCAGCATTTTGGTTTGGCCTGGACCCTCATTTACTGTAATTATACTCGTGATCCCTATTCATCTACGGAGTCAACAGAGTTACATGGGACCAGCCTATGTGCCAGGGAACAGGAAACCCAAAAAAATCTCACCTTTATTCCATTAATATTTTTCTGTGTGTCCTTCAAGTTGTCATTGATGGTGTCCAAACGCTGTTCTGTGTTACTTAACTGCTCCCGCTGCTTCACCAATTCCTGAATAAAAGTTATATATATAATTGCTTGGGGCTCGGGTTTGAGTAAAAGTTTTATTACCCTATTTCTATACCCACTGCAGATCATACTAAATAGCACTTTATTAAATTTATAAAAATTTAATACACAATTCCATGTATTGTAACCTGCAATTCCTACAATATATATATATACAGTACATTTAAACCTCTGACCCATTCAGAAACCTACCAAAGTAATATGCTGGACTTTTCCCACAACAAAATGAAATCCTTCGGAAAGAAAAACAAATCTGGATGCAACCGAAGCTCAGGATTTAGGTAGAACAAGAAACTGGTCGGTGTCTGTGCCACAAGTACTCTTAACCCTTCCACTGCTCCAAACCTCTCGTGCGTAACCACCACTTGTGTATACTCACCTCTGCAGTTTCAATGCCAACTCTCTCGGTCTCGTACAAGAGCCCCTTGCTTCTCTTGGCAGAGTCTAACGTCCTCTTCTCAACCTGCAACAAAATCATTACAAGCATTTAATGAAGCAATCTGGCCAAGAAATTTTCAACTGTAAATGTAAATACTGTAGTGAAGTGATGGATTCAGAAAATCAATTTAAATAATATACCAGTACCTGAACTGCACAATTTAGAGACATTTATGCGACCGAAGTTCAGAATATTGCAGTCCGGGGAAAGACAGTGCCAAAAAAAGGAATGGATGTGGTCAAAGAACTGCATGAAGGGGGGGGGGGGGGTTGTGTTTTTTTGGGCGAGTACGCACGCACTTTTTTGGGGGGAGGTGGGGGGGCACTGTATGCACGAGTAGTAGTACTGTAGTAGGTATCCATTGGTCTCGGGAGACTATGGAGTTGCTCTCTGGTTGTCGGTCTGGAGTGGCCTCTCCAGGTTATCTTCAGATGATTTCGGGGCTTGGTGTCCCCGCGGCCCGGTCCTCGACCAGGCATCCACCCCCAGCAAGCAGCCTGTGACAGCTGACTCCCAGGTACCTATTTACTGCTAGGTAACAGGACAACAGGGTGAAAGAAACTCTGCCCATTGTCTCTCACCGGCGCCTGGGATCGAACCCGGGACCACAGGATCACGCATACAGTATTCTGTCCGCTCAGCCACCGGCTCCCAGGCCGCAAAGCCAGGATGGGTTGATATGGGGTAGGTCTAGTATGACTTATAACTTTAAAATAATTAAAACGAGTTCTACGACATTCTGAGAATCACGCATGATACTGTACAAGTATCGTACTACTGTGTATTTCGTCATGAACACACAGTAGAGTGACGAAATGTGGAGTGAAGACAATATGCCAGATTGAAGAACGCACACCGAGATGATTTAGACATTTTGAGCGAACAGATGGCAGTAGACTGGCGAAGAGTTAATTCAAGTGAATGTGATGGTAGGAGGAAAGGAAGACCAAGAACAAAGTGGACATACATGGTAAGCATGCCAGCAAGCTGGGAGTGAGTAAATAACATGCAAAATACGGCAAGGTATAGACAAGTCTAGGAAGAAGCAGTTTATATGGAAGATATTACAGTAAATTAAAATTATGGACCGAGGGGAACCAACCCTCCAAACTCTATAAACTGATATAGTTAAGTTATTGGCCAACACTTGACAGAATGACAATGGACACTTCTAACCTGTGCCTATTCCTAACTATATACTTCATGGTTGTGTTAGGGGATGATATTGTGGCTTCTTGCAGCTTATTAGTACCCGAGTTTCTGAGTTCATTAACAAAATTGCTGTGGGTTAGTTCATCTTAACTATGTCTTAATGGTAATCTGACAACCACGACTGTTGTGCCAATGTACACCAAACACGGCACCCCCAACAACGCGGTACAAGGCACACGTAAAAGCTCGAGTTCCATCACAAGTCGGATGCCACCGAGTATACGAGATGACTCCTGACCTGCCTCATCTGATGTAGAAGCTGTTGCCGGCGCATCTCTGCTTCCTGTGCTGCTTGCTGCTCCGGACCTGGCGGCAGTCTATCAGCTGCTAGGAACGTCGCACTCGAGCTGTTCATGAACTCTGTCCCACAAGTAAAAAGAGTTAAGGAGTTGCATCAAATGAACATCCTAGCAGTATTTTGCAATATTTAATATACTAAGCAAACTAGATCTCTGTAAGGCAACTAAGGCAACAGTACATTTAACGCCCAATACATTTGACATTCATAGCAATTATGAGGCCGAATAATTCAATCCATTCTCCAAACAATATCGTACAGTGCAACCTCATTTTGACAAATCACTAGTTCCAACACATTTTCCAGCCATTTACTAACCCGCTTCACCAAGCATGTGTTTGGAGGTTGACAAAGCGGGGGAATATTTCAATGTGCTTAGGAAACTGCCAGAGTTCAGACCTGTGGGAAACCTGTCTATCGTTTGATATCAAAATTAAAACTTTATATTCTGTGAAATTAGATAATAGAGCCATGAAATATTAGGGCATGAATGGTATCACTTAATATGGTTCCAATCAAGTATGTAATGACTCATAAATGGATGCAACATTAGAAGAGTTGGGGGCCTTGGGAAAGCCACTGAGCATATTTCAAACCAATTCATATGGTTCATTTTCATTTTGGGTTGCCATGGTTTCCATTCATTTAAATATGGGCACTTCCTTGAAAAATGCGGTTCGAGACTGGGGTGTGAGAAATGTTAAATGTTGTGAAATCTCTCTATAATCATTCATCATACGATAAACTGAAATTAAAATTTTGCTCAAATTAACCCATAGAGTGGAAAATCTTATGGTATGAATGGTAACAGTTAATATGGTTCCAATCATGTTTTGAATGGTTTTTGTAGATGGACGCAACATTAGAAAACAGATGAAACTATGTACTAGTATTTTCCATTTCAAAACAAATGCATCACTGGTGGTAACAAATTCCAACCCCAACAAATTGCAGTTGATCCCATATAGCTTCTTGCATCCAGGTTGTACTGTACAGTACTTATAGTAAGTATCGTAGAATGTACAAAAGAATACCACTTTACCCCCAATAGGTTCATGTTTTGTACTACTGGAATACTCCAAAGGGCATGCCAATACATGGAAAAGTTATTATAATCTGTCTTAGGCCTAAATAAGTAATCCAGGGCCTAACGTATGCCATCTTGGAGCTAATTTAGGAAGAATGTTCACTATACTAGGCCTAGGAAGGCTTACATTTTATTTTTTTCCTTTCTCTTGCCCTCTACAACAGGGGTAAAAAGCATAGTTTAATTTATGCGCAACAGTCCATACTTGTACATTCCATCAATAGTTACTACAGGTCCTAGAATTTTTTCATGACAATTTTTGAATAAAGTAGAACGAATTATATACTGTACAGTATAGTACTTTGTTAATGACTACAAGCTAACAGTAACACTAATATATAAATAACTATGAACAAAATTCTCACATCTTGATAACGTGGCTTCTATGAACATTACTGGAAGTATTTATAGCCAATTGAAATACACTTAACTTTGCCAAAGGGCAAGCACCAGCAGGGGTTATCCAGTGATATTTAGTGTCTCCGGAAGAGCCCCAACCCAACCCACACAGGAAGCCAGCGGTGATACAACGTACCAACAACATCCTGATGCAACACTGAATCAAGCTGGTAAGATAAGATAATGCTGCAGCATGTGCAGTACTGTATGCACATTTGCACAACTTATTTTCCCATTCAAGGTGATTAACTGATTTGTGGTTTCAACATGACTAGAGAACATACACAACCTTATCATTCTTTACACAGGGGATGAACGTTACCTTATCTCAAGTAGAGGACATACATGACCTTATTCTTGCACACGCACGCACACACACACACGGTTGAGAGGCGGGACCAAAGAGCCAGAGCTCAACCCCCGCAAACACAACTAGGTGAGTACACACACACACACACACACACACGGAGACCGTACACCACCTCATCCCACACACAAGAGACGAGTTCAGTATATATAGACGAGTATAACAAATGCTGAGTTAAATATGGTTTCTTAAACAAAAAAAAAACAAAAAAAAAAAAACACATACATTCTGGCTTCTACTCCCCTCGTGTGAACTTTGTCATCCTGCATATGTACACAGGAACAAACATATGACAAAGAACTTATGACAGGAAAAGCAACCCAGTTTTCTCAACTGTTTCATAACTGTCTGACCCTTACCCTTTCAAAAGGTCAACCACATAGAAGGACAGCATCAGAAAATTCAACTGTTAATTCACGGCTTTAATTGTTTATCAGACGGATAATAGAGTAAGACAGCCAGTCTCCAAACATAACCAGTCTGTCCAGAATACTGTACTCAGCATATTAGTGGCTTTGTAAGAATGTAAGAACATCAATGTTATTGTGCTCTCACAACCCAATGTACCTTTTATGTAAATAAATAAATAGAATAGACAACTGAAAAAGAAAATTGCATTGACACCAATGTCTAAACCTAAAAAATACTCATGATTTCATACAGTCCTAATGAAAATCTTTTACTTTAGTGATAATTTGAACTCGTTAAATTTAGATTTTGTTCTCATGTAAATGAACAAGCAATCAGGGTTGACACCTAGAGGTATATTAAGGTTAATAAAAGGTTTACAGAGACCAATGCCATAATATAGTTACACCTTATGTCCAGACTGGGGAAAAAAAAAAAAAAGTACATGTATTGTTCCTGCAAATTAACCGAGAAAGGTCACAAACACAGGCCAAACACATCATGCTACCTTGCATATTAATATCCTACCTTAATGCTCAATGGGTGCCAAGAAATGGGTCAAGCCTGGCCTCAGGCCGGGCTTGGGGAGTAGAACAACTCTCAGAACCCTCTCCAGGTAAGTGAACCACTAAACATTGGGATACTTGACGAGTGTGCCCGACACTCATAGTACCGAACATCCAGGACGCAGGTACAGTGGGGCCTCAATTTATGATGGTAATCCGTTCCCAGAGACTAATCGCAAATCGAAACTATTCTTCTCACAAGAAATAAAGGGAAATGAATTAATCCGTTCCAGACTTCCAAAAAATTTAACTTCAAAAGTCATTTTTATACCTAATTCACCCAAATCTTCAATACAAAAGTATGTACAAGTTATTACTTACCTTTACTGATGACTCCTGTTGTATATATCCTGTTGGCGTATGGAAGATGGTGAGGAGGGGGGGAGAAGGAGAGGTGTTAGTGTTTGGAAGGGGAGTCCCCTTCCACTATAACATCAGGCAGTGATGATTTCTCTGGGGTACACACACTCCTACATTTTGCCTGCATACCACTAGGACCCGATTGTGGTTCACCGCTAGTTTCTCACTAAAAATTTGTCTAGCGGCACTTGTTTTTCCCTTCGTTTTAACATTTGTCTGTAGTGATGCATCACAGTGTCAGTGAAAAGGTTAAGGCAACGTCCTACTACAGCTTTATTTGGGCGAGACATTTCAGCAAAAGTTTACAGTTCCTCCCATGCTGCACACTTTCTTAATTTTTGAGGCAGGGATATTCTGTACTGCCTCTATGGGCATCCTCACGTGTTTTCATATGTTGAACCTTACCACTGACTTTCTTGGGACCCATGGCATGACATAATTCATGTTCAAAAAGCAAGATAAAAAAAAAAAAAAAAAAAATTCTTATAAGCATGATCGTCACTAAGCGGGCGGCTCTAGTAAACCAAGGCAGGTCGGCCCGCGCGACCGGGAACCATGCACTCTGTCGACCCAAACTTGTATCAACAAATATCATTAGTTGATAACACTATCGTAAGTCGAGTCGCATTTTCCGATCAATTTTATATCATAACTCGACATTATCGTAAGTCGGGGCAACCGTAAATTGAGGTGCCACTGTACTGACTAAGCTCACTTATCCAAACTATATGTGAAGCCCCCTTCCCACCCCCCATCACTGGATAAGCCAGACACCCATATGAGCAAAAATTTTTTACCGGGCAAGTCCAAAAATTAACATTCATAATTTCTTGTACCACAACCAACATTATTCGGACTTCCAAACACACCCACCAATCGAGAAGCAATAAGCAATGGCGAAGTGAGTAATCATTAGTAAAATTTCCACTGTGGTTCAGTTAACTTCAGTACAGACACTTCAGAGTTACCACACACTTTAAGAACAAGAAGACATTGATATAAACTAGCTAAACACAGATGCCGAAGAAATATAAGAAAATTCACTTTCGCAAACAGAGTGGTAGACGGTTGGAACAAGTTAGGGGGAAGGTGGTGGAGGCCAAGACCGTCAGTAGTTTCAAAGCGTTATATGACAAAGAGTGCTGGGAAGACGGGACACCACGAGCATAGCTCTCATCCTGTAACTACACTTAGGTAATTACACTTAGGTAATTACACACCTTCAATGCATGGCACATTCAGAGCGCCACGCCCTATGACTCTCACCCCCGTATCCGAGCTCCTCTACCCCCGGCCTCAATCATCTCTGCTCCAGGCATCGTCTTAACTTCTACGACACTACCAACAACCGACTGCTATAATCAAGACTACTAAATATCAAAACGCCTAAACTCTGTATCTAATCAACCAAACAACATAATCATATGCTACACTCTCCTCTTACACGTGCACTAGAGACCACACCCGACCAATCCTCTTCTCGTCTTATAAATTTAAAAGTCTAAAGACAAGAATACACTTGAACCCCTTCCACTTTTATATATATAATTCAACATTAGGCAACGATAAACTAAAAATTAAAACTGGGCAACAACTCCCTGCAACACCACTGCCCAATTATGTCATGCGACAAGTCTTCACTTTAACAAGCATTTTCTTGCTGCCTTACAAGATTATACCAATAGTCACAAACCAATTTATACAGTAGCTCATGACCAGTTCCACTTGTACGCGGCAAAACACTAAATCTGATGCAGTTTGTGTGTCTGGTATAAATTGTCGGCAAGTGCAAGAATTATACTCCCAAGGGCCACCAGTCCTCGAGGCTTCAACAGGGAAAATCTTAAGAACACCTAAGGACCCCCCCCCAGCAAGAGTGGAAACCCAAACTGGGAACCCTCATCCAATAACTCCCAAGCCACCAAGAACCCCAAGGCACCAAGAGCCACCAAGGACCCCAAGGCACCAAGAGCCACCAAGGACCCCATGGCACCAAGGACCCCATGGCACCAAGAGCCACCAAGGACCCCATGGCACCAAGAGCCACCAAGGATCCCATGGCACCAAGAGCCACCAAGGACCCCCAAGCCACCAAGGACCTCAAGCCACCAAGAGCCACCAAGGACCCCAAGCCACCAAGGACCCCAAGCCACCAAGGACCCCAAGCCACCAAGGACCCCAAGCCACCAAGGACCTCAAACCACCAAGAGCCACCAAGGACCCCAAGCCACCAAGAGCCACCAAGGACCCCAAGCCACCAAGGACCTCAAACCACCAAGAGCCACCAAGGATCCCAAGCCACCAAGAACCCCAAGCCACCAAGGACCTCAAACCACCAAGAGCCACCAAGGACCCCAAACCACCAAGAGCCACCAAGGACCCCAAGCCACCAAGAGCCACCAAGGCCAAGAGGACTGCTCACCTGAGGTCATATCATCGTCGTCCAGCATGGAGAAGGCGGGTTTCTTGGGGTCAAGGGCGTAGCCGCCTCCTCGGTGAGCCATCACCTCGCCAGTGAGCGCCAACTGGCCGCCAACTGTGTCGCCAAATGCGGAAACTCGCCAACCAGACCAACCAGACGGCCACCAACCAGTTCCTCCCAGTATCAGCTGTTGTCTGACGTCATGTCAATACTCAGCTCGGAGAGTGACGTCATGCCAGAGCCAAGACGGGACAGTGACGTCACGCAATGTTTTGGTCGCAAATGCTGCCATCTTTTGTTTAAAAGCTAAACTAAATATATCAGAGAAAATTGAAATTGATATGGGTAACAATTTTTTTTCATTTTTTACTTAATTAATTAACTCTTGAAATTTCTTGATATTTATAATTAATGATTAATTTTTGAATACCAATTCGTTAAGGGTTACTACCTCTGGATGGAAGAAAGGGACCCATAGCCTCGGAAAAAGCACACACAACGCATTAGAGGAGATTTTTGGCTCCCCTTCAATGCAGTTCCATGTTTTTTGTCCTACCACCCCTCTTCTCTTTTTGTTTTGTTTTGCTTTATTATGTATTTTAAGGTTACAAGTTTTATATTGATAAATACAGTGGAATGTTAAAAGTTGTGGATCTCTTGGCACTCCACTGCTTCCGGACAGGAACCGAGGACGCAGCAGGCGTTTCCTCTCTGGAATGCCACACTGAGGCGCTCAAACAGAAAGCTGGCAGCTCTTGGGTCTCTTATGGTGTCAACGAGTCTAGTGTCAACGAGCCTGGTGCCAACGAGCCTGGTGTTAACGAACATGAGTCTCCGTGGTGTAGTGGTAAGACACTCGCCTGGTGTTCCGCGAGCGCTTGGTCGTTCGTATCCTGGCCGGGGAGGATTTACTGGGCGCAAATCCTTAACTGTAGCCTCTGTTTAATGCAACAGTAAAATGTGTACTTGGATGAAAAAACGATTCTTCGCGGCGGGGATCGTATTCCAGGGACCTGCCCGAAACGCCTTGCGTACTAGTGGCTGTACAAGAATGCAACAACTCTTGTATATATCTCAAAAAACTCTTGTATATATTTAAAAAAAACTGGTATCAACGAATTATTGTTAAATAATTCGTTGGGTTCCAGGCTTGTTGGAACCCCCAGAGACCCAAGAGCTGCCAGTTCCCAGTTTCAGTGCCTCAGTGTGGGGGATCCAGAGGGAAATGTCAGCTGTGTCCTCAGTTGGTGTCACACTTAAGACACTCCTACCCCAGGGGCTATGTGTCTCAGAGGCTATTGGAACAAAGGTGTATTGACCATCCAGTCGCCCTGTACTTGACTGATTTTGCCGTTTCCCTGTGGTTGGCCGAGACCACTAAGGTATATATCAGTGTCAGCGAGGGTAGATACACATGTGTAGTTCCCACCAGCTGTTTGACCCTCTTCCAGGGATAAATTGCGATGCGATGATGCGAGGTTCTCTGCTGGGTACTGAGCTGAAGCAAGACTTCTCTTGCTGATGTCATTAACGTCGTTGTGTCATGCATGTCAGCCCTTGGTCTGGCATGCATAACATGATTGGCCTGCTACCATCCTGTTGCAAATACACTTGTATTTGGTGTGAACTGGGTCACGAAGGCGGAGGAGCACTGTTGCAGACATGGCTACTGTCAGAAGAAAGTCCCCTGTATGGCGGGCACCCACTGCTCTGCTCCCCTTATAGATTACATTTTTTCCCTCCCCAAGATGAAATCCACAACTTGGACATAATGTGAAATAAAGCGTTGCCCAAACGTCTCTCTCCTAACTCGGAAATCCTGATAATTTAGTAATCAATGAGAGGGAGTTGTCATAGAAAACTAGCACAAGAAACTCGTCATAGAAAATGAAACTTTAGTTGGCGTAACTTGTATAAATATTGTTTTCTGACCAGGGGGAAAAAGACACAGGCCGATTGGGGCTTAAATTTTATTAGTAAATTAAATTCTGCAGAACATGTAAATAATATAAGTAGGAATTAACAAATGTAACATGTCCATGTCTGAGGACTAAATTAACTTAAAATGTACCCCCGTAGTAGTAAGCAAAGCCTAGTTACATGGCAAACCCGTTCTGCAGAAACCTAATGGCAGAAGAAATGTAATTAGAACTAGGTATAACAGTCAGAACACAAAGGGGAAATAAAGTGTATAGACACAACACTTAACGGAGCCCGACCAAGACATAATGGGAAATCCGCGAAAAGTTTCGAGTACTGCGACGGTCGGGTGGAGAGAGAGGGAGCCCCTCTCTACCTCGGAATTTATATGGCCCCGGGCTTCCCGCGCATCTGCGCGGGGCGCACTGCGCAACTGTTTCTTTGTCCCCCTCTTCAGAAACATCTCCGATTTGTATTTCAAATCAGAGGCCATTACGCGGCAAATTCTGTATACCTGAATTTACTTGAGGGCCACTAACACTCTAGTGACCTCAGGAAGGACCGAAAGCTAGCGGCTTGTCGAAGGTCCCCCCGAAAGAAAGAAAGGTCCCCCCCTTCGAAAGTCCTGATAACGTTTTTCAACTAGATTTTAAAATTACAAATTTAAAATCACACCCACCCACTGGGTAGCTCAGAGAGGGCGTGGCCGCCTGGGGTGGGTGTGGCCGCTCAGAAAGGGTGTGGTCCACCATAATATAAAACTGTTTTACGAGAAATTCATCAGTACACGTATATACCTCACCCGGGAAGGACGTACAAGATTTTTTTGTTTCAAGTGTTTTGTTGGAGAATTTTACCTGAGGGCGACCATCTCTCTCTAGTGGCCTCGACGAGGACAAGATATCTTTTATAAACGTTAAATTGAAGACTCTACATCTTTATAAACGTTTAGTGTTGTAGAGAAGGTATAATGGGTAATAAGATTGACGCATTCTCAGAGGAGCAGCTCGAGGAGTACCAGGTGAGAGAGAGAGAGAGAGAGAGAGAGAGAGAGAGAGAGAGAGAGAGAGAGAGAGAGAGAGAGAGAGAGAGAGAGAGAGAGAGAGAGAGAGAGAGAGAGAGAGAGAGAGAGAGAGAGAGAGAGAGAGAGAGAGAGAGAGAGAGAGAGAGAGAGAGAGAGAGAGAGAGAGAGAGAGAGAGAGAGAGAGAGAGAGAGAGAGACAGACAGACAGACAGACAGACAGACAGACAGACAGACAGACAGACAGACAGACAGACAGACAGACAGACAGACAGACAGACAGACAGACAGACAGACAGAGACAGACAGACAGACGCAATTATTGCTATATAGAGATAATAATATTGTATCTTATGCTGTAATACATGCAAATACTGAAGCTGAAATATAAAAAATCTGTAAATATAATATAACAGAAAATACATATGTATATATATCCATACAATACTTCCTTAGGCCTGTACCTTCCTCACCAGGAAAAATATTCTCAGGTTGGTAGTTCAATATGGCGGATATTATTCCCTTTGAAATATCATTTACATAATTCACGATTCACTAGTATATCCACATAGTGTGTCTGTGTCTTTGTGTACACATATTTATACCTTTCCGTAAATCCTATTCCCCCAATCCCACTGGGAAATCCTTCCCCGCAAATCCCCACTCCGGCAGCCTAAATCTCCACTTGTAGTTCCCGCCAAAAATAAACAAGTGAGCTTATGTTTTCAGAGCTGAGAGAATATTCCGTCAGCTTGGCGGGGGCAAGTTGCCGGAGGTGGTTGACAGGCAGTGTGCGGCTCGGTTCACCGTCCCCTACACTGCTCTTGATGCCCTGACAGAACTCAAGGTGAGACAGACTATGTAAGGGGGGTTACATGATTAAAAACAAAAGTTGTTGTCAACAGCATTAGACTTATGATCCCTGTGGCGTGAATTATTTTGTCTATAGTGCATACTTTTCTGCTTAGCTTATTATGTTTGGAATGTGCTGGGTTGTTATATGTAACTACCACCATCACCACAACCACCCCCTTCCCCATGAACCACCACCAGGAGAACCCATTCCGTCGACGGGTCTGTGAAGTCTTCAGCGGAGAAAGGTCAGCATCACTGACCTTCGATGAGTTCCTGGAGATGTTTTCAGTCTTCAGCGAGGCTGCCCCTAGGGACATTAAGGCCACCTACGCCTTCAAGGTCTACGGTAAGCTTAGTCTTAGTGCTCGGAACACTCTCAGGTCTCATAGGGTCGTCTGGCGCTGTCTCCGCTAAGGTCCACCACATTGTTTGTGCAGGGAAGGTGCACGTCCTGGTTATAAAAAGTCCTTAGAAAGAATTTTTGCGGTTTCTACATTTTTCGGGTTATCATCATGTTCAATTTTTGTTTTATTTTCCCTATTTTATATATATGGAGGGACCCATGTACTTGTATTGTTAGTCTGTAAAAGAAGTTTTATTGGTGTCCAAAGAATCTTGTGTGTGTGTGTGTATTTGAGTGATTAGGTTATGTCAGGTCAGTATTCTCACAAACATAGGCGAATAACACAGATAAATTACAATAACTATGAACAATGAGGGTTCGAACCTACACACTGGGTGTTCCCAGACGCGCTCTAGTCCACTGTACCACCACATGGTTTAATAATTGCAACTTGGAGTGTTACTGCCCCTCATGAGGTTCGAATCCTCATCAAGGCCCTTGTGGATTTGTTCAAGGAGAACAATGTTCTGTGATTCGTGGTCTGTTCTTCATGCACTTGGAAAATCTTACTAATGGAATCGAGTAGGACCCTCTTAACCTCAGTCGTTAATATAGGCCTTACAATCCCTTTGTATAGATACTATATCTCACACTAATGTAGGCTTCTACTTTGTATAGATACTATCTCTCACACTAATGTAGGCTGCTACTTTGTATAGATACTATCTCTCACACTAATGTAGGCTGCTACTTTGTATGGATACTATCTCTCACACTAATGTAGGCTTCTACTTTGTATGGATACTCTCTCTCTCACTAATGTAGGCATCTACTTTGTATGGATACTCTCTCTCTCACTAATGTAGGCTTCTACTTTGTATGGATACTCTCTCTCACACTAATGTAGGCTTCTACTTTGTATGGATACTCTCTCTCACACTAATGTAGGCTTCTACTTTGTATGGATACTCTCTCTCACACTAATGTAGGCTTCTACTTTGTATGGATACTATCTCTCACACTAATGTAGGCTTCTACTTTGTATAGATACTCTCTCTCACACTAATGTAGGCTTCTACTTTGTATGGATACTATCTCTCACACTAATGTAGGCTTCTACTTTGTATAGATACTCTCTCTCAGACTAATGTAGGCTGCTACTTTGAAACCCTCCACGGTAATAAAAAAGACATCTTTGCTGTTCCAAATTTTGCATATAAAAATATTTTGTTCAAGTCTTACTAAGAAGCCCTTTAGATTTCTAAAAATCAAATTTTTTTGTCCATACGATCCACTATCCACCTAAAATCTCTAAAATTCAGGATATTGCTTGAGAAAATTTGGCGCCAAAGAACACATTTCCCGCCAAAATGTTTGTTTACAAACATTGGCGTAACTTTTGTCAGACTTCGACGGGGACGGCTTCCTGGGGGAGGAGGACCTTCAGCAGTGTGTCCGGCACCTTACTCACGACCTCCTCACACCTGATGAGTACTCCACTATTGTCGCTAAGGTAAGGCACCGCTGGCACCGCTGGGCGCTGCTTGACACCGCTGGGGGGCCGCTTATAGCACCGCTGGGGGCCGTTCATAGCACCGCTGGGGGGCCGCTTATAGCACCGCTGGGGGCCGTTCATAGCACCGCTGGGGGTCCGCTTATAGCACCGCTGGGGGCCGTTCATAGCACCGCTGGGCGCCGCTTATAGCGCCGCTTATAGCGCCGCTTGGCACCGCTAGGGGGCTGCTTATAGCACCGCTGCGCGCTGCTTGGCACCGCTGGGGGGGAGGCCGCTTATAGCACCCCTGGGCGCTGCTTGGCACCGCTGGGCGCTGCTTGACACCGCTGGGGGTCCGCTTGGCACTGCTGGAGGGCCGCTTATAGCGCCGCTTGGCACCGCTGGGCACCGTTGGGGGTCGCTTATAGCACCGCTGGGGGCCGCTTATAGCACCGCTGGGTGGCCCGCTTATAGCACCGTTGGGGACCGCTTATAGCACCGCTGGGGGCCGCTCGACACTGACATAGTATACACATGAGCACATTCTTACACAGAACACTTTTTGACAACGATGCTTCCAAGAATACTGCAATGTGCTTCGGAGCCTCACCCAGAGCTTCAGTCATGATGGAGCCTGAACCACCAGTCTTGGAAGTCAAGTGCCAGCCCGTCCTCATAAACAAAGGCCATAGTTCATTCCATGCACCCGCCAAATCTGCTGTTTATGAAGGAAGGTTTACACACGACTCTTCAACTGATGACGTTCGAACACTTCCGAAACACTGACGACTTTTGTTCGAACCACAATGTGGGTGAAGCTGCAAATGCTTCACCCACATACTACAAATACAAATAATCGCCAACAGAACCTAAACACCTAACCTAACCAATGCCTAAATATACACAATATGCTGATATATATCAATATTAATTTATATTTGAGAAAATTCCTATTATTTTAATTCATAAACAAAAGTGGTTATATTCGGTGTGCAGGTGCTGGAGGAGGCGGACGTGGACTGCGACGGTCGGCTCTCACAGTCAGAGTTCACACACGTCATCCTTAAGAGTCCGGAGTTCGTCTCTAACTTCCACATCCGCATCTGAACGCCCCCGGCGGCCGGCGGGCGGGCCAACTGGCGCGATGGTTCTTGATGCGTCTTACGCCTTATTGGCTTTTTGTTTACAATCATTATTAATATTATTATCAGTTATTATATTATTATAACACATTTTATTATGAATTATTATTGTTATTATTAGTTAAATATAATAATAACATTATTATATGTTATTATTATTATTATATTTCATTTGTAATTATTATTTGTTAATATTCTAATCATTGTATTGTTATAATTATTAATTATAAATGTTAATATATCAGACATTGTTTGTCCTGTCATCATTGATTATTGCTGGCAGCCGCTGGCCGCCACACATGGGTAGGATCCCCGGCATGTGCTCATTTTCAACCTCCATGTGTGTCGGTCTGCTGGCGGCACTCTACCATTACCTGATTGAATTACCAGCGTGAGGTCATGCGAGCCTTACCACCCCCAAATATAGTCAACCCTCAGAAATAATAAACTGCCTGTTGAGGGTTAGATGAAAGTGTTTCGTAAGTAGTACTTCGGCTATGTCTAATCTTTTACAATACAATACAATACAATACAATTTTATTTAGGTAAGGTACATACATACAATAAATATTTACAAGGATTGTTTGACTTATAGGTATAGCTAGTACATACACTGCCTAAAGCCACTATTACGCAAAGCGTTTCGGGCATGATAAACTTAAATGACAAGCTTAATACTAATTGAGCATAATGAGTAGAATGAAAACAAGAAATGAAAACATAGATGAAAAAGCAGCACAAATACAATTATGTCGACAAACAGCGCTCTTTAAAGAAAAAAACAGACATTGGTTGACAATAGAAGGGTAAGGTAGGTTACAGGGAATTTATTAGGTATAGCTTCGCTTTTAACTTAAACTGGTTGAGAGAGGTACAGTCTTTAACATGGTTGGGAAGGTCATTCCACATTCTGGGCCCCTTGATTTGTAGAGCATTTCTAGTTTGATTAAGTCGTACTCTAGGAATATCAAAACTGTATTTATTTCTGGTGTGATGCTCATGGGTTCTGATACAACCTTCTATGAAGCTTTTGAGATCAGGATTTTATTGACGTTAGCTGTTGGTTACAATATCTCTGGTGATGGTCGTATGTAGGAACGATGTGATTATAGAGCCTTGTTTGTGTAGAGCCAGACACCTTGAGTAAGTTGTTGTCTTGCCTATATATTGACCTCGTTGGGACTGACAAGTCACCAAGTGAGCATGTGAAGGCATAGACCACATTCGTACACATGAACAAATCCAACTGGACCCTTGATGAGGTTCGAACTTATGTGCTATGGGTGTCCCCAGGCGTGCTCTAGTCGACTGCACCACGATAACACATCCAGCACACAGGTTCGAACCCTCTTCACGGCCCCTGTTGGATTTGTTCATTGATATATCACGATAATGTGATTTATCTGTGCATTCATACACATATCAGATTACTAGACATAACTACATGTACAAATGTACATATTACTACATATACAAGTGTACAAAGCAGTTCACATATGTGTACTAGTACAAATATTCAATAGTCAAATTAATGCAGCATGGTAGGGTGATTTATTGACCAGGATTTACAGGTCGAGCTGTGGTTGACTTTACTGGATTAGTTGAAAGATTTCTGGACAAAATATGTGAGTCTTTAAGAGTCCAGGACGTAGTTGTTTATGGGTCAAGGTGAAGGGGGATTAATAGGCCAATATGTAGGAGGATTTTACAGCATAATGCACTAGAAATTTATAGTTCAGATGTGGGGATGTCCCTGATGTGGAGGGATTAAGTTGTGTTGTGGATTTACAGCAACTGTATGAGGGGGATACAGGTCAGAGTATGGAGGTTAGTAAATCTAGGTGCAGCGGATTTACAGCGATAGAGAGAGGAGGGGGGGGATTTACAAGTCAGGACGTGAGAGGGATTTGTCGACATTGATGTAGTTGATAAAATACTTAACTCTTTGATATCAGAATCGAAGGATTTTCAGAAATCCTTCATGGAGATTTGCCAGCTATCTGATGTGCGTGGGCGGATCTCTCAGCTCTCAGGTGTGGGCGGATCTCTCAGCTGTCAGGTGGGGTGGATCGCTCAGGTGTCAGGTGTGGGCTTGTGCTTGCGGTGTGGGCGTGGGAGAAGCCCCAAGTCACCCGCCCGGTACTTGACCTGACGAGGACCGCCCACGGGTGCCGCCCCCACGCCCACGGGTGGTGCCGCCGCCCCCACGGGTGCCGCCCCCTCCCCAGCAGGGGCCTCACCGACCACCCCACGCCCATGGTGGGCGGCCTCAGCTGATGACAGTAGGCTGACCAGCTGCTGGAGTATGCCCGCCATGTTGTCCTCTCCCGTCTCGCCGCCCTCCTGCGGGGCATAAACTGGTGAGAGAGAGCTGCTCACCATGAAGGCAGCACGGTGCAGGAGAGAGAGAGAGAGAGAGCTACTCACCATGAAGGCAGCACGGTGCAGGAGAGAGAGAGAGAGAGAGAGAGAGAGAGAGAGAGAGACTCACCATGAAGGCAGCAGGTGCAGAGAGAGAGAGAGAGAGAGAGAGAGAGAGAGAGAGAGAGAGAGAGAGAGAGAGAGAGAGCTAGAGAGAGATGAGAGAGAGAGAGAGAGAGTGAGAGAGAGAGAGAGAGAGAGAGAGAGAGAGAGAGAGAGAGAGGCAGAGGAGCAGGAGAGAGAGAGAGAGAGAGAGAGAGAGAGAGAGAGAGAGAGAGAGAGAGAGAGAGAGAGAGAGAGAGAGAGAGAGAGAGAGAGAGAGAGAGAGAGAGCTACTCACCATGAAGGCAGCACGGTGCAGGAGAGAGAGAGAGAGCTACTCACCATGAAGGCAGCACGGTGCAGGAGAGAGAGAGAGCTATACTCACCATGAAGGCAGCACGGTGCAGGAGAGAGAGAGAGAGCTACTCACCATGAAGGCAGCACGGTGCAGGAGAGAGAGAGAGCTACTCACCATGAAGGCAGCACGGTGCAGGAGAGAGAGAGAGCTACTCACCATGAAGGCAGCACGGTGCAGGAGAGAGAGCGCCCCAGACAGGGCCTCCTGGAGGGCCCTCCTCACACCGTCCTCCTGGTGCAGGTGTGTCGTCGTCAGCTCCAGGGCCGTGTCTTTCTCCGCCGCCTTCTCCCTCAGGTCACAGGTGGCCTGGGTCATGGCGTCCACCTGCCCCTGCATCACCTGTAAGGTCACACACACTGTTACTGCCCGCTCCTGTGCCAGGTAAGTCCACTACGGGCTCACCATAGCCCGTGCTACTTGCCCCGCTCCTGTGCCAGGTAAGTCCACTACGGGCTCACCATAGCCCGTGCTACTTGCCCCGCTCCTGTGCCAGGTAAGTCCACTACGGGCTCACCATAGCCCGTGCTACTTGCCCCGCTCCTGTGCCAGGTAAGTCCACTACGGGCTCACCATAGCCCGTGCTACTTGCCCCGCTCCTGTGCCAGGTAAGTACACTACGGGCTCACCATAGCCCGTGCTACTTGCCCCGCTCCTGTGCCAGGTAAGTCCACTACGGGCTCACCATAGCCCGTGCTACTTGCCCCGCTCCTGTGCCAGGTAAGTACACTACGGGCTCACTATAGCCCGTGCTACTTGCAACTTTTGACTCCCAGGAGCTGAATCTTAAACAACAACTTTCTCACTACCATGGCAGGTTCTGAATGCTAAAATATGCCAAAACGAAAATGGAAAATGGAGAGAGGCAATCGTAATGAAGTTATACCATGTGGGAATGGCAACATATGGGAACCTGGCAGACACTAGAAATCAAAACCAGGCTCTTTCATGGCAATCTACAAAGCCTCTGCTACACTAATATTGGAATACGCAGCACCGGCCTGGAATCCGCTTCGTGTGAAGCATAAATAAAGACTTCCAACAAGACTAGAGGCGCGTATAGGAGGTCTGAGCTATGAAGATAGGTTAAGATGGGGACATGATGACAACATACATGATAAGGAAGTTATGGTCTCACCCACCTGCAAGTCCCGCCGCAGACTCTGGTTCTCCCTGGCCAGGCGGTCGTAGTCCTTCCATACATGGGTGTGGTTCTCTGCTCGTTCCGTCAGCGCCTCCAGCAGACGGGCTCTCCTCTCCCCCCTGGCGGTCACCCGGGACACCGTGTCCTGCAGCAGACCCTCCCGCACCTGCAGACATATACCAGGGGTCTACAGTGTGTACATGGCCACCAGCAGACATACACCAGGGGTCTACAGTAAACATCTGCCACGTACACACTATATATCGCCTCTGACTGACCTGTGAATCACATTGGCTCTCTCTCAGGTCCTAAATACTCCGCCCTGTGACTGACCTGTGAGTCAGACAGGGCCTCCCTCAGGTCCTGGTTCTCGGACCTGAGGGCCCCGAGCTTCTCCCTGAAGACCTCCAGTTGCTTGGTCAGGGCCTCGTTCTCGTGGAGTGCGCGTCGGGTGGTGGAATGGACCTCCGTCTGCGCAGCCCTGCGCAGGTCCTCAGTAATTCTAGACACCCTGGCCTCCAGTTCGGCCCTGAGGGCTGCGGCCTCCACCAAGGCCGCCTTCTCCAGGAAGCTGACCTGCAAAAGGGCGGGTGAGTAGGTGAAACGGACTCGAACCCAGGAAGATTATGCATGTGAAACTCAGACCTCAATAGCCATAGCCACCCACCTTCTCCTGGTGCTTCTCCTTGCAGTCCTCCAGCTGGTGCTCGAGGGCAAGCAGCTTGGCCTCGAGCTCCTCCTTGTGCTGGCGGAACTCTTCCAGACTCTCCAGCTTCCTGGTGAGGGCGATGATCTTGTCGTTGAGGTCGAGGCGGGTGTTCTCCGCCTCCTTCCCCAGCCTGGAGAGGCGCGCCTGTTGGCGGCGACACAATCAGAGGTCGCCCTAATGCCTCGTGTGTTTATGGAATAGAACGAGTCGTTAAAAAGACGACGCATGATGACTAGTTAAAGTAATGTTGTCGTTTTCGACACATTGGCATCGGGAGGTTAGAAGGAACGGCTTCTATTCGTATGTTTCTGGGAAAAACAATTGCATTTTTACGGTTTTGGTTAGGCAAAACGGTTGTATATTTTACGGAGTAGATTATATGGAAATTGAGGTGTCTGTCGATGCCATTTCCATCCTTAATACATCCTCACTACTGTGAGGATGTATTAAAGATGTATGATTAGATACATAGGATGTATCTACTCTCCCTGGTCCCCGGGGTCGCCCCAGAACCAATAATGCGTTGGTTAAGAGGGCTTCCTGAGGTCCTCAGTAGTCCCCCCTAGAAACTGTATTACGTAAACCATTTTCTTACATGGTTTACAAGAAAATCTTCTAATGACAGAAGATTGTGATTTGTCACGGAAGACTATTACAAAATATCCTTGCATAGCTATAGTTAAATTATGGATACCCTTGGCTGCCCATACCCTTGGTAGCCGTGATGAGGGTTCGAACCTATGCAGCTGGGTAGTACCACGCACACGCTCTACCGACTAGACTACGACATGGTAATAAGGATTGCAACCTGGAGTTTTACTGAACACAAGGGTTTTTTGCGGCTTCTACTGGAGCCTGACCAGGATTTTCACACAATCACCCCCCCCTCTACCACCACCACAATTACCACCACAATCATTATTACCTCGTACTCCTGTTGCTCGGCTAGTTTGGACTTCACTAGCCCGGATAGTCGGTTCCGCAGCTCTTCAACCTCGTCACTTTTGGAGGACAGTCTGTGAATTGGGGAATAGTTAGCGATCTGGATGGCATAAAAGTTAAATATATTCCATATATTGAAAGTATAGCATCTACCTTTTTGTCACTATCCCCTATCCCTCTTATTACTCTCTCCTGGGCCGCTGCTGTCCATCCCTATCCTACCTGTCCTTGAGGAAGGCGATGATGTCGGTCTTGTCGGAGTGCAACTTGTCGTACTGCGCGCGCGCGTGCTTCTCCGCGTCGTCCAGTTGGTCACCTCGCGTCGTAGACCTCTTTAGTTTGACCTCAAGCGCCTGTCCAGGTGGATAGGGGATTGTATGTTCAGCTGAGTTAACCTGAGGCTCGTCGTCTCTAGGGGGGCTTCGAGGGAGGATAGGTAGCCCTGGGGGTCGTCATCCCTAGGGGAGCTTCGAGGGGGATAGGTAGCCCTGGGGGTCGTCATCCCTAGGGGAGCTTCGAGGGGGGGATAGGTAGCCCTAGGGGTCGTCATCCCTAGGGGAGCTTCGAGGGGGGATAGGTAGCCCTGGGGGTCGTCATCTCTAGGGGAGCTTCGAGGGGGGATAGGTAGCCCTGGGGGTCGTCATCTCTAGGGGAGCTTCGAGGGGAGGATAGGTAGCCCTAGGGGTCGTCATCCCTAGGGGAGCTTCGAGGGGGGATAGGTAGCCCTGGGGGTCGTCATCCCTAGGGGAGCTTCGAGGGGGGATAGGTAGCCCTAGGGGTCGTCATCCCTAGGGGAGCTTAGAGAGGGGATAGGTAGCCCTGGGGGTCGTCATCCCTAGGGGCCACGGTAGGGACAGGAAGCCATAATCCCAGACTATCGACCTTGCCAAAGGTTCTGGATGAGGGGATAGGTGTTGCAATATGGCATCCCTTTATGGGATAGTCATGAATGGCCCCCTTAACAACGCCGTCCGCAAGATCATTCGAGGTTACACCAATAGATGTGTAGGCAATATTATATCGAGATGAATATGTATGAATAAGGATAAATTAATATGAATATGTTTGAGGTGGAGTGTGTGGATATAGGGATCGATGAGCAGGTGGATAGACAGGAGTTAGTAGCCTAAGAGATGGATATCTTAGTAGCCTAAGAGATGGATATCTTAGTAGCCTAAGAGATGGATATCTTAGTAGCCTAAGAGATGGATATCTTAGTAGCCTAAGAGATGGATATCTTAGTAGCCTAAGAGATGGATATCTTAGTAGCCTTAGTACCCACAGTGACTCAGCAACGGACTCACCTGGATCTGGTTGAGGTAGTAGTGCTTGTCCAGCTCCGATATCGCCTCCTTGGGCTTGCCAGCATCGTCCTCCTCCTTCTTGTCCTTCTTTTTCCCGCCTTTTTTCTTACCCTTTTTCTTGGGCGCCATGTTTGTTTACGTTTGTCAGCTGATGGGGCAATAAGCACGTGGTGGCTGGAGGTTAGTGTTTGTTTACGTTTGTCAGCTGATGGGGCAATAAGCACGTGGTGGCTGGAGGTTAGTGTTTGTTTACGTTTGTCAGCTGATGGGGCAATAAGCACGTGGTGGCTGGAGGTTAGTGTTTGTTTACGTTTGTCAGCTGATGGGGCAATAAGCACGTGGTGGCTGGAGGTCAGTGTTTGGGCGCCATGTTTGTTTACGTTTGTCAGCTGATGGGGCAATAAGCACGTGGTCGATATATAGGGAATAGTGAGAGAGAGCGAGATAGGAGTAGAGAACTGAAATAGGGAGAAGGGAGAGGTAAACAAATGGAGATAAGAGGGAGTTTTTATTTAAATAAATCAAACTTTTTTAATCCAAATATATTAGGAAACATATTTGATTAATGTTTGGTTTAATAAATATATTTTTTCATGTGTTTATTTTATCAAAGAATTATTGGTCGGCAACCCTTTTTATTAATATCACATTTTTGGTGGAAAATTTCCATTCTTTGAACAAAAATGTTGGAGATCACCAATTGATTTGTAGTGTTAAGTTGGCGCATTCTAATACTATATTTACTTACGTGAATATTGTAGTTTAGAGCGCCATTGTTTAGAAAAATGTCAGCCAATCTGTAAGACCAGAACATAAACGCGAATCACTTTGACCACATATCAGTACAGCATAGGCAACTATAACACATAGAAATCACAATAGCGTGATGAATCAAATGAACAAATCCACAAGGGCCGTGACGAGGATTCGAACCTACGCCCGAGAGCATCCCAGACGCTGCCTTAATCGACTGAGCTCGTCACGGCCCTTGTGGATTTGTTCATTTGATTCATCACGCTATTGTGATTTCTGTGTGTAATGATGTAAGGGGCGAAGAGGGAGAACGGCCTACTGACATAGCTCGAGTGCAGGGGGGAGTTGTGTAAAACCCTGGTTTGTGTCTCGGAGAGGCTGCAGGATCCAGTAAGTTCAGTAGAACTTCGGTTTCAACTCTTTTGACCATGTCGTAGCTCAGTCGATTAAGGCAGCGTCTGGGATGCTCTCGGACGCAGGTTCGAATCCTCATCACGTCCCTTGTGGATTTGTTCACAGGCAACTATATTTTAAAAAATGTGATAAGATTTCTCAAGTTGATCCAACCTTGTGTCGTCAAAGTAGTTACAAACTACCAGGTCACAGTAGTTGCAGCTCGGCACAGTAGTCTTGACTACAGTTCACCGTCAACACTACCTAGCAACACGGGCTGCACGAAGTATATTACGGGAGCAACACCGGGGGGGGGGGTTATCTCCCCCGGTGTAAGGGGGGACATGTAAGGGGGAAATATATCAACACAATGAAACACTAAAACACAGTAGATATAAGATTGAGTAAGTTTAGAGTCAAGAAAGACCTGGGTAAATACTGGTTTAGTAACAGAGTTGTCGATTTGTGGGACAGAATATCGGTTAATATAATAGACGTGGGACCACTTGACTGTTTCAAGCGTAGGTCAGACATACGTGAACGACGAGTTTGAGTGTATATATAAATAGGAGCCGTCTCGTGTATGGCCCAAGAGGACTTCACGGCTAATCCTAGTCACAAAAAAAGACTAGAATTATTCTTCAAGTGGTCCCGGGGCGCCATAAGAATTAACCAAATGTATTAACCAATAAGTATTGTCCGCGGGTAACACCATGAGCGGGTAATACTGTCACGACGGGATAATACGATATATCTCCTCTCACCTGGGGCCACGGCCGCCATTGTTGTAAACAAACACGTTGCCATGACAACCACCACCTGCTTCATACGAACATACACACATTTATTTATTTAATTATATATTTATTTATTTATATATTTATTTATTTATTTTTATTTATTTATTTATTTATATACCAGAAGGTACATTGGGTTATTGAGAGTACAGAGATTTGAAGTTTTGCAGTCTTGTAAAGCCACTAGCACGCATAGCGTTTCGGGCAGATCCTTAATCTAACATAACTTTAAGAAGGCAATTTCTAGCAAAATTAAAAGAAAAATACAGGTACAGTATAAAAACGCATTTTAAGTATAAAAAAATACATTGTTTAAGAAATTTAACAAAAAAGTAGGTACAGTCAACTTAAGGATTATACACAGTACATTGTAGCATAATTTGAGGATTATTGCAAGATATAATGTAGCAAGCTATATGTATAACATGATATAAGATAACAGGAATGATTACAATGGTAAAGTTGTTTGACATGGTACATATATTGGGGGATTGGGTAGCACTAGATACAGTGCGTGTTTCAAGAACTAGTTAGGAAACACATATAGAATATGTATGTACATTTATTCATGTCAACAATTGGTTTGCATCACTTATAGCAACAATCGCATTGTTTACTAATTAGGCCATCTTTAAGTGCAGGTTGTCCGCATATTATTTCGGTATATATTAATAGTGGCTGATGTTTACCTGGATTAACAGCCTAGTGGCTTTAATGAGGACAGTAAGCCGGCGGCTTGTTAAAGGTTTCCCTATTTGTCTCAACGATTTTTTCCAGCTGACTTTCAGTTTAGAAATTTTGTCATTTAAGTAATTATCAAAAGCAGGCACCAAGCCGGGAAGGCTGTGTAGCACCATGAAATGTGCGGGAGAATCACAGGGCGCTAAATATCACCAGGGAGCCGGTCGGCCGAGTGGACAGCACACTGGACTTGTTATCCTGTGGTCCCGGGTTCGATCCCGGGCGCCGGCGAGAAACAATGGGCAGAGTTTCTTTCACCCTATGCCCCTGTTACCTAGCAGTAAATAGGTACCTGGGTGTTAGTCAGCTGTCACGGGCTGCTTCCTGGGGGTGGAGGCCTGGTCGAGGACCGGGCCGCGGGGACACTAAAGCCCCGAAATCATCTCAAGATAAGAAGATAAGGATGCCAATACTGTATAAGAACAGAAACGCATAAGGCGAACGATATCAAAAGTATCCGAGTCACCAAGAATTCTATCGAGGGACAAGTGACCGCGAGGGACGGTCGGAAAGCAAGACACACGCTCGTCCTGGAAGTCAGGACATTGAACAAGGATATGCACGACCGTAAGAGGGACAATGCAATTTGGACAATAAGGAGCAGGGCGGCGCTCCATTAAGTGACCGTGAGTTAAGCGAGTATGACCAATATGCAACCTTGCCAGAGCCGTTTCCCACCGCCGGTTACGGTGGTAGGAGGAAGGCCACTGGGACACACTACCCTTAAGAGTACGCAGTGTGTTACCAGTAACAGAAGACCAACAACTCTGCCAAACTGGCAAGGATGGAGGCATGAATAACTGGGTAAAAGTCGAAATAAGGAATACCTTTACGGGAGATGGGACAAGTGCGGATAGCGTCCTTAGCAGCAGCATCCGCACGCTCATAAGAGACACCAACATGACTGGGAACCCAACAAAACTCTACCGACTTAAATTTACTGGGGATAGGAAACAGCCAATGTTGAATCTTTACCTCTCAGATGACCACCGGGTGGACCGGATTAAAGGACCCGAGAGCCATGATGGCACTACGAGAGTCAACTAGCACCACAAAGGAGGATTGACACCGGGAAAACAGGAGACGAAGAGCATAGAGAATAGCATAAAGTTCTGCTGTGAAGATGCTAGCCTCCGGAGGGAGGCGACACATATAAGTGTGGTCAGGAAAAACAACAGAGTAGCCAACACCGTCAGCAGACTTAGACCCATCGGTGAAGATGGGAACGGAGCGGGAGTGAGAAGAAAAGTGCTCAAGGAAGAGGCGTTTCAGAACTGTAGGAGGGGTAAAAGCTTTAGTGATGCGGGTCAGGGAAGTACAAAATTTGGGAAGGGGGACCCTCCACGGGGGCAAGGATGGAACAATACGAGGAGAAACACGAACCGAAAGAGAATCTTGTAAGCGAGACAAACGGACAGAAAGAGGAAGGTGGTGAAGAGGAACAGGAACCACAGGAGGGGTAAAAGTCAAAGCACGACAGAGGCGAAAGTGATGATGCTGTAAGGACCGCGCAAGATAGCGAAGACAGTAGCGATCACGGAGGTCCTGGAGAGACAGGAAGCCAGTGTCAGCGTACAAGCTGAGGATGGGAGTGGAACGAAAGGCACCGGAGCTGAGGTGCAACCCAGTATGGTGCAAAGCATCGAGACGACGAAGAGTAGGAGAAGCAGAAGAGTATGCAGGGCAACCATAATCGAGTTTAGACAAGATGAGAGAGGAGTGCAAATAGAGGCGCGTGCGCCTATCCGCTCCTCAAGTACAGGACAATACCTTATATACATACATCATACATGACCCCCTCCTCAATGCCACAAGGCCAAACACTAAAGGGATTCACAGGCAACACCCAGACTGGGGCGCAAGGCGGGTTGGAGAATGTTTTAAAAGATCGAGCTACTGGGAACAAAGTGCCAAATAGCACGGGCTACGGTGGCCCCGTGGTGGATTAACCTGGCACATGTGACGGTGCCCTCTCCAGTTTCTCCCATATGCCAGCTGTACGTCATATCAGCTTACCTGCAGGCTCTCTGAGGTGCAGGGAATCTTTTGAGGTATGAGGCTTCCAGGATGGTTGCTTATTTGGGGAGAAAGTTGCATTTGTAAATTTGCAGGGAAGTGGAAAAGTTGCGCCCTGGGTACAACAAACTGGCGCCGCCTGGCTTGCAAATTCGCCATTTTGTGTACGACGCCTGCCGGTCGGTGATTGGCTGGCTGAGGTCACATGACTTCATTGACCAATCAGAGCCCGCCCCTGGGCCTGTGACGTTACCCAGAGACATGGCCCGCCGCCTGCAGAGCGCCAGGCGCTCAGTGATACTTGGCGCTCCGTTGAGAGCGGACGTGCGCCCATTGGGCTCTCAAGTTCCAAGGTCTAGGAGCCTCCTTAAGTGGAGATACACAGCCTGACGAGTATATAGTGACTACCAAGGACTGCAGTACTTCAGGGAAGTGTGAGGAAGCCTAATCCAGCGGTATAAGGGCGCCGAGGACCGTGAGCTGGTTAGTCTTGGAGACTAATCAGAGTTACGACGGCTGGAGGAGAGTGACGCCGTCAGTGTAACTCCAAAACATTCAGAGCTGTGGTGATGGATCACGCCCACTAGGACCTCAGGAGGTCCATCCTGATCCATGAGTGTGGTCTCGGTGAAGGAGTGCTTGAGGGGACGACGTGTACAGTGACGACTGGACGAGCCAGCGCCCAGGAACGTCACTCAGGGAATGTGCACAGAGATGACCAGGACCTTCACCACGCCTGTGGTCTGGTGACGCTCCTGGAACACTGAGGAACAACGCCAGGAACGGAGCACCCAGCGACCGGGGCCCAGGCGTCTGAGGACAGGATATGTTAAGGTACATCATAATTACCTCCCATATTTGCCTTGGTTGTTAGGCAAGATAGGCCTATTATTATGCTTAGGCATTTATTAGAGTGCACACAAGTCATAGGAGTAGATTAGGGTGTGGGCCAGCACGGACACATTATTCTACTGTGTGGTGATGACAGCGTGTGGCCGGCCCCTGGAGGAGTGAGGGACGACGTTGACGGAGCCGCCCCCAGTGAAGGCGCCATGAAGTGATCACTTTAACTCATCACCTGATGCCACCTGCCACCAGAGGACCGCTCCTCTCACCATTATTACTATTTCCATAAATCCTTACATGTATCTTGTGATGTAGTTTACTTTGAGTAAACTTTTTATTTTACCACTGCTTGTGGTGTAACCATCTCATTAATAACATGATTATACTGTACTGTTACTGGCATGACAGTGATCCTGAGATGGCAACACGACTGTACATTTGAATTCTAGTATTGGTAGCACATATAGTATGATCCTGGGCTGCTGTAAATATATTATATTCGAACTAACAGCGTTGCTGGGACGCAGAGAGAATTAATCAGCTGGCGACCAGAAGGTAAGAGGTGGAAGTGAGGCTACGGCCGGAAGTCCGGCAAATTCTCTGCACGCATAGGTGGGCAGGCCCGGTGGGGATCACATACTGCAGGATTGAGCTTAGTAGTGAGCTGGGCCTTCTCCTCTCCCCCTTGGGTCCAAAGTCAAGTGGTGACCGGTCTTGAGGCATGACTAGGAGTGATGTGATACCTTAGTGGAGGGAGCGAAGACCCACGGCGTGAGGCAACCCGTTCTCGCACTTTCGTATAGTCAATATTGACTTATTAAATACATGCATGTGACGTGTTTATTGTGAAAATTTTAAGTTTACCTTGAAAAGCTTCATAGAAAACACCGACCTTACCTAACCTTCTTAGTATGTTAAGATAAGCATCTTATTGCTTCGTAATTACAATTATTACTTAACCTATTATAGGTATAGGTTAAGTAATAACCTATAACAATTATTACTTAACCTATTATAGGTATAGGTTAAGTAATAATTGTAATTACGAAGCAATAAGAGGCTTATCTTAACATACTAAGAAGGTTAGGTAAGGTCGGTGTTTTCTATGAAGCTTTTCAAAGTAAACAAATATTCACAATAAATTAGTATGTCAGTCAATATTGACTTTTTTAATAAGTGCAAGAACGGGTTGCGTGAGGTTATAGTATCAGCAGCACGATCCCCGCTGTATAACTGTAACCTCATGTAACAAGGCCATGGTGAGCGGCGCGTGACACAGGAGCAGCTCTGTAACTTGGGGTTGAGGATCTTTGGTCGGTGGAGGCCACCTAGTCGTACAGAAGCCTCTGTCAATAGGTCACACTTGAGGGCAACGCCCACTGAGGGGGAGTAGGGGGCTTGTGTCTTGCCAGTAAGGTAAGGTAATTATCAAAAGAAGGCACCAAACCGGGATGGCTATTTAGCACCATGTGTCAATATTCATAATTTCCCAGAAATTATTCTCGGCAGTTCCGTTTCTGCACAATGATACACAATACAATCAAGATAATCAAACAATATGAATAAACTTTAAATATTTTATTTTGCAATGCTTTTTAATACTTACCTAATATATATATTTATATAAAAAAAAAAAGGTTGGGTGGTCCTCCTCCTCAAAGAGCCAGTATAACCAAGACAAAAGATAAGTGAACAGGTAAACACTAGTGAAGAGGAGCAATGAGCTGAACCAAGAAGCATCCCTGACTGCAGGCGCACAGACACTGTGAATAACAGTCCCATATAAATTATCATCCACACTTCCGTGGGGAATAAACATTTCACTCACCTGGGCTATACGAGTCTCGAACCACCGACCCCAATAGCCCAGTCGATAGAGCTTCGGCCTCTCTCGCGTGGTGTCCACGGCTCGAGCCTCCTAGTGCCCAGGTGCATGAAATAGTTCCATACTTACAATAGCCATCTTGAGACAAATATTAAGGTCATACGATGGGATCGAACCATCGCTCCACTGGATTTCCCATCGTATCACCTCGGTATTTTTATCATAGGAACATCACGGTCTTGAGATTTCCTCCTTCGTGGCTAAGTCAACCAAACTCCATCAGGTTCTTGTTTTGCTGTGCATGCATAATGTTATTCATGATGGTCCTATGATACTCCCACACCACGCGCCTGCTTCCATCCTGGGACACACACACACACCCCGATACAAATACTGCACTTGGCTACGCTCTCAAAAAGCAAGTCACAAACTTTGTATGTGTGAATTTACCAAGTAATTATCAAAATATATAAAACTTGACTCAAATGCTGCTAAAAAATAAATTATTCGTTTTTCAAATCATTTACCTTTACAATACAATTTTACATGGTACATACATAACCTGAACTCTTGCTCAAACCAATAAACATAAATCTAATAAAGTAATTACTTTCAATAACAAGTCGTCTGAAATTAAAATGTCAAGGAGAATTTAAGAGGGCGCTGGCCAATTCAAAAGCTTCCATGAAGCTATCCATCAGAAAATGCCAACTCAATGTCAATTTTGTTATAACCAAGTATAAAAATAATATAAAACATACAAATCTGAATTTACCCTCTTTGGTTCCAGTACAGAATTCCCAACACAATCCTATACACTCATCAGTCATATGGAAGCAACACCAGTGTCCAAATACTCCACTACACTGGTCTCCCATACACGTCTATGTACCTGTGGTTCAACAATTATACACTGAAAAACCAGAGATGAATACGATGAGAAAAATTGATTAATGTATTAAAAAATGGAGGAAATACTGTACATTAGAAACACAAAGTAGGCAGAGGAGGGCCGAGTGTTGACATTGTCGACCCAAGCAGCAAGAACAATGCTATATAAACATGCCACTACTTCATAAATGCATTTACCTGGTGCATCCAACCAACCATCAGAGAAACTTCCACTACTTCCTCCACACCCCACACAGTCTCCCAATTCATACGACTTGCTCCGGAAAACCCTGACCAGTTGTCCAAGTTTATTAGACAACCACCTCAACAAGCAACAGTACAAACCACTTTTCGTCCATCCAACCACATATTGCAAGATCCCATATAACTTTAGTATCAAAATACCTTGCAGCTTACTGAGCCAATCTCAAATCTGGTGCATGTGCTTTTGGGTAGTCCAGAGATGTGGGTCTGATCCCATCCCTGAACACATTCACCTCACACAAATTGAATAAAAACACAGTAAACGTCAAAATTGATTACCAATCTAAGATGCCAGTCACTTGCCAACAGGATTCAAAAGGACGTTCTACAGATTACACGAGCCATATGCAACGTCTTAATTTGTCACTACTACCAAACACAAGATCATCCCAACAAGGAAAGTAAGTACCTGAAAGTCACGACCAAACAAGAGCACATCGACGTTGTTCTGTAAAATAAACAATTCATTAAGCCCAAAATCCTCCCCTATCCCCCATATTATTCATATATATTCTATATTTATATATACATATATATATATATACATATATAAGTATAAATATATACAATCGTCCAGGCTTTTATTTTCTAATACCCTTAGTGTGGCTAGATATGACTCTTTACCTTAAGCTTTTGTATATTGTGCATCCAATTCAATTTTGCAGGCATATATTTCATGTAACCCAATTTGCCAAGTTTGTATTTGCTAAAGTGTCCATTGCTCCTGTACACCAACCTCTGCTCCGTGAGCTTTGGCTACACCAACCTAATACACCAATACTGACCTAGTCAAAGTAATCTTACAAAATTAGATAAACTACCATAAAAATAGATCCCTAAAATGGTGTGCATAATTGCTAGTGCCAGATATTAATGTACTACACAAGCGCACAAACAAAGCTCTGGTTAATGGATAAAAACCTAAGGGACTTCAATGGACAGCTGTAAAATGAAAAAAACAAATAAAAAGTGGGAGGGGCAAGATCAGGGGGGGTCTAACTGACCAAGCTACAGCAGAGTAAGTCTGCAGTGTTGGAATACTGTGGGAGCCTGCACGTAGCCATACATCTGCTGCCCGCCCCACTCCACCCACCCGCCCGTCCTCCCTCCCACCCTCCACCCTCAGCGTTGCAAGGGTCGCCACAGCTGCAGCAAGTCACCGTTGTCTGGTGACCGCACGCAGCTGCCAGTCGCCTCCTTAGCATCACAGGGCACCACAGTGTACACGAGTCACCAGGAAAAAAGGATAATATTAGTTACTACACGCCTTGCCAACTTGTCCAATAATCTTATAACCAAAAATTATCATCATCAAAGGTGGCTTTAAAAGGACAGCCCTAATTTGTTTAACTGGATTGTGAGTGTTTTTTGTTAATACTCCCCGTGGAGATATAGGCCAAGGTGAAGAGGACGTTAGCAATGGGACCAAGGCAACACGGAATTGGAATACTGTAAGGTAATGGTGCATGTGACCGAGGCAAGAGGAAGCTGAGGATGGGACGGTGGCAAGCGGTGGGAAATGGAGCACAAGGGTGGCGAGATGTGTGTTGGGATAAGTAGGAGAATAGGGGAAGGAGGAGAAGGAATAGGAGGAGGAGTGGTCTGGTGCCCTGCGAGCCAGTACTGCGCCTTGCGGCCCCCCCCGTCGGCTGCATGCCTGACTGGCTCTCTGCCTCGGCTCCCGCCATAACACCGCACTACAGCAACCCGCCATACTCCACAGCAACACAACAGCAACAACTGCCACGCCCTGTGCGCGTAGAAATACACATCAGCACATGGCTACCACAAGGATAAATATACACAATACCCCCATACTCTTACCAGCCTTTGGCATGTGGAATAGGAAAGTCCTGTCTGTGACCTTCATGTCAAGTTTATTTCCTAAGCATACAAAGTTAATGCACATGGCTAAGTGTAATCTGACAAATCATTTCAGAAGAGCTTCAAGAGACATTCCTGGTGAACGTATGAGGCTATTCATACAAAGTGTCAACATATTAAAACATTCTTATGCTTAACCTAAACTTCATTTGAACAAAACTGCATCTTAACTCGGCTCATGGTGGAACCACACACAATGTAACAATAAACGCAAGGTTCTAACTATTACCATAGCATCTGCAATTGTGTAAGTATTTCAGAAACCTTAAAAATATTTATAGCAATAATCAAATATAAAAAAAAACTACCACTCATGAATATTGAACTACAATTTGGGTGATCTTAAAACATTAGCAAAATGTTACACAACTAATGAGCAAGACCCCAAGCAGGTGACCACCTGTCAACTGGAGAGAAGATAAACATTCCATAACGTAAGCCCGTAGGACGTGCGCAAATGAAAACTAAACCCTTAAAGTTGGTCTTAACCTTAGGCAAGTGAATAGTGAGACTAAGAAATAATAACTATATAACTTGACATTAACCATCAGCCTTGACAAATAAACTAATTAGATGACAGAGTTCCAGTACACAGTAAGCACGGAAATGAACAAGTACCTGCCCAGCATGCCAGTACTGCAAAAATCTGGACAGGAATTGACAGGAATCATCGTTTCCAGTGAGCAGCTAGACCACCCTGGCCACAGCTTTGCCCAACAGGTCCTCATTCCATGGACCTGAAAATAGATAATTATATAAACAAACAGTCTCATTAAAATCTGCAGTTACCAGGGGCCAGATTCACAAAGCAGTTACGCAAGCACTTACAAACCTGTACATCTTTTCTCAATCTTTGGCAGCTTTGTTTACAATTATTAAACAGTTAATGAGCTCCGAAGCACAAGGAGGCTGTTACAGTTGACAACAGTTGATTGGGAAGTTTTCATGCTTGTAAACCGTTTAATAAACGTAACCGAAGCCACCAAAGATTGAGGAAAGATGTACAAGTTCGTAAGTACTTCCGTAACTTTGTGAATCTGGCCCCAGGGGTTCAGTTACCCCTTGTAACACAATATTACACAAGATCTTAAAAGTTTCCTGGATTTTTTGCACCAAAATTACATATGGTGTACGTGTGTTAACTGGGTTTAATGCCACCGTTGAAGGAGGCCTGGTCGAAGATCGGGCCACAGGGACGCTAAGCCCCGAAATCTTCTCAAGAAGGACTTATCCCTCTAAAGTAACAGTCCCAACTATCCCCTCCAGCTTTTCAAAACTACATTATCCACTGCCAATGACATTCTGTAAAACTAATTTACTTTCAAACTCCCAGAAGCCACCAATACATAACATTTAAATCACTAAGGAAAGGTAATAAACAGGTGAAAGCTTCGAGCAGGCATGATTATTGTGTAGCACTTTTTTTTTAATGCGGATACTTCTGGGAGATAAGAGCACAAGGAGCTGGACTACGTAATGACATTTTGGTTAATCTGGGTGATCCAAGGTAACAAGTTTCTTTATAGAAATGTAAACTTTCATAAATATTTACAATTATCAAAATTGTACACGGCCAATATTAGTTAATAAAATAATCATTCTTATGGCCAAACCACACATCAGAAGATGGGGAAACAAACTTTGGAACATGTGGCATTATTATGCAAAATATTTATTTGAACTATTAAAAAGTAAACCATTACATTAAACAGCAGATGCCCTAAACCCTTTAACATAAGGAAGGAAAAAGAACTTTCAAGGCCCATTAAATTTTCAACAAACGTTGCCAGAGAATCTTTCTATAAACTCAAATATTTCGATACTGAATCATAAATGCACTTTCCTGGAACATGGCATTATCAAGTGATCTTGGAAAAAGATTGAACTCGTGATCCAAGGCCACGTTGACTTGAAAGGTGTTGAGGCTGCACCAAATTGGTTCTGAAAATTGGCGTCCATATCAGCATGGCGTGTGACCACACTCCTAAATGCCACCTTTTTATCCCAAGATCACCCTCGGGCCCCTTCAGTGTGTTGGCCATAACCACTATACTACAGGAAACTATGAGGATGCTTATTGCTACACCATAGACAGCTATGCCTTTTGAACAGTTTCCATTAAATGATAGTGTACAGTACTCGATTACAATTTAAACTGGAAAATTTCTTCCTCTGCTCCTTAGAACGTGTTAAGATTTTTAGAGCCTTCCTCTAAACTTCTGCATTAGTTGTGTAAAATTGCAAAATTATAATGTTCGTTACCTTGAGCGTGACCTGGACCTGGACTTGCTGCGCGACTTCGACCTGGATCTCGACTTTGACCTTGAACGAGATCGTGAGCGGGACTTTGAACGCGAGTGAGAGCGGTCCATTTGCTGTTCCTCTTCAATTGCCGCTGCCTCATCCATTCCGTTTTCCTTGTCCTGCTTCTCCGGAGATTTTGATTGACGTTCGTCGGGTGTGCGGGAGCGACTCTTGCTTCCAGAGCGTGACCTTGAATGTGATCGTGAGCGGGACCGACTTCCAGACCTGGGTAAATATAATCACTCGTGAGTCAAAACACAAACTAGATGTGGTGAATTTACAGCATATACCAAGCACGTCACATAGTACAGCAAATAGGTGGTGGTATGTAGAAAAGATGATAGGGAAGAATGTGGTGATAGCTGATGACACAGTAGGGACGGTGAAGCGGTAGTCACAATAAGTAGTGGCGTGTAATGTTGTGATGGCAGCATATTGCCAAGATGTGTTGTAGCTGCACATATTACATTACTTGTGTATAAACTGTCTTGTACGCATATTACCAACGCTGACACTACTTAGCCATACAATATAAATTAATGATTAACACTACAACATTAGGAAAACAAAAACAATTTAGGAACAAATCTATGATGGATTTGGAGACTTCCGCAACCAACATTAAAATTATTTAAATACAATAATGGAGAAAAAAGATTGACAGGAGGGAACAAAGAGTTGACATTGACTTGTTAGCATATGCTTTTATCATTCCCTTCTCACAGTTCTGCTTTTATCATTCCCTTCTCACAGTTCTGCTTATATCATTCCCTTCTCACAGTTCTGCTTATATCATTCCCTTCTCACAGTTCTGCTTATATCATTCCCTTCTCACAGTTCTGCTTATATCATTCCCTTCTCACAGTTCAACTTGAGCCTTCCACAATTACCTTTCCCTGGAACATACATTGCCTGGTTTACAACCAGGTCCACCAATACGGCTGAGTGAATAGTTAAGGATCAGCATCCCTATATTTTGCCCTGCCCAGGAATTTAAACTGGCCAAAAATGTGCAAGGCATTTGGGACTTTATAAAAGTTATGAAAATATACATACTTTATATTCTAAAGCAGTAGGAGGGCCTTACTAAACACAACTTTCGATAAAAAGTCAGCCTTGTGCAATCTTGATACCAATATATGTAAAACAGAGCAGTTTTGCGTCTATACCCACCTGTTGTCTCGACGGCACCAGTCTTTAACCAGGCCTCCTGGGTGCTTTTCTTGGCAACGTAACTGTTAAGACACCACTGCTCGCAATCTGACGTGTGAACACAGCCTAGTTTGCCCTAGGCCAGACCAAAGAGCTAAAGCTCAATCTCCACAAGCACAACTAGGTGAAATGGGTGATCAGGAATCCTTTGGAGGGGTTTATCAAGTTCTCCTTAAGAACACAGAGGTTCGCTAGTTATGCCCCTAATGTTTAGTATTGAAAAATCTTGGGCCCTTTATGTTTATAGAATTGTCCATTAACTTGACTAATGAACCTCTGCTTTTCAAAAGGGGCCATTTTGCATTTCCTGCCATAACTCCTGGTCTCACGAGTTACTTTCTTGTACAGATTTGGAACCAATCCCAGTAATATTTTCCAAGTTTAAATCATTTACCAGTCTTCCAGGTGCTTTTTAGAAAACAGGTTCAGAAATTTTAAAACTATCAATAATTCAGACATTTCATTGAATGAATTTGGACAAAAAGATTTCCGAGCAGTCTTCAGCACTGAATAGGGCTGCGTGCAATAATATTCTACCAGAGCACTTTGTCTTAAAAAGCACCCTCTCTTGTTTGAAAATTTCTTGTTTTCCAACGCGTTATTGCTCTTGGAGTTATGACAGCGACTGTTCTTTAAACGTATTACCTGATGTGATTACTCCTAAATCTGTTGTATTGTTTTTTCTATCACACGTGTGATTTGACTGCATTTTGTTTTCCACTGATAGTTTGTTTTTCTATAACATAGGAGGTGGAACTTGTCTCCATTAAACAATTGTTTTTGTGTGGGCCCACTGGAAGACCAACACAAGTGTTACTCTGCACCACACCGAAATAATGTGCCCACACCTCACTATACGCTTATTTTAGGAACTGTTTGGATTACATTCACGAGTTACGGCAACTCTGATTCTGCACTTTCTGCAGAACACGTCATTATATCTTTCTGCACGTCATGATGAATATACCTGTACCATGATGTACTTTTAGCTGTAAAGTGGCCCCAAGTTAGAAAAAATAATATTCATGTTATAGAGAAAAATTAAGATTGTCGAAGGTGTTGGAAACTATATTTGTCCAAAATAAGGAAAGTTTGCCGTGTGTAATGATCTTCAAGAACACGTGCCTCACACCATTTAGTTAACATTATGGGTCTCAACTGAGTATCTTTAACCAGTCTTGTGACAAAGACTATATTACAAAAAGTTCTTTAGGGCAGAGACTGCAAATGTGGCATCTGGATCCATTTGATCTTTAGGCATCAAGGCATGAATACTGTACTTTTCAGTTTGTACGGCGTATACACGATATATAAATATATGAACGAGTTTGGGTGGATTAACTAGGAGCTGTCGCATATGGGCCAAATGTCTTTTGGTGGCTTTTCCTTAGTACAACTAAGATAGTCCAGTTGGGGTCTACACTCATTGGGTTCAGTTATTAATCCATGCCGGGCCGCTGGGTCGAGGACGGGGCCATGGGGACGCTGAGCCCTGAAATCATCGCAAGGTAACCTGCCCTCCCTCCATTTGGTTCAGTTATTAGTCCATGCCCTCCCTTTTCTACCTCAAGGGAGGTAGAAAATAATACATAAACTAGTTACAAAAAAAATTGCAAGACTATATATGCAGTCCAATACCCAAACAATAAGGACCTCTCCCACACCACCCTACCCAAGACTTTATAATTTCAGGCCTGTAGGCACACGAATTCTCTAAATAAGAGCCACTTCACCCCCAAACATATCAAATATTCCATATTGTGGGTATATTGATGCACACCACCACCAACCCTACTTCTACAGAGCAGCAAAATATTCGTGGAACTAAAAACTTCAAACAACTGATGCCAACCCCCTCACCTTGACCTAGAGTGGCGCCTACGGGAACGAGAGCGAGATCTGGACCTGGACCGCGATGACCTCCTCCTCCTGCGAGATCGCGACCGAGAACGAGACCTGGACCGCGACCTGGAATTGTCCCTGAATGTAGGAATTTCAGGGTAAAAATTAAGTCTTAGTAAAAGGCCATGACTAATGTGAGCAAAAACACACATACTAATACAAAAAGCTACTGTTACTAAACACACACACACGCTATATAACCATAAACAATAAGGTTACTGACAGCAGGGTGACAACTCAAATGGCAAACACCCTCAAACTAAACTAGTTTTGGTTACTGGAACCCACAAACTTGCCACTATCAATATCACAAACTTGCGTGTACTCTTTCATCCCCCAAAGGAAACACAAGTCGCTTTAGCACCCGAGCAATCACAAAAACTGATATTCTTAATCCATTCACAACCTGACTTTGTTTTACAATTGGCATATGCTATCAAAGCATAAATGCATGATTAGATTTAAGCCTAATCACAATTCTTGGAGAAGAATTAACTTTATTAACATTACGCATGTGTGTTTGAATTGATTATTAAATACATAAACCAGCTAGTTACTATCTCTAAATGAAAAACTAAGTTACCAATCAAGGTTTACATTGTCTTGCTCCACGCTACCTGACTACAAACCCCCGCAACCACGTCCATGTGGTTTGGCATTTCCTAGAGTTTTGACAAGTGTTGCATGAAACTTTGTAAGACATCGAGGTTCAAGTCAAGTATTTACAAATCAAACCTAAAACTAATCAAACTGTGCGAGGAGGAAAAAGTCAAGTGACAAGATGAAACCACAGCAAGAAGAGACAATATGGAATAGAAGAGAAATACATGAAAGATGATTAAATAAAAAGGGAAAGCAGCCATAAAAAAAATGAGCAAGAAAATATCTTCCACAGAGTACTGTTGTCACTATTCAGCTGTGCCTCGTTGCAATTATGGGGGAAAATAACTACTTATTGATCTCTAAAAGTAAGTAAGTATTAGAAGAAAGTACCAAGCTATGCAGTGCTATCCAGCACCACCAAATATGCTTATTCAAAAGGAGCTAAATATCACCAAGGATGCCAAAATGAGAACAAAAGCACATAGGAACGATATCAAATGTAGTCGATTCACCAACGATTCTATCGAGGGACAAATGACCTCGAGGGACGGTCGGGAAGCAAGACACGCCTGTCCTGGAAGTCAGGACATTCAACAAGGATATGCATAACCGTAAGACACACAATGTAGTTTGGACAATAAGGAGCAGGGTGGCGCTCCATTAACTGCCCTTGAGTTAAACATGTACAGTCAATGTTTAACCTCGCTAGAGCAATTTCCCACCGCCGGTTATGTTGGTAGAAGGAAGACCACGGGGACACGCTACCCTTAAGAGCGCAGTTTGTTGCCAGTAACAGTAGACCAAGGGCAAGGATTGAGGAATGAATAACTGGGTAGAAGTCAAAATAAGTAACACCTTAACAAAAGATGGGACAAGTGCGTATAGTCTCCTTAGCGGCAGCATTTATGGACACCAAGATGACTGGGAACCCAGCATAACTCCAGTCTTAAACCTGCTGGAGATAAACAGCCAATGTTGAATTTCAACTACCACAAGATGGGCTGGATTAGAGGACTTCAGGGCCATGATTGCACTGCGAGTCAACTATAACAACAAAGGAAGACTGACAGCGAGAAAGCAATTGACGAAGAGCATACAAAATAGCATAAAGTTCTGATGTGAAGATGCTAGTCGCTGGAAGCAGACAACACGGGTGTGGTCAGGAAAAACAACAGAATAGCCTACGCTGTCAGCAGACTTGGACCCCATCTGAAGACAGAAATGAAGTGAGTGAAAAAGTGTGCAAGGAAAAGGTGTTTCAAAACTGTAGAAAGGGTAAAAGCTTTAGTCATGTGGATCAAGGTTAGACAAAACTTAGGAAAGTAATATGAACCGAAAGAACCTTGCAAGCGAGAGAACCGTACAAAGAGAGGTATGTGGTGAAAAGGAACAGGGACCACAGGAGGGGTAAAGGTCAAAGAACGACATAAGCGACAGTGAGGGTGTTGTAGGGACCACACAAGATAGCGAAGACTGTAGTGATCACGGCACTCCTATAGAGATGCCAGTTTCAACATATAAGCTTAAGGTAGGAGTCAGGAACGGAGGGATCCAAGTTTGAGCCTCACTTTTTAATACTTTGGTGCTCCAACCTCTGCCCATTCCCAACTGTAAATGTTCTGGGGTCCGTGACCACTCTTACAGGCCATTCAGCAATGTTACCAATTTTTAAACATTGTTTTACCATCATTCGTTTTCAAGTTATTTCATGGGTAATACCTATAAATCTGGTGTCAAAATGTACACAGATCAATTCTTTGGAGAACAGAAGCAAAAAGCAAGTGTAATCACAATAGATTATGCACGACAGTGATGAATATATATGAATGAATAGCAATGGGCTCAGGATGGCAAATTTACCAAATTAGGGTTAAAATGACATATCAGCCCTAAGGGTTGCTAACGTACACCTACAACGGGTTCAATCAGGCTGTAGAGTTACTGTTCCATTTTCTAACATGCTAACTGCAGTGTTCCAATAGTAAACAAAACATTTTAGGGGATATATGGGGTCCAGTTTGTTATGTTTGGCCAATAGACGACAATCATTTTTGGATGAATTTCAGTTTTTCTAATCAATTTCTCTAGCTTACCAGCATCTCCAACTTCCACTTACTGTTGTCGTTACTCACCTGGAAGATATACTTTCTACTTTTGTCTATTCTCCTCAGTATCTTGTATGTTACAATCATGTAACCTTGTTTTACTTTAACATTATTGGACATCGATCACTAAACCCGTCACGTGTGTATTTCTGGTACTTGGCTCGTGGCCTACCTTAAAGACTGCCTCAGTGGTGTGTTTTACGAGGAGCCCCGACTTCTTGACATCTAGAACACAGCCAAAGCACTTAGGCAAAGTTTCCCTTCGTCTGATGTGTTTCTTGACCTAACAGTAAGTATGTACCCCTCAGAGTTGAGCAACTGTTGTGGGGTGTATATCCTAATGAAGTAGTTGGCAGATTTGTCACCTTAATACACTCGACAGGCTTCCCGTCACCTGATTATAGACTTTCACGAACCCACGTTTTATTGTATTCTTACCTTCAATAGATTATACTGGTTGACAGCATAAACCCACAACGTAAATCATACCAAACAAATTTACAAGATCAAAATAGATCCTTTATTAGAACTAAATGCAGCTCCAGACTCATACACACTAAGGGTGAAAAAACTCAGTGCATAAAAGCCCACAAGACAGACCCCTGATAAATATTTGGCAGGCCAGGAATGCAAGATGTGCAAGTGAAAAATGAGCCCCCCCCCCCCCTCTATTGCTGTTATCAATTTCCATTAACCACAAGATGATACAATCCCCAAACAAAAAAGCCAACCCTTTAAATTTGGTCAACCTTTAAATAAAGGGAATTTTAGGGAGGAAACATATCAATAAGGAAATTACCAATAGAAAAACATAAGACTTACCATACATACTACATGCATTGCAATATTCACTCAACTACCTACCAACCCCATTAGTCATATTCAGAATAGCTGCAATACACAACTCTGGCACTCAAGTTTGACTCTCACTCATATCCAATACAAGACCTGTCCACTTAAACCACTTGAGCTGGACAGTAGAGCGAAGACTCGCTTCATGCAGGTCAGTGTTCAATCACCAACCATCCTGGAGTGCTTTCCCCTCATTTCCCTTCCCTCATTCACACAAATAAATTATTTTAGTACCGTCGGCGACGTCTTCGGTGTGGCGGGGTCTCTGGCCGTCCATACCGTGCCATCTGTACTCTCAGCTCTCGTCCATCTAGCCGCCGGCCATCCATGGCTTCCATGGCATCTTCAGCATCTCGCCGATCATAGTACCTGCAAATAGGACACGTCTTTCTCAAGTAAATCGTCAAGGAATTTTTTCTTCTTCTTTGAAGAAACAATGCATGCGTAATTAAAATAAATATGAGAACTATAGTGCTTCAGCCCGCCCCAGAAGACTTCAGCTCAACGGACTTCAGCGGCCTGGGAAGTTTTACCTGGATCTGGTCCAGCGGTGGCGGTAAGGTTGGTAGTTAATAAGGTACCAAAGGAATCCCACGGCGACCTACCCGCTCATATGGTGAGCATGCTACAGGACATAGAAGAAACACTGACAGCAGAACATGCGAGACAATTGACCCACCTGTTATTGACTTATGAAGACGTCTTTGCTGCGAGTGAATTTGATCCAAGATCTTTTAATGAAATATCTCAATCACATCAACACAGGCAATGCCAGGCCTGTGAAACAGAAAATACGGCAGACACCCGCATGTTTTGCACAGGAAGAAAAAGAACACCTTCAACGCATGCCTGATGCAGGTATTATCCAACTGTCAGTCTGAGTGGGCATCGGCACCAGTTTTAGCTAGGAAAAGGGATACCTCGGTTCGGTGGTGTGTAGATTGCAGAGAACTGAACTTCAGTACCATAAAGGATGTGTACCCACTTCCCCTAGTTGATGAATGTCCGGACACATTAGCAGGATAGAAAAGTGGTAAATTAGATGCCAATTCTGCATATTAACTGATCAATATAGCAGATAAAGACCGGAAAAAGACAGCATTTATCACCAAGTATGGGTTGTTTGAATTAAAAAAAATGGCTTTTGGTCTTTGTAATGCCCCAGCTACCTATGCCAGTCATGAATCTGGTATTATGAGAGCTAAATTGGGAAACAGTGCTAGCTTTCTTGGGTGACATTCTAGTGCTAGGCGAGTCATTCCAGTCACCTCTCTGTTACGTACCTCTATAAGATATGTAATTAAATAAATTAATATGTACCTTTATAATTGTGTGTAAATTACAAGTATGTATATTGATATACTTATATGTTATATTGATATACTTATATGTTCTATGTAAAATAATTTCATGTTACAGTGTTGGCGTTAGGCCCAACGTATCGTGGGATTGATTGTTTTATTTCTTTGTGTGCTCAGTTTCCCACGGGAACTAATGATTTATATGTGATCATATGTGGGTAACAGAGGTGAATAATAATTGAGTGAACTGTATCTGGCAAATTGTCGTGGGACCGTCCGTTGCTGGGTGAGCATGCCATCATTCCCCCTTTGTATGTGTATTTTAATTACTATGTAAAGCAAATATTACCTTATTTTTGTATACCAATATGTATTGACCATTCATTATGTTAGTTTAAGATTACTCTTGTCACAATGTATTGCTCCATTGTAGAATTAATAAATATTGTAACTTTGGCAAATTCTTCGCGGGGCAAGACAATGATTTTGACTCCCGCGTATATGTAAGTCAGTAGCTGATCCAGAACCAGAGAGTTAACATCTTGTGGAGTTAAGTTTTTACATTATTGTTCTGTCATAACCATACATATAATAATATTATATTAATTTCCGGGAGACAGTAATATTTTAATTTGATATATTTGTGATAAATATATTTGATATATTTGTGATAAATATATTTGATATATTTGTGATAATATATTTGATATATTTGTGATAAATATAAATTTGTGGTACAGTCTCCGTGGTGTAGTGGTAAGACACTCGCCTGGCGTTCCGCGAGCGCTATGTCATGGGTTCGTATCCTGGCCGGGGAGGATTTACTGGGCGCAAATCCTTAACTGTAGCCTCTGTTTAACGCAACAGTAAAATGTGTACTTGGATGAAAAAACGATTCTTCGCGGCGGGGATCGTATTCCAGGGACCTGCCCGAAACGCTACGCGTACTAGTGGCTGTACAAGAATGTAACAACTCTTGTATATATCTCCAAAAAAAAAAAAAAAAAAAAAAAAAAAAAAAAAAAAAAAAAAAAAAAAAAAAAAAAAAAAAATTAATCATCTGTTTGCTATTGAGATTCATGTAATATATTTATATATATAAGTTTTATATGTATTCTTTCAGTCCTAAAGGAAAGTTTTAACAAAGTGCTCATTACTTATTAAGGGGTTATACTGGTGACCCGCGCTTGTGAACAGCAGTTTTAGTACCCCTAGACCTGTTTTAAAGTTGGCTGTTGTAGGGTCACGAGCCGTAACGTACGATAGGTAACACGCATCACCCGCGCGCATGCCTTGAGGCAAGGAGGGGGGCAGACGAGAACCGCACCTGACCGAGAACGGACCTGTAAGCACCGCCCCCTGGACTGTGGTTATCCAGTACCCCATATTGGCCAGCTATCCTTGGACCTCGCCCCTAGAAGCCGTCGTATTGCTTCAGCAACCCTGGGAGAAGACTTCAGCCCAAGGTGAGCCGCTGTTTCCCCCATTTTCTACACATTCTGTTGTATGTCGATTACCACGTGGTTGGTCAGCCATAGCCCCTAGGCGACCGCCTCCACAATACTGTCCCCTGGGGCCCCCCACACAGTACTGTCCCCTGGCATACCCACAGTACTGTCCCCTGGGGCCCCTCAGTACTGGAGTTACGTCCGGTAAGAGTTTTCAACTGAGGAATGAGCGAGCATTGATACTGGAACTCTCAAATGCTAAGATTTTAGCTATCACTGACCCTAATGTCTACTTTACGGCTATATTTTGGTGAAGACCTTACAGACTAGGATGCATCTAGAGGTACTGCAGGATAATATGAATAGTTGGAGTTAGTACTGTCCAATGGGGGCCACACCACCGCCCCTGGGGCCCCACAACACCGCCCCTGGGGGCCACAACACCGCCCCTGGGGCCCCACAACACCGCCCCTGGGGGCCACAACACCGCCCCTGGGGCCCCACAACACCACCCCTGGGGGCCACAACACCGCCCCTGGGGGCCAAAACACCGCCCCTGGGGGCCCACAATACCGCCCCTGGGGGCCCACAATACCACCCCTGGGGGCCACAACACTGCCTCTGGGGGCCACAACACTGCCCCTGGGGCCCCCAACACCGCCCCTGGGGGCCACAACACTGCCCCTGGGACCCCCAACACCGCCCCTGGGGGCCACAACACTGCCACAACACTGCCCCTGGGGCCCACAACACTGCCCCTGGGGCCCACAACACCGCCCCTGGGGCCCCCAACACCGCCCCTGGGGCCCCCAACACCGCCCCTGGGGCCCCCAACACCGCCCCTGGGGCCCCCAACACCGCCCCTGGGGGCCCACAACACCGCCCCTGGGGGCCCACAACACCGCCCCTGGGGGCCCACAACACCGCCCCTGGGGGCCCACAACACCGCCCCTGAGGGCCCCCAACACCGCCCCTGGGGCCCCCAACACCGCCCCTGGGGGCCACAACACCGCCCCTGGGGGCCACAACACCGCCCCTGGGGGCCACAACACCGCCCCTGGGGCCCCCAACACCGCCCCTGGGGGCCACAACACCGCCCCTGGGGGCCACAACACCGCCCCTGGGGGCCACAACACCGCCCCTGGGGGCCACAACACCGCCCCTGGGGCCCACAACACCGCCCCTGGGGCCCACAACACCGCCCCTGGGGGCCCACAACACCGCCCCTGGGGGCCCACACCACCACCCCTGGGGGCCACAACACCGCCCCTGGGGCCCCCCAACACCACCCCTGGGGCCCACAACACCGCCCCTGGGGGCCAGGCCGCCATTACCCGCCCGGGACCCAGCCATAACCCTCCTCTCCCCCCTATAGTGGCCCCGACGACCTACCTGACGAAGGCGAAGCCGCGGCTCTCGCGGGAGAACCTGTCCCTGGGGATGTAGACGTCGCCGATCTCGCCATACTTCTCGAAGGAGCGACGCAGGTCCTCCGGCGTGGTCCTGTAGGTCAGATTGTCCACCTTCAGGGACGTCATCCCCTTGATGTCTGGGGGTCCCCGGCCGTAACTCATGTTCGGCGGTGGCGCGCGGCCCTCCTCAAACAGCCTTGTAAGTAGGGTGGCTCCTGGGGGGAAAATTAGGGTGGCGTGGCGGGTGGTGAGCGCGTCGGTAATCTCTCTCACTGCCCGGTGTCGCCGCCTCTCCCCACTATGGACTATAAGCTCCTCAACACGCGCCGCGGCGTTACGTAGCCAACAATAAGTGACAGTCGCTAGTACTCAATATCTAATCCGATCCTTTATGGCAATAAGATCTGACACTATATAAGCGTGTGTAACCCGCTTGAGTGCTCCGCGCGCCCTCTATGGTAAACAGTTGTGGGCGGGGGGGCGGGTGTTTGGGTCGCTTATAAGCGGCAAGAGGGACCGCATGCCACTGGGTTTTGGCGGGAAGCGTTGAGCGCATGCGCGGCCTCGGCCATTATTATGACAACGTAGTTCCTCACTTTCTCTCCCGTATATTTTTACAGTCTTTATAAATATGCTTCTCCCTAAACTTTTTATTTACGTTTCTACTCTTAAAATTCTACTTTTTTCCTCTGATGCCAATGGATCAGTGTATAACAACCCATCAACCCCTTGTTTACTTAGTAAGTTTTTCTAACACTGTGCTCCGTGGTAAATGTATTAATGTAATGGACAATTAGGTAATAGATTTTGGTAATCTTTTTTTTTTTGCCAATCAAATTAATAATTTCGGATGGAGCGAAACATCGTCGTCTCCTCATCTTCGGGTGATTTTGGGACTATATTCACTTTATAGTCCGGAAAACCCAACTTATATATTCATAGGCCTAGAATAACATATATATTGCAGCCTCAGTAAAAATAACTTTTTCGGTTTGTCCAAATTCAACAGTACCGATTTCTACTTTATAATTGCCTTTTACGTCAATATATGCACAATCGTTGTGTATATGTATACTATATGTATACATACATACGATATGTATAGCAGGCTTTAAACCTGTATTTCAATCTGTTTATACTGAAACTAATTCATATATATGTCTAACCTACGCTTGAAACAATCCACCAATACCCGGTAACTTGTTCCATAAATCAACGGCCCTGTTTCCAAACCTAGCCAAGTTATTTCCACATAAAATATTCATTTATTTACCCGAATTTACCTGAGAGACACGCTCTCACTTCGACGGGGACAGGAACCCGACGACTTGTCAAATGTCGCCTATTGTTTTCCAACTGTATTTTGAACTGCAAAAGTTAATGTCTTGGCATTTAAGGCTTGGGCGGGTAGGCGGTTCTCAGTCCTACACTGTGGCTTGTTGAGCTTGTCACTGTTGCTCCTTGTTTGTGTTACATTGTGGCTTGTTGAGCTTGTCACTGTTGTTCCTTGTTTGTGTTACATTGTGGCTTGTTGAGCTTGTCACTGTTGTTCCTTGTTTGTGTTACATTGTGGCTTGTTGAGCTTGTCACTGTTGTTCCTTGTTTGTGTTACATTGTGGCTTGTTGAGCTTGTCACTGTTGTTCCTTGTTTGTGTTACATTGTGGCTTGTTGAGCTTGTCACTGTTGTTCCTTGTTTGTGTTACATTGTGGCTTGTTGAGCTTGTCACTGTTGTTCCTTGTTTGTGTTACATTGTGACTTGTTGAGCTTGTCACTGTTGTTCCTTATTTGTGTTACATTTGACCTTCTGAAGAAGTTGTCCGGATCAACATCGTCCAAACTGTTCAGTATTTTCAAGTAAGCGGTAAAACTCATATTTGTGTTGTACATCATCCCCCGCGAAGAATTGCTAACGATCTCGTAGATCAATGAGCGGAAACTGCCAAAGTTAACTCATTGTCCGTTATAACGAGAGCGTCATTAGACCCTTGGAAACATCTAAGAAAGTACTGTGATATGTGAGAATGGAGAGAATCTGAAGAGTATTGGGGGATAGAATTTCAGATATAAATGTAACCTCTGCCGTAAGATTAATGAGAGGTGGGGGAGCTAATGAATTAATCCTCTCAGTGAACAATGTGGATTGCTGAATTCAAAATTCAAATTTTGCAGTTGAAATTCAAAATTCAAATTTTGTAGTTGAAATTCAAAATTCAAATTTTGCAGTTGAAATTCAAAATTCAAATTTTGCAGTTGAAATTCAAAATTCAAATGAGGCAGTTGATGATGATTGATAAAGATGCAGACGATGAGTCACAATAACGTTGCTGAAGTATGTGGACCAGATCACACACTAGAAGGTGAAGGGACGACGACTTTTTGGTCCGCCACACATCAAAACACTTTTCAAGTGTTTTGATGTGTGATAATAGTATGATAGAGAGAATACTTAGAAGCTACAAGCACTTTCTCCCAAGAGTGTAACATATGCTGTGCTTACTATAATAACGGGGTACTACCTGGCCAGATTCACCAAGCAGTTACGCAAGCACTTACGAACGTGTACATCTTTCCTCAATCTTTGACGCCGTTGGTTACATTTATTATTGTTACATAACCGGGGGGATATTGGTGGGGTATTGAAAGTATCAGCACAGGACGGAACGCGAAGCAGTGGGTGTGGATTGGATGGGTTTAGATTTAGGAAAGACTTGGGTAAATACTGGTTCAGTAACAGGGTTGTTGATTTGTGGAACCAATTGCCGCGTAACATTGTGGAGGTGGGGTCCCTCGATTGTTTCAAGCACGGGTTGGACAAGTATATGAGTGGGATTGGGTGGTTATAGAATAGGAGCTGCCTCGTATGGGCCAATAGGCCTTCTGCAGTTACCTTTGTTCTTATGTTCTTATGTTCTTATGTTCTATTAAACAGTTTATAAGCATGAAAACTTGCCAATCAACTGTTGTTACTATTATAAACAGCCTCCTGGTGCTTCGGAGCTCATTAACTGTTTAATAATTGTAAACAAAGCCGCCAAAGATTAAGAAAAGATGTTCGTAAGTGCTTGCGTAACTGCTTAGTGTATCTGGCCTACCTTGAGGTTATCTAAATCTGGCCTAGCCAGATTTATTGTCTTAATAAATGTACTTGAACTACAATAACAATGATGTTTGTACATTCTTGCATTATGAGCCGCGTGATGTTGATATTGATAAGTCTGATTGCGCAACTAGATAATTAAAATATATCGTATTAATAATAATACATTAAAAGATAATATATTATTAATGTATTCAAGTAGTAAAAGATAATATAAAATTTACAATTACAAAAAATATATACAGTATATATAATATAAAATATATCCTAGTGTTAGTGGCCTCAGGTAAATATATAAATATTCTTGAATAATGAAATATAATTATATTCTTAAAAGATAACATATAATTATTATACCCTTGAATGATCAAATATAATTATTATAGTCTTGAATGATCAAATATATTATACATTCGTTTCCCCCAACCCCCCAAAAGTAAACAAAAGTAAAATAAGATAAACCCCCATATACCAACTCGCCCCAATGTCACCTGACACAAAAGAGGTTCAAAAAGCCCACACAAATGTCAATAATGAGGTAGAGAGCGAGACAAGGCCGTAATAATGGCCGGAACAGGAGTCGACGTGGCAACCCGTCCCGAGGCTAATGACCGTTGGCGGTAGATTGACTTTCCTCCTCAAATCCTTCAATAACTCGTAAGTTGGTGGCGTTGTTGTGTTTCCCCGAGTGGTTTATGGGGCGACTGACTGCTAATGGGGCTGTTGGGGAGGCTATTGTGGCGGTAGATAGGGAGTGGGGGGAGTGAAGGGGGAGGAGACTTGGGGGTAGATGACTCCCCTAGAGGTAGATTTTGGGTCCCCGCTTTGTAAGTAGATTATTATCTCAGTAGATTGCTGGTGTTACGGTGATAACAGAGGTAGACTCGGCTCTGTACTTAGGGTCCTTAACGCCACTATGTTAAGTACCTGCGTAAACACATGCGGGGAAGGGGTTTAAGGAACTTTTGACAAGCCGCTAGCTTCCTGTCCTCATATAGGCCCACCACTATTAGTGACCCTTCAGGTAAAGTATGATACCAGTAACAATCCATTGTGTCGAGGGACAGGAAGCCAGGGTGTAGTCATACCTCCCCCAGGATGCAACCCCACAACAAGCAGGCGATGAGTCACAATAACGTGGCTGAAGTATGTTGACCAGACCACACACTAGAAATTGAAGGGACGACGACGTTTCGGTCCGTCCTGGACCATTCTCAAGTCGATTGTGAGAATCGACAATCACAATCGACTTGAGAATGGTCCAGGACGGACCGAAACGTCGTCGTCCCTTCAATTTCTAGTGTGTGGTCTGGTCAACACCCCACAACAACTTAACTCCTGGGTGCCTACTTACTGCTAGGTAAATAGGCGCATGAGGTAAAAGGAAAGGCATCCCACCAGAATGGTGCCCAACCACTTGGATGGTTGGGGATTGAACGCTGACGTGCAGGATACATCGCTCCACCGTCCAGCCGAAGGGGTTAAGCAGGCTAAGGTAAGATAGGGTAAGACAGGCTAAGCTAGGGTAAGACAGGCTAGGCTAATCTAGGGTAAGACAGGCTAGGCTAATCTAGGGTAAGCTAGGGTAAGACAGGCTAGGCAAATCTAGGGTAAGACAGGCTAGGCTAACCTAGGGTAAGCTAGGGTAAGACAGGCTAGGGTAAGCTAGGGTAGGGCAGGCTAAGCTAGGGTAAGACAGGCTAGGCTAAGCTTGAGTAAGACAGGCTAGGCTAAGCTAGGGTAGGGCAGGCTAGGCTAAGCTAGGGTAAGACAGGCTAGGGGTGGGATAGGCTAAGCTAGGGTAGGATAGACTAAGCTAGGATAGGATAGGCTAGACTAAGCTAGGGTAGGATATCCTAGGGTAGGCTAGGGTAGGTTATGGTAGGCTAGGGGTAGGTTAGGATAGGGTTGGCTAGGCTAGGCTATGCTAAGCTAAGGTAGGTTAGGCTGGGTACCTGGGGCTAGATTCACAAAGAAGTTACGCAAACACTTACCAACCTGTACATCTTTTCTCAATCTTTGGCGGCTTTGTTTACAATTATTAAACAGTTAATGAGCTCCGAAGCACCAGGAGGCTGTTTATAACAATAACAACAGTTGATTGGGAAGTTTTCATGCTTGTAAACTGTTTAATAAATGTAACCAAAGCCGTCAAAGATTGAGGAAAGATGTACACGTTTGTAAGTACTTGCGTAACTGCTTCGTAAATCTGGCCCCTGGGCTAGGCTACCTAACTAATCTTATTCAACCTAAACCCAAGCCATTGTAACACAGATTAACACAGCCTAACCCAGCATTTGTCAACCGGGGTTCCACGGAACCCCCGAAGTAACTAAGAGTTCCACGGAACCCCCGAGGTAACTAAGAGTTCCACAGAACCCCCGGGGTAACTAAAGAGTTCCACGGAACCCCCGAGGTAACTAAGAGTTCCACGGAACCCCCGAGGTAACTAAGAGTTCCACGGAACCCCCGGGGTAACTAAGAGTTCCACGGAACCCCCGAGGTAACTAAAGAGTTCCACGGAACCCCCGAGGTAACTAAAGAGTTCCACGGAACCCCCGAGGTAACTAAAGAGTTCCACGGAACCCCCGAGGTAACTAAGAGTTCCACGGAACCCCCGAGGTAACTAAGAGTTCCACGGAACCCCCGAGGTAACTAAGAGTTCCACGGAACCCCCGAGGTAACTAAAGAGTTCCACGGAACCCCCGGGGTAACTAAGAGTTCCACGGAACCCCCGAGGTAACTAAAGAGTTCCACGGAACCCCCGAGGTAACTAAGAGTTCCACGGAACCCCCGGGGTAACTAAGAGTTCCACGGAACCCCCGAGGTAACTAAGAGTTCCACGGAACCCCCGAGGTAACTAAGAGTTCCACGGAACCCCCGGGGTAACTAAGAGTTCCACGGAACCCCCGAGGTAACTAAAGAGTTCCACGGAACCCCCGAGGTAACTAAAGAGTTCCACGGAACCCCCGAGGTAACTAAAGAGTTCCACGGAACCCCCGAGGTAACTAAGAGTTCCACGGAACCCCCGAGGTAACTAAGAGTTCCACGGAACCCCCGGGGTAACTAAGAGTTCCACGGAACCCCCGAGGTAACTAAGAGTTCCACGGAACCCCCGAGGTAACTAAGAGTTCCACGGAACCCCCGAGGTAACTAAGAGTTCCACGGAACCCCCGAGGTAACTAAGAGTTCCACGGAACCCCCGAGGTAACTAAGAGTTCCACGGAACCCCCGAGGTAACTAAGAGTTCCACGGAACCCCCGAGGTAACTAAGAGTTCCACGGAACCCCCGAGGTAACTAAGAGTTCCACGGAACCCCCGAGGTAACTAAAGAGTTCCACGGAACCCCCGAGGTAACTAAGAGTTCCACGGAACCCCCGAGGTAACTAAGAGTTCCACGGAACCCCCGGGGTAACTAAAGAGTTCCACGGAACCCCCGAGGTAACTAAGAGTTCCACGGAACCCCCGAGGTAACTAAGAGTTCCACGGAACCCCCGGGGTAACTAAAGAGTTCCACGGAACCCCCGAGGTAACTAAGAGTTTCACAAGAGCTAGTGATAAATAGCCTAATACTAATAATACACAGAAATTCATGTGTTTCAAAAGTACGATCTGAAATTATTTAAATTACCTGTACGTATTATAAATTTATTGACATTACTTAAGAGGGTCCCAATAGTACAGTCGAGTTGAATCTCGGGCAGGACAGAAAAGGTTGGGTGCATTTTCTATCACCTGCTGCCTCTGTTCACTTAGCAGTAAATAGGTACTCGGGAGTTAGTCAGCTTGTTGTGGGGTTGCCTCCTGGGCAGTGTCAGTAGTTCCTCCCTGATGAGGGGGGGCTCGGTATAAGCCTAACATATACAGTGTGCATATACAGGCAGCCGGTTCCCCTGACACAATTAATTAATTATGAATTATTTTAAGGGTACAAAGATTGAGAAACACTGCTGTAACCTAAGCTAATACAACCCAATCATGTGTACAGGTTTGACAATTAGAAAATGAGCCTCGTCAAAATGCCTGTGTACGACGACTGTACCTCACTGTAAATGACCAAGAATTTACAGTGCATCAGTTTTGAGCACCATATACCCTTAACGGAACCTTACTGTAGGGCCTAGGCTCCGAATAGTTCATCTCGCCCTCTTGCTTCCGTATATGATCAATCTAATATTTCCTTTGAATAATTTTTATTGACTTTTTTTTTATTTTTTTACAGATTTGTGTATCGAAGATTAGCAAAGATGGGTTTTACACAGGTACCTGTTGATGCTGGCACAAATAAGGCTCGTGGAGCCCTCGTTGTATTGGAGGGGTGTGACCGCTCGGGCAAAACCACACAGGCTCACATGCTCGTCAAGGCACTGGTGGACGCAGGAAAACCGACAGTCTTTATGTGTTTTCCAGGTATGACATTTCCTAGAGACCCAATAATACATCGTTGTATACAGCTATGGCTATGAAGGAGAGGACACGAGATTGGTGTAGCACAGTGGTCTACATTCTCCACGCAACACCAGCGGGGACCCTAGGCTCAATCCCTAAGTACAGGAATTAAATGTCTTCAGCATAACAGTGTATGGCAATTTTTCCTGATGAAATTCAAGGGCACATAAATGGATTTATTTTGAGTTTCCACTGTCCCTGTGGCCTGTTTTTTGATAAGTTAAAAAAAGTTTTTACTTTTTATTTTATTTTATTCTGTGTCATTTTAGTTTGAAATATATACAGCTGTACAGCTGATCCATTGGTAGGATATATAAACAATAGTACAAGAACACTCCAAGCAGATGGCTTGGGCTTTATCGGTGAGATTGGGGCTTATAAAAAGGTTTGAGGTTTATAAATAAGGAAGCCATTATTATTTATAAATGGCTTCTATACTGTATTATTTACTGGATGACTGTATTTCAGACCGGACGACTCACATAGGTGGCATTATCAACAGCTACCTCAAGTGCGACCAGGAGTTGGACGACCACGCTATTCATCTCCTCTTCTCCGCCAACAGGTAACGGGAGGGAAGGGAAGGGGGGCCTAGTAGTGGGAGAGGAAAGGAGCAAAGAAAGTTTTGATATAGAATACAAAGCAGACATTCTAACAGTATCTCAAGGGAATTAGTTATTATAAATTGATTATCATGATGATGTAATTCAAACATGATGTTACTGTTTAATGTGATTGAGTGAGGAATTTAATGGATTGCTGTTTGGTATTAATTATAATATTTTAACATCACATTCGTCCTTCCTTTATATTGTACAGTATGCTAATAACACGTGAATGCAGCAGATAACTTGAATAGCTCATTCACATCAACATGTTAATTATTACAGTATCTTAATCTCAGCCATAGTGATCAGGAGGCCTAGGTACTCTGGCAGACCTACAGTACATTATCTTAATCCCAGCCATAACTATCAGGAGGCCTAGGTACTCTGGCAGACCTACAGTACATTATCTTAATCCCAGTCATAGCGATCAGGAGGTCTATATCTTAATCCTAGCCATAGTGATCAGGAGGTCTAGGTACTCTGGCACTCTCTTTGGGTTTTCCTAGAGAAGGTGGAGCATTGTCACTGGGTATCCCACATAGCAATTCACAATCTTGAATACTTGGCATATTTGGGAAATTCATCGTTCTCGTCCTAATGTGCCGAACTGGAGAGGGCTAATACTTAAGATCTGGCCCCAACACCATGTGGCTTGATTTGAGTTATTAGACTCGTTGGGCATACTGGAGCCAAATTATGGATAGATACAGTAGATTGTTGTCTTGTCTGGATGCCATATGCTTGCACGAGTTGGATTTACATCAGTGAGCTCAACCTTGCCAACTAGAGCATCATTCTTACTAGAACAACAAAGCATGGAAGGTGCACTCTGCTAGGGGATATAAGCCACAAAAGTAAGAGATAGGGCCAGAAGTACGTCACAACAGAGATCCTTTAATACCCCCATGGCTGGTAGATGGGCAAGTTAGGAAACTGTCCAAGTTAAATGAACTCTGCCTTAAACTCTGCCTCTGAACTAAGCCTTAAATTTTTGTCTATTTACTGTGACTTCAGTGGCTGCTTGTGAGCTCTGAGGGAATGGTTGTAATAGAGAGAAGAGTAGAATAGTACAATGTAGCAGTTGTATTTTCAAATGTTTTTATTGAAGAGATGTTGGCAAAATGTTGCATCAGGTGTTGGGCACTTCTTTTTCACATGAAACGCACCACCACCACCAGATGTAACATTTCTTCTTGGCAGTAATGAGTAGCTAGTGCATGATACTCATGGACTGGTTCCTATTTTACCTGGGATTGCACAGGTACAACTAGTGCAGCTGCATGTGCACTTTGTAGTGAGCAAAGCCTTGGCATTACTCTGGGCCAGGTCAAGTGAGTATGCACTCTTTTTCTCCAAATGTTGACGAATGAGTGGCAAGGAAATAATGCTAATGAGAAATCATTGTGGATCAGTTCTTTACAATTCTGTTCTGTAGTTACCAGTTTCAAGTTAGTCTTGGCCAAGTTTAAGTAGTTCTGAGAAATGGTCATTGGTCTTGCTAGGCTGCTGTTGTGTAGGTAAGGGGAGTCTAGCAAAGATCTCATTGGGAGTTTTTACATAAACACACCGTAGCATAGATGGCATTTTCAAACGTCATATGCTCAATAAATTCAGGGTATCTGATACACTGTTCATTCTGAGTTTGTCGAGAGCATCTTCTTCACACACTCGACAATGACGTTTACAGACTTGCGATGTGAGGAACACCTTCTCCACACTTGACAATGATGTTTACAAACGTGCGATGCTAGGAGCATCTTCTCCAGACTCGACAATGACGTTTACAAACTTGCGATGCTAGGAGCATCTTCTCCACACTCGACAATGACGTTTACAAACTTGCGATGCTAGGAGCATCTTCTCCAGACTCGACAATGACGTTTACAAACTTGCGATGCTAGGAGCATCTTCTCCAGACTCGACAATGACGTTTACAAACTTGCGATGCCAGGAGCATCTTCTCCACCCGCGACAATGACATTTACAAACTTGCGATGCCAGGAGCATCTTCTCCACACTCAACAATGACGTTTACAAACTTGCGTTGCCTGTGCTTCCACTCCTTGGCTGCTGTAGGTGAGTTAGGATCAATATCCAGACATGTGGGTCTTAGTAGCTGGTTCATGGTAAGCTTGAAATTGAGTTGATACACAAACGTTACAATCCAGATTTTAATAACCCGGTTGCTCACTCAGTTCTGTGGCTCTCACACCCGGGAATGTGGACCACGATTTTTTTTTTAGGATGGCGTCTGTTTACAAGAGCCCTGAGGAAGTTGATGTGAACCCCATGTAGCTGCGGGAGTTTTGAATGGAACGTGAAAAATACAAATACCTGGAGGCACGTAGCGCACCCCAGACGTGGGCCTGCAGGCACATTGTGCAGTTAAAGGGTTAAGTAGTAGTCAGGAAAAGTTGAAAATTCCAGCTGGGCAGGTCTGTGTGACTGCAAAATTCATGTTTTGTAATTGGTCCTTTCATTCCAGATGGGAATTGTTACCCAAAATATTGTCAACTCTACAAGAGGGCACCAACATCATCATTGATCGTTATGCCTACTCAGGGGTCGCTTTCTCCGCTGCCAAGAAGGTGAGCAACTCATAAACATTTTCTTATTTTGACTGTTAATCTATCAGAAAATACTGTATTGAGATCGTCCAATAGGATTAAACTTGCATCCAAGGACTCCCAGTCATATGTACAGTATACTGAACCATGATGAGCTTAAAAGTATCTCTCGTGGTTCAGTCGGTAATACCTGTACCTGGGGAGTCCAGGAGCATGCTTTTCATCGCGTTGTGCTATTTCAATACTTTAATGAACATATCCACACGGGCAATGATAAGAGTTCGAACCTACGCACGGGATGTTCCCAGATGCGCCTTAGTCAACTGTACCACAACATGCCGGAACAACTGTTGACATCTTCAAGAGGAAACTTGATTTATTCCTCCAAGGAGTGGAGGTGATGGGGTGATGTGGGGAGGCTGGCGCTGTTCGCTCATGCCTGGTCTCGTGATTTGTGGGAGTTTCAGGTCGTTTCCTTCGGCCTGCAGTGGCGTTGGGTGGCCCCTCCTCCTTCGGGGGGTTCGAGGCTGGCGGGGCAGGCCTATTTCCCCTGTGCTCGGTCAGGTTGTTTTGGAGTGGGTGCGCTTGGGCGTGGTCGAAACGACGACATCCCTAAGATGGGTTTCCCGTCTCTTTCCAGCCCCGAAACGGGTCTGTGCGGACCTGCGGTTCATTCTGGACTTGTCCCGTCTAAAACACTTGGGTTCATTGCCCCTCCTTTCGGATGACTACGCTGTCCCAGGTTTGGCTCCTGTTGGAGCTGGGCTCTTGGATGGTGTCCCTGGACCTTCGGGACGCTTGTTGGCACGTCTCGATTCATCCGGGGTTCAGGGACTGGCTCGGTTTTGTTGTGGGGATTCAGGGTTACTGCTTCGTTGTCTCCCGTTCGGGTTGAACCTGGCACCTCGCGTGTTCACGTGCCTTACTCGAGTCATGGTGGCCCGTATGCCTCTCTTCGGTGTTCGGGTGTTGTCCTACCTCGATGACTGGCTAGTTTGGGCTCCCAGGCGGTCCTCTTGTCTGCTAGCCAGGGATTTGGTTCTTTCCCAGCTCGCCGGGTTCGGATTCTTAGTGAATTGGAAGAAGTCCCATTTGGTTCCCTTCCAGGTTTGGACCTGGCTGGGTCTTGTGTGGGACTCTCAGACCGCTTCCTTGTCTCTTCCTCCGGGGTCTCTCCTGCGGCTGCGGTCCCGCTTGCACCTGTTTTTTAGGGGGGGCTCTCGGGTCACCCGACGGTTGCTCGAGGATCTGTGCGGGAGCTTGAACTTCGCGATGATGGTCTTCCCGCCGGATTGGGCTTGGCTTTGTCGGCTGGTCTGGTTTCTTCGGGGACATCCCTTCCACCTCTCTCACGATCGCTGGGTTCCGGACCCTCGGCTGCTGCGTCACCAACTTCTTCTTCGGGTTTTTCGGGGTTCAGTGCCTTGCCGCCTGCCTGTGCCCTCGCTCAATGTGTTCACGGACGTGTTGTCTCTCAGCTGGGGCTTTGTGACCAGTGCTCACCAGGCCGGCCAGGGGTTCAGGTCGCCTGCTGATCGACGATCCAGCTCCATTTGGACTGCTCCCCGGTGGTTCATTGCCTGAACCGTGGGGGGGGGGGGGTTCGATGTGGTCCTTTGCTCTTTGGCGCTGGTCGCTTCAGGTGACTATAGGCCATTGCTCCCCATGCCTCTTCGAGGGGGCCAGGTTGTGGCTCATGGTCCCCAGTAGGCCCACAGAACTCCATACACATGACTGATGCCAAAGTCTGACATTAGCATATCAGCCTAGTAAGCTCCGGGGAGCCTCCGGGTCACACCCAGAAAATGGCGTTTCATTACATTCAACGCTGGTTTTTTGTGATTCCATTGTGTAGAGTTCCTTTTACCCTAACATTTATTACTACTGTACCTCTATAGTCTAAATTTAGGGAAGAATTGGTTACAGGAGAGGAGACACATTAGGGATAGTGGGAGACAGCAGGAGAGGAGACACATTAGGGATAGAGGGAGACAGCAGGAGAGGAGACACATTAGGGATAGTGGGAGACAGCAGGAGAGGAGACACATTAGGGATAGTGGGAGACAGCAGGAGAGGAGACACATTAGGGATAGTGGGAGACAGCAGGAGAGGAGACACATTAGGGATAGTGGGAGACAGCAGGAGAGGAGACACATTAGGGATAGGGAGAGACATCAAAAGGAAAACCCCTTAGGGATAAGCAGACAAACAACAATTGTATAATGAAGATTAAGGCACCCAAGAGGTGGCATGGGCATGAATAGCCCGTAAGTGGTAGAATTTTTGTTCAGTAAATGTATACAGTGTTGAGGTCGCATTTAATTGTCAGGCTGCTATCGCAGGGAAGGATACTGCTTGACAGTATTTATGAAGGTGTCCAGCTGCTGGACACCTTTTCTGACCAGGAGAGTGGCTGTGTTGATGGCTTCAGGGTGGTTACTGCAAGATTCAGGGACTCTTAAAGCTCTTCTAAGGTTGTTGATTGCTTCACATTCCGGGAGATAGTGAAGTAGTGGCTTTTCTGTGATTGTTTGGCAGAAGATGCACTCTCTCTGTCGGGGTTCACCAATCTCCCAGTTGCATCTGTAATCTAGACGTAGTCTATATAACCGAACTGCTATTTCCCTGAGGATTCCTTTAGGGATATTTAACCTGTCTAACTTGGTGGCCTGAAGATACCATATTGCAGAGAGCGAACCTTCTGCTATTCTCTGGTGTACATGGGCTTTGTTGAGGTGTGAGAGTTTTTTGGTGATGATGTTTATGTTCTCTAGGCTGGGTTGGATTATTTTATGTATTACTGGATGCAAGTTGCCAATTTAGCAATTCCATCAACTTTCTCATTTAATGGGATTCCAACATGGGATGGGATCCAGTTTAGGGTGATATTGTGTCATTTGCCTTTAGTGACTGCTCCAAGATACAAAATGGTGGTAATAATTTCTACTTTGTCTTTCCACTGCTTTTTTCCTAATATTTGAAGTGCAGCTTTTGAGTCTGTGTGTATGATTGCATTTTGAATGTCTTGTGCAATCACATATGCAAATGCCTGTTGAACAAGTCCACAAGGGCCGTGATGAGGATTCGAACCTACGTCCGAGAGGATCCCAGATGCACCCTAATCGACTGTGCCACGATGTGGTAAACCCTCATCACGGCCCGTGTGGATTTGTTGATTTGATGCATCACGCTATTGTGATTTCTGTATATAATGAAGTAGGGGCAAGGAGGTAGAACAGGTTGTTGACAGAGTCCAGGAGTATGGGGGAATTGTGTAAACCCCTGGTTTGTGTCTCAGAGAGACTGCAGGATCTGTGTGAGGTCAGTAGAACTCCCGGAAGCAATTCTTTTACCATGTCGTGGCACAGTCGATTAAGGCTCGTCTGAGGTCCTCTCAGACATAGGTTCAAACCCTCATCATGGCCTTTGTGGACTTGTTCATTTGATGCATCACGCTATTGTGATTTGTGTGCGCACGCGAATGCCTGTTGTATGGCAAACAGCTCAGTTTGGGTTGATGATACTGGTCCTCCCAGTCTCCAATGTGCCTGTTCACTGTCTGTGCAAAGAGCAGTGCCAGCACTCTCATATTCTGTGTCAACCGATCCGTCTGTGAAGATGAACAACAGGAGAGGGAGTTTTGAAGAGTCCTTGTATATGACCTATAACCAAGTTTATCTGACACCCGCCTAAATACAAAATTTCTTCTTCTCGGAATACCTATTGATTATTCTTGAATTTAATAACACGGTTGTTTCGAGTTGGTTTGCCTCTTTTTTGTTTTGTTTTTGCAGTCTGGTACTCGAGTGGCTGCCCTCGACTCGACTGTTTTTGGATTTTGAGACTGGATTATGTGTTTTTACTGGTGCTTAATTATCAGTGACTACGGGGAAGCGAGATCTTGCTTTTATGCCTCGCTTCCTAGCCGTTTATACCTGGTGTACTAACTACCCCTCACAATATTAACGTTTTCATCATATTTCTTATTAAAGTTGTGGAATGGATCTGGCCTCAACAATCTCTTCCTACAATGCATTCCAATTGCTGATGTTTGTAGAAGGAACTAGAACTTCCATACATCTCTTATGACTCGGTTGTGTGTCCAGCCTCTACTGATATCCCCCGTCTTGCCTAATTTTAATTTAAATAGGCTTCCTTTATCCACTTTGTCAGTTCTCCCCATGATCTTGTATCTGTATAGTGATTATATCTCCTTTGTTTCTTGTCTAAGATTATGAGGGAGAGTTCCCTCAACCTGTCCTCATAGCCGAACCATTTTAACCGCCTTCACCTGAATCGGAGCTGTACAATCCTCAACTCTACCTGCTCCTCTTGCTGCTACTGCATTCCCTGATGCCCGTGGTAACTCCTGCTACTCTCTCGACCTGCTTCAGGACATGAGCTTGGAGTGGTGCAAGCAGAGTGACGCTGGACTTCCCCAGCCAGATCTGGTGCTCTTTCTTGATGTGTGCGAGAAGGAAGCCCAGACGCGGGGTCAGTTTGGTGAGGAACGCTACGAGAAGAGGGAGTTCCAGAAGCGCGTCCGGGATAATTATCTGCGCCTCAAGGACGACTCGTGGAAGGTAATTTTGATCTTTTTGTATCGACCTATTACAATGTTCTTAAGTGAAATACAGTATCCAAGACAGATGCCTAAGGTGCCAGTGACCCAGCTGTAGGTCACAGTGATCCCTATGATGTCAGTAAATAGCAGTTCATTGTCACAAGGTATAGTCGTTTGCATGTTTATTAATCAGTATATGTACTGTATTTTGGTTCGTACAGATTAGTGTGTTACAGTTCGCCTGGAGTGCATAGGCCTACAGCCATAAACAAAACTTACAGCTTACAATTAGAATGAGAAGAATACAGTTTGAAGGGTAACTAACATAAACTAATTTACCCATGAAGTTCTGGAAGAGGTTATCCTTACTGATTATCTCCTCCATTCTTCCTATTTTATTCATCCTCTTAATACCTCAGCATCATCTATATTCTCTCCTCTCTCACTCTCATCTCCTTTCTCCTAATCGCCTATCCTTTACCAGCAAAGTAGTGGTCACAGTATCCAAGAGCGACATTAATTCAACGTTAATGATTCAATGTCAGTGGTTTAACATCAGTGAGTCAACATCGCTGATGATTCAGTCAAGGAGTCAACGTTGCTCTTGGATTTTATACCCACTAGGAATTGTTCTCACAATTGATATTAAATATTTTCAGGTAATTGACGCGAATGAGAGTATCGAAAAACTTCAAGAAACCCTTAAGGAGGAAGTTCTTAATGCCATAAAGAAGGAGAAGAATGAGAGCATACAGAAGCTATGGGTCTAGCATTCCTGGCTTGGGGGAAAATGACTGACTGAATTACTGTGTATATTGTGAGGAACCACAAATTATGTTGTATGCTCTCTTATGAGCTCGAGCGTCCCCACAATAGAGATTGCGTTGATTTTGACACGTCATATGATGATGATAGTTGCCAAGTATGTGTTCATTTTAATGAAATATTAATAAACCTCTAGCTCTGCATGATTACAGAACTAACCTTCACACACAGCCACTAAGTGGCTCCCAGAACTGAAGGACAAGAGCTGTGGAGAAGTTAGAGGCATTAAATATGCCAAACTAGAAGATAGAAGAAAAAGAGGCGATATAATCACTACATACAAGATAGAAACAGGAATCGATAAAATTGATAGCGAAGACTTCCTGAGACCCGGAACTTTGAGAACAATAGGTCATAGATTTAAACTAACTAAACAAAGATGCCGAAGAAATATAAGAAAATTCACTTTTGTAAACCGAGTGGTAGACAGTTGGAACAAGTTAGGTGAGAAGGTGGTGGAGGCCAAAACCGTCAGTACTTTCAAAGTGTTATAAGACAAAGAGTGCTGGGAAGACGGGACATCACGAATTTAGCTCTCATCCTCTAACTACACTTAGGTAATTACACTTAGGTAATTACACACAGCAGCCTGAACTCGTGACCGTCCCCGTCGTCGGAAAACTGTTTTCTAGTACAATACTGTACTGTATACAGTACGTCAAATTGCGATGTGCTATCAGGAGGACGGGTTGCACACGCGCACACATACAGGTTCAGGGACACTGTAAGGAGTATTGACTGTATAAAAGTTGTACCATCTTTACTCTTTTTTTAAGAAGACATTGCAGTATACAGTAGTTTACTTGGGGTGATTATCTTAAAGCTGGTGTTGTACCACAAATGTAGATGACTATAATGATGTGGATATGCTGTAGCAGCCAGTACAGCATCCATTTGTATATGCACGTAATTTTTTTTAATTTCTCTAATTGCTGTGTCACCTAGTACTGTATAGTCATTATCATTGTACTTTATGGTGTCATTTTAATTGTACTGTACTATATGGTGTCATTTTAATTGCACTATATAGTGTCATCATTGTACTATATGGTATCATTATCATTGTACTATGTAGTGTCATTATTGCACTCGATACAGTGCAGTATCAATCTGGTGCTGTATTCAGAATGTCGTCAAATAATAAAACTATTGTGATGAAACTTTCAAAGAAAAACACCTTTAAAATTCCATTTGTCCTCAAATCATACTTTTATCAACCAAAATTAAAATTATATCTCATTATACATTTTTTATTTCTAACTTTATAATAGACAATAGTTCTCCTGTGCACACTAAATAAGTACAGGCGAGTTGAGTAATTTTTTAGTATATAATTTATTTTGTTGGGGAACAGGCAGCCTGTGTATATATACTTTAAGCTTGTATTAAGGTCCGTCCAAGATCAAACTATTGACACTTACCCAGGGTGGAACCCCACAAGAGTTGCCTAGCTCTGGGGGTACCTGTTTACTGCCTAGGTGAACCAATTTATTTGGTACAAGGAAACATGCCCATCTATTTCTGTCCCTGGGAATGGAGAGTGGGATCCCCAATTGAGAGTTGAGAACGAAGAAAGCTTCTGAGCCTCCATTTCAAGCATTATGAGAGGAAGCAGCAGTATCATTTTTTTTTTTACATATTAGCAGGAGGCCAACACCTAACTGTGAGGGGTTTCCAGCCTGTAGATGTAATTTTTTGGTGTTGACGAGTTTGCGTCTTGCTGCTGCCTGATGGGAAGTGAAGTGCACCAACGAGCAACCCCCCCCCCCCCCCCCCGTCCTCCGCTACTCCATCAGGTGCTTTGATGCATGACTCTACTGAGTGTGTTAATGTCTTAATATGGATTTGTTGCTCTTCATAGGGTCGACATTTTCCTAACCTGCTGCCTTTCTCTGAGCTGCGAAGTCGATTACACATTTTTGCAGGATTAAAATTCCGTTCAGATGTGTTCCCTATTAGCTGTATTAGGAGACTGGAAAGTATTTCTGGTTAGGAATATAAATTGGCTTGGATATGCTTAGAGGATCATGTTTGTATGTCGTCAGTGGTAGGATGTTGATTTTCATTTGCAAGACATTTTTGTTTTGGGCATTTCGTTTCACCCGCAGATTATACAATTCATAGAAATATATAGTTACAGCCGTTTTGTATCATATCCTTTGTAATAGGTAAGCCAGAGAAAGTGAGTGGAAAATATATTTTGACGTCTTGCAGTTCCTAATTATGTGGTTGAGTTGTTTGTCATTCTGGTGATTATGAAGTGTATTATAAGTATGTGAGCCAAGAGTTACTCGAGTGTCTTTGATTACATGTAGGTTATTATCAGGTGTGTGAATCTCTCGTGGAGTGTGTTATGGGTAAGGGGTTACTGTCTAGGTTAGAAGTCTCAAAACTGATGATTGTGTATGTCGGTAACTTTTAAACCTTATCTTATACCACTGGTGATTCTGATTAACAGCTTAAACCGGTTTGTATGTATGAGCAACTCTCCACAGGGTGCGTTACACAGTTGATGGTTTAACCTCCGCTATGTATATATCGCAGCTTTATCCAGACAATGTGTCGAGTACAAGTCATCGGTGTGTGTACTAAAACAGGATCCATCACGCATTATATGGCTGTGACTTAACGATAACAAGTTAAGTGAGAAGGTGGTGGAGGCCAAGACCGTCAGTAGTTTCAAAGCGTTATATGACAAAGAGTGCTGGGAAGACGGGACACCACGAGCGTAGCTCTCATCCTGTAACTACACTTAGGTAATTACACTTAGGTAATTACACCTCAGCAAGTGGCTCCTTGATGAAGTGTTTCTTGTGCACCACCAGTGGGAAGGTAATTACCTAAGTGTAGTTACATTATGAGAGATACTCTCATGGTGTCCCGTCTTCCCAACACACTTGTCATATAACGCTGTGAAATTACTGACGGTTTTGGCTTCCACCACATTCTCATCTAACTTGTTCCAACCGTCTACCTCTCTGTTTGTGGGGATTCTTTTGCACCACCGGTGGGTAGGTTGGGGGAGGGTGGATCCTGCTCCCATCCTAAGCTTGCTGTGACAATGCACAAGAAAATCGCTCTCCTGTGTACTGGCCATGCATGGTGACTCGTACATTCCAACCCCCACCATCCTGTGTTCCCTCATCTGGTAGTTGAGCCCACCCAGCTACTGTGGCCCCTGGGGAAGCAACATGCTGCTGTAGTGAAGAGACGAGGTTAAAATGAGGTTCAGTGTGGCCCACCTGAATCAAGTGGCTCGTCTAATTTGCCTGCCTAATCGGGTCAAGTGGGCATTGCGGGGTTTGTTCCCCTCTTTCCATCCCTGAGATATACCATTAAGACTCCAATGGTGGCCCCATGTATATTGCTGCAGTTACCCTTGCTTATGCATCTCCTTGTTGGGTTCTGCAGTGGGTGGGAGTGAACAACAGTGAAGTTTAATTTCACATTTTTTCTGTTTAATGCTGACTGCATTTCTCCTCAGACTCATGGTGTAGTAGGTCCTAACCACACTTTATTTTGGTTGCCCCCATTGGGTCCTCTCCCTTTCCCAGCCCCTTCCTCGACAAGGTCGACCTCCGAGTTCCCCAATGTTGGGGGAGGTTAGAGTCACATCAACTAAAGTGACTCCAACTTTGATGGTTAGTAGAGGGCCTTTAGTTCACAGTCTTCCAGGAGGTCCAAGGCGAAATCCTCGCTGTCTCGTGTAACAGCTGTTACATTTCAGGACTTGTTTGGCCCACTATGTCGTCCAAATATTGTATGTTGATGTCTCCCATGATGACAATTCCTGCTCTGATAATTTGTACACACACACACACACCTTTATTGACTATGGATGTTCATGTGCAGCTTACTTCCAGCCAGGCTGGCCACCGCACTGTAGAGGTCCCACTAAGGAGGCGGCTGCTCGCCTGGCTGCCCTATCTTGGCGAGGGCATTGGTTCAGGTCTCAGTCTTAATGAATACTGGCATCGGCTCATTCCTCCTTCCACCCCATGTTGAGACAGGGGACAGAAACTGTCATGAGGATATTAAGTTATGTCCTTGAGGCCCAGAATTATCTTGTCCTCCAGATGAACGCGTTCGCTCGGAACCTTACAATCGTCGTTATCGTCCCCTTAACATGGTCAAGGTAAATAAAATCCGACATCTATATCTTCTAAATAAGTAAATAAAATCTTCTCCGGTAAATAAAAGTCCGATTTCTGAGTCGGATGTTTCTGTCTTCAGTAATTCTTGGTGGTGCCAGATGCTCTGTTCAGGAATACATTATCTCAATAGGTGCTGGAAATTCGGGCATTGGCCTCGAAATCTGGTTGTGAGGTTTAGTTTGCCCCCATGTGTGGATCCTCGGACCACTGTAGGACAATGTTTTTCCCCCATACTTATAACATTCCTTAGCATCCTTGAGGGGTATTGATTTAGTGATCATTAACTGGCAATATTTAGCAGTGCAAAAACCATTGATGTTTGGCAATGTTTATTATTGTAATAATTATTTCCAAAATGCTATGGATGTTGGTGGCTTTGCAAGAATGTACCATATAATCACCAACACATACTGTACTTTCACAGTCCATTATAAACTCTTGTTTCTATATATATAGATAACAAATTAATAAAAGATTATTGTAATTACTTTCCCATGTTTTAATTTCCTTCGTTGCTTCCCCAGTTTCCCTAATAACTAGGAAAGAAATTATTGGTTGAAAGCACTTAGCAAAATGACTTGGCACTTTGAAGGGGTATGAAGATGAGGCTCTGGTTATGACCACAACGCAGAAGATGGAGTAAACGTGACATTTCCGTCTGTCCTGAGAGGCATTGTATAGGAAGAAATGATGAAGGAACGATTTAAAATCCCTTGGATCGTCGACGTGGCAAGAAGCGTGGACATAGCTCTAATGTCGAGATTGCAATTATGACCTAAAAGATTCTGGGTGACTGACAAATTCTCAAGAGGATAAATAATGTTACATGAACATTCATTCATTTATTAATTACAGGAACATTTATAGCTACAGTAGGTGTACAGTCAACTTTTATGTTGAGAGAATTGTCAAGTAAATTCTATAACCGGGGGGGGGGGGGGGGGGGGGGAAATAGCTGAATTCAGACAGAACCGTTAATTGTGTTCAAGAAATGTGCAAGCACTTCATGATGTACTACCAGAAATCTTGGCCATGTATCCAGAGTTTATAATAATTCATGCTGTGGGGACAGGAAGCCTTTGTGTATTAATACACGTTGGGCTTATATCCAGGTTCCTTCCCCCCAGGGTGGAATTACTGACCCCGCTCACTGTCTCGCCCGAGATTTGAACCTGGAATTCTCGATTGTGCATCGAGAACGAACCCAACTGTATTCCTGGGACCCTATTATTGTTGTTAATGCATGTGTGTATGACTGAGCTGCCGCCTAGTAACTTTGTAACTTGACTCATTGCAGACGTAAATTGCCTTGTATGAAGACTGTTCTGGGGTGCCTCTTTAACCACTTGTGAGATCCGAGAGAAAAGGCATTGATATAGGGAAGCTGTAGGTGGGTGTTAAAGTCTTATGGGATGAGATTCCATAAAGGAGTTTATGAGTAAGGAAAGGAGGAGGAAGACGAGTACTGGAGCTAACTGTTGAAAAGTGGGAAGCCAGTTCTTTCATGACCAACGCTGGATCTGCCATGACAATCATGGACGTGAAGGGCAGGCAACATGTCTGGAAGAAATTTACCTATTCACCTAGTTGTGCTTGCGGGGGTTGAGCTCTGCACTTTTGGCCCACCTCTCAACTGTCAATCAACTGTTACTAACTACTACTAACTTTTTTACACACATACACATCCCCAGTTAGCAGGGAGCCAGTGGCTGAGTGGACAGAACACTGGACGCGTGGCCCTGTGGTCCCGGGTTTGATCCCAGGTGCTGGCGAGAAACAATGGGCAGAGTTTCTTTCACCCCGATGCCCCTGTTACCTAGCATGAAATAGGTACCTGGGTGTTAGTCAGCTGTCACGGACTGCTTCCTTGGGGTGGAGGATTGGTCGAGGACAGGGCCACGGGGACACTTGAGCCCCAAAATCATCTCAAGATAACCATCCCGAAGCCCATAACAACTGTCTAACTTCCAGGTGCCTATTTACTGGTAGGTAACAGGGGCATCAGGGTGAAAGAAACTGCCCATTTTTGTTTCCGCTGGCTCCAGGAATTGAACCCTGGATGACAGAACTACATATCCAGCGTGCTGTCCACTCAGCCACCAGTGCCCTAAACGTGCAATCTTACGGATTTTCTTCCAGATCTGAGGGAAAGGGATGTTAACTGAAATGATGGAATTGAATTGAAATTGAACTAGAAATAAGCATATTGTCGAACATTCTGAGTGATAAACATATACATTTTGTCCTTTACACATGCAGTATGTTACCAGACGTACACACAAATACTTGTATGACTAGGTATACAGACCGTTTGCAATAGACATTCAGACAATTCAACAAAGTTAAAAAAATTTTGCACCAAGAATAAAGCTCTCCAGAATATCATCAATCTTTCTGTTGTGACACATCCAGGCTATTTGTTCAGGAACAGTCTTTATCCCAGTGTGTGTGTGTGTGTGTGTGTGTGTGTGTGTGTGTGTGTGTATATATATATATATGTATGTATGTATGTATGTATATATATATATATATATATATATATATATATATATATATATATATATATATATATATATATATATATATATATATATATATATATATATATATATATATATATATATATATATATATATATTATTAAATATGACCGAAAAAGTAAGATTAATAATTCTAACACGAATTTTCTCAATCTTTCGTACATTTCTTTTCACTGTTGGAGGTAAATCAAAAATCAATTCTCCAAAATTCATTTTTATTTCTAGTCTGACGCGACACGAGCGCGTTTCGTAAAACTTATTACATTTTCAAAGACTTTAGTTTACAAATACACAACTGAATACAACTTACGCATCTCCGATTTTATATCTACATTTGAGTGAGGTGGAAGGGGTGATGTGGCATTAATCAACACAAGACATGCCACCTCTTGTTCTGTCTTGTGTTGATAGCCCCTCTGAAAAAAGTGGGCTCATCTTGAGTTATAAAAATAGCTTCATGATAGAGCTCCAGCCTCACATTTGTGGCGTCTGCAGTTCAAGTCTCCGAGAGCCCAACCCAAGTGAATGAAATCAAGCCTAGCCTCAGGCTGGGCTTGGGTAGTAGAACAACTCCCAGAATCCCATCAGGCAGGTATCATCTTGAGTACATTTTAAACTGATATCAAACACCTCTAAATCAAATGTACCCAAATATATTTAATTAAAAATAAAAATAAAATGTCCAGGTAAAAAAGTAACACAATTAGTTACCAAGACTTTTCCAAATGACAGGACACTATGCCCAGTCAGGTTTATAACCTGGATGCAATAATATGTGATTTCTTACACTAGTAAGGTGCCTAAATCTTTTCCCACACTCTGGACATTCATGAGGTTTATCACCTGAATGCACTAACATGTGTGTAATTATACTGCTACGTTGTCTGAATTTTCTCCCACACTCGGCACATTCAAAAGGTTTCCGGCCCGTATGTACAACCATGTGAGTCTTCATACTTGATAGCTGAGTGAATCTTTTCCCACACTCAGGACACTCATGAGGTTTATCTCCTGTATGTATAACCATGTGAATCTTCATACTTCCACGATAACCAAATCTTTTTCCACACTCTGGACACTCATGTGGTTTATCTCCTGTATGAACGACCATGTGCTTTTTAACATCTCCAAGACGGACAAATCTTTTCCCGCACTCTGGACACTTGTGACGTCTATCCCGTGTATGCACAACCATGTGCGCCTTCATTTGCCAAGGATGACTGAATCTTTTCTCACACTCTGGGCACTCATTAAGTTTATACCCTGTATGCACAACCATGTGTATTTTCACATATCGAAGTTGACTGAATCTTTTCCCACACTCTGGACACTCATGAGGTTTCTCGCCAGTATGTTGAATCATGTGAGTCTTCATACTTCCACGCTGACTAAATCTTTTACCACATTCTGGACACACATGAGGTTTATCTCTTGTATGCACAACCATATGTCTCTTCACATGGTCAGGTTGACCAAATTTTTTCCCACACTCCGGACACTCATGAGGTTTATCCCCAGAATGCACAGCCATGTGCTTCTTCACATATACAAGATGACTGAATTTTTTACCACACTCTGGGCACTCGTGAGGTTTATCCCCAGAATGCACAGCCATGTGTCTCTTTACATGTCCAAGATGGCCAAATATTTTCCCACACTCTGGACACTCGTGAGGTTTCGTCATCCTTATATGTAGTTTGTATGAAGGTTATCCTGATGACTGCTGAAGTTGTCTTGTGACTTGGGGGGGGGGGGGTCTCCTGGAGACAACACTGCCGCTGGGTAGGATAATTAAGCAGAGTTGCCGGGCATGGTTGTTGTTAATCTTGGGGCCAGGAGGGAACTAGTGTCGGTGTGCCCAAGCGTTCCCGTGATGGGAACAACAGGAAGTCTTGCGGGTAATGGTGGCGTGTGGGTGGAAGGCTACTGTGCCTTAAGGGAGATAAAGAGGCTGCGAGGCAGATGCTTGGCGACCCGAGGCGTCCCCCAGAGAGGGAGGGAGGCAAGGGACACCCCCCCCCCACACAGAGAACCAGCTGGAAGACTATGGACCCCCAGACCGTAAGGCGTCAGGTATCCTGTAACTCTGGTAGTGGAACAATGATGCCCCTTAACGGCACAATCACGAACGATGGCTCCTCCTAAACTCAAGCCCAGTTGGGCAAACACGTCTTCCAGTGACCTTCAAGGAAGCATGGTATCGAACTGGGCCATTGAAGAGGAGCCAATGGTCAAAATGTGGTGACGTGTTACCCAGGGGGAGCAAGTGAGAGCTCGTCGTCAAGGATGTACCAGGAGTCTTAAGTAGTGTTGTCTGCTGTTTGAAACTGTTGTTGCGTTGATTTAGGGGCGACGACGATCGTAGGATGCTGAATGACTGTTGTGGTGATGGTATCGGTCGCTTGCGTTCCTGTGTCACCATCGTTTTCTTTGGTTCCTCGACTTTTCAATTACTATTGACAGTGAAGAAAAACGTAAGAAATATTGAGAAGATACGCGTTAAGAATTATTATTCTTACCCTTTCGGTCATATTCAACATTAATCAATGTGGTCCTAACTCATACACAACACAAGCATTACAAAGAAGCTGAATCTCACATCCCTGGAAAACAGAAGAGTAAGGGAAGACATGATAACCATCTACAAAATTCTCAGGGGAATTGACAGGGTGGACAGACAAACTCTTCAGCACGGGTGGGGCACGAACAAGGGGACACAGGTGGAAACTTAGTACCCAGATGAGCCACAGAGACGTTAGAAAGAATTTGTTCAGTGTCAGAGTAGTTAATGTATGGAATGCACTAGGCAGTGATGTGGTGGAGGCTGACTCCGTACACAATTTCAAATGTAGATATGATAGAGCCCAATAGGCTCAGGAATTTGTACACCTGTTGATTGACGGTTGAGAGGCGGGACCAAAGAGCCAAAGCTCAACCCCCGCAAGCACAATTAGGTGAGTACATATAACGTGAAAAACACACTAACGGGAAACATTAATAAATGTCAGACAGATTCGTTCATTGTTGCAAGTCAAACACTACTTTGAATTCCTCCGAAGTTGAACTCTTGCCCAAGAGTCCAATTCACACTCAGGAGTAAAATTTCCGACATTTCAGATATTTTGAAAACTGCAGGGGGTTTGGGCAAAATATGACCCATCGCCGTTTTCAGTAATTGGCATATTTTCGGTATAAAAAGTCGTAATTTGAAAATGAAAACAGGTGCAGAGAATCAGAATTCGGCTCAAAAATCACACACATATACTATGTGTATGTGTCAACAAAAAGGCCTACACACTATATAATAATAACAGAAAAATGTGAAAGACAAAATAAATGCTCGTTAGACTATTAGTCTAACGAGCATTTATTTTATAATGTAAAAAGCTAGTTATTTATATTGGACAGTAATGAAGAAAGATAACACAAAAGACACAAATATTTTTAATTTATACTGTTTAAGTAAAATTTAAATATAACAAAAATTTAAATGAAATAAAATATGAAGAATTTTAATAAATTATAATAAAAAAATGGGCAAATCTCAACATACCTGCTTATAAAACACTATTTTATTCCTATTGATAAAATAGGCTCATATTTGGTATATCTCAAACTTTTCTACTCCCAACCCAAATGTTTATAAATAGTTTATTAATAATATTATGTCCTTACCTTTGCAATCAGTTGATTATATTTTAAATAAATTTCTTAGCAGGACCTAAATGAGGGCATCTATCTCATACATTAAGATGATCATAATATAACTTAAATACACCACATTGAAGAACTTTGCCTTCCATAACAGTCTACACATCTCCTGCAAGGCTATGTAAACAAAAATACACTTGTGGGACTTCCAACTGATATAGAATGGTTTCCTAATAGTACACACAGAAATCACAATAGCGTGATGCATCAAATGAACAAATCCACAAGGGCTGTGACGAGGGTTTGAACCTACGTCTGAGAGCATACTAGACACTGCTTTAATCGACTGAGCTACGGCATGGTAAAAAGAGTTGAAACCAGAAGTTCTACTGAACTTACTTGGATCCTACAGCCTCTCCGAGACACAAACCAGGGTTTTACACAACTCTCCCATGCACTCAAGCTATGTCAATAGGTCGTTTTACCTCTTCTGTGTGTAATGAAGTAAGGGTGAAGAGGGAGAACGGCCTATTGACATAGCTCGAGTGCATGGGGAGCTGTGTAAAACCCTGGTTTGTGTCTCGGAGAGGCTGCAGGATCCAAGTAAGTTCAGTAGAACTTCTGGTTTCAACTCCTTTACCATGTCGTAGCTCAGTCGATTAAGGCAGTGTCTGGGATGTTCTCAGACGTAGGTTCGAATCCTCATCACGGCCCTTGTGGATTTGTTCCTAATAGTATATTGGATTAGTAGGAAGTTAATGTCTGGATAACCATCTAATACAATACAAAATTGCATTAGACAAGATTTATCCAACATACACACCATCATGTGCTGTTTAAAAATAATTTTATTACAAAGACTTATTTCACAAGACAGGACACTAAGTCATATCTAATTTAACACTTGGATGCAATAATATGTGACGCTTCATACTACTACGGTAGCCAAATCTTTTTCCACACTCTGAACACTCATGAGGTTTATCCCTTGTGTGCACTAACATGTGTCTAATTATACCTCTACGGTCTCTGAATCTTCTTCCACATTCGGCACATTCAAAAGGTTTCTGGCCCGTATGCATCATCATGTGGACTTTCATACTTCCAAGTTGACTGAATCTTTTCCCACACTCTGGACACTCATGAGGTTTATCCCCGGTATGCACAACCATGTGCCTCTTCATATCTCCAAGCTGAATGAATCTTTTCCCACACTCAGCACATTTATAAGTTTTCTGGCCTGTATGCACAATGATGTGGAACTTCATACTTTGAAGATGAGTGAATCTTTTCCCACACTCAGCACATTTGAAAGGTTTCTGGTCCGTATGCACCATCATGTGAGATTTCATATTTCCATGCTGATTGAATCTTTTCATACACACAGGACATTCATGAAATTTATTCCCGGTATGCACAACCATGTGCTTTTTCATATCTCCAACTTGACTGAATCTTTTTCCACACTCTGGACACTCGAGAGGTATATTCCCTGTATGCACACGCATGTGCTTCTTTACATGTCCAAGTTGACGAAATCTTTTTCCACATACTGGACATTCGTGAGGTTTATTCCCTGTATGTACAAGAATATGCTCCTTCAAATGGCCAAGTTGACCAAATTTTTTCCCACATTCTGGACACTCATGAGATTTCATCATCTTTATGATTCATAGAGTTTGCATGAGGGTTATCCCTTGATGACTGCTGGAGTTGTCTTGTGACTTGGGGCGTCTCCTGGAGACACAACACTGCCGCTGGGTAGGATAATTAAGCAGAGTTGCCGGGCATAGTTGTTGTTGATCTTGGGGCCAGGAGGGCACTAGTGTCGGATGTGCCCAAGCGTTCCCGTGATGGGAACAACAGGAAGTCTTGCGGGTAATGGTGGCGTGTGTGTGGAAGACTACTGTGTCTTACGGGAGATAAAGAGGCTGCGAGGCAGATGCTTGGCGACCCGAGGCGTCCCCCAGAGAGGGAGGCGAGGGACACCCCCCCCCCCACAGAGAACCAGTTGGGAGACTATGGACACCCAGTGACCCCAGAGAGGGAGGCGAGGGACACCCCACACAGAGAGCCAGCTGGAAGACTATGGACCCCCAGTGACCCCAGACCATAAGGCGTCAGGCGTCCTGTAACTCTGGTAGTGGAACAATGATGCCCCTTAACGGCACAATCACGCACGATGGCTCCTCCTAAACTCAAGCCCAGTTGGGCAAACACGTCTTCCTGTGACCTTCAAGGGAGCCTGGTATCGAACTGGGCCGTTGAAGAGGAATGGCTGACGGCAGCATCGAGATCCAATGGTCAAAATGTGGTGATGTGTTGCTCAGGGGGAGAAGGCGTGCGCTCGTTGTGAAGCATGAACCAGGAGTCTTAAGTAGTGTTGTCTGCCATGTTTGGTGCTGGTAATTGTTGTTGTTGTGATGGTGTCGGTCGCTTGCGTTCCTGTGTCACCATCGTTTTCTTTGGTTCCTCGACTTTGGCTAAATTATAATTTACCTGAATTTACCTGAGCCACTAACACTATTGACCTCGACGAGAACAAGAACCTGGCGGCTTGTCGACGCTTCTTATATTTGCCTTGAAATATATCAGTCACCTTCCTACATTACTCACAATATCAATAGTGTTGGCACAACACCAGAAACAAATACTCATTTGATATTCCAAGAGTACGACTTAATTTAACTATAAATACTCTACAAATCAAGGGATCCAGAATGTGGAATGACCTTCCCAATCGTGTTAAAAACTGTACCTCTCTCAACCAGTTTAAGATAAAAGCTAATTACTACCTAATAAACTCCCTGTAACCTACCTTACTTCTAAATGTCAACCCACGTCTGCTATTTTAAACAATGCTGTTTGTTGACCAACTTGTATAATTACAATTTTCTGCGATGTTCCCCCTCTTTTTGTTATTCCGTTTTTTCAATTCAATTTATACTCTAATCACAATTACTATTAAGTTTTAATCGCAAGTATTTTTTCCCCACACCTTGCCCGAAACGCTATGCGTATTAATGCCTTTAGGTATTGTATGTACTAGCTCTATCTTTTATGTACTAGCTTATGTACTAGCAGTTAGTATACGAATTGTTTGAGTGATTTTTGAGGATGAATGAATTTTGAGGGTTAATGGGTTCCAAGTCACTAATACAGCTATTATGTACCACTGGGACCCATGAGTGACAAGGTCTTCACATCGAGGAGGAAGAATACAGTACCGTTTGTATGTCGTGCCGGGTCGGGTGGTATTTCCGATGCAAACAGTAGTTAATTTAGAAAATTGAAGTAGCAATAAATATGTTGCAATGTGACTTTTACCAAATGTGAAGAGACTGAAACCCATTTAGAGGTCTAGATTGCCTCCATAAACATGTGGGGTTTAAAAGTTTCCCACAATATGTACACAATCAGGATTATTTAGTAGTGATATTAGTTGATTTCTTTTCCAATTATTGAAGCGAGAGAGATAATTATCAGTTTCCTTATGCTTAGCATTGTTAGTCACTAACGATGATCGTTCAGTGATCACTGCATGCTCATAATATTGAAATCAAGTCTTGCCTGAAATGCTATGCGTGCTAGTGGTTTTACAAGAATGTACTGTAAAATCAACTTCATTTCTATGTTCTCTCTTAACCCCCAATGTACCTTCTTCAATATAAATAAATAAATAAATTCTTTAACATTATAATAATTACTTTCTCATCAATTTTGTTATTCCCTTCGTTGTGTCCTCAGATCAGCAAGTAACTGAGAAGAAAATTATGGGGAAGACGCACTAAGTCAATGTGACTATATATAGCACTTATAAGGGATATGAGGATAAGGAGCTGGGATATGAGGAAAGTATAAAGGAACGGTGCCAGATCACCTGGACCCCCAGACATGGAACAAGTTTTGGGTTATATACTAAAAAATTCTCAGAGGACAAATAAAAAATGTTACTTGAAGCAAATTTGTATACTAATTAAAAGAACACTCATACTTAAAGAGACCTTTTAAGTAGAGAGAACTGTCAAGTTCTAAATTAGAATGAAAGGGCCATAAAGACGGCCCTGCTGCATTGTCTATAATAAAAAGCAATAATAACAACTTTACATTATTCACATTCATTAAAAAACAAAAACGTTAACTACCAGTTAAATGCAGGCAGCAAGTCACAATAATGTGGATGAAAATTTAACAGCCAATCCACACATCTGAAAATAAAGGGAGAAACAGCATTTTAGTCCATCCTGGACTAAATATATATATTTACTGGACTGATATATAATCTTCATAATGGTCCAGGACGAACTGAAATATTATCACTGCCTTTTTCTTATGTATGGGTTGGATGACCAATTATATCAATATTGGCTACTTCCATATCTTTCAATATATAAGCCTTAATAATAGTCAACATATATGCTTAGACCTATACTTAAAAATGAATATCATTTAATATAAATTATATATCCTTGTAAATAAATATGTAAATGAATATACGAATAATAACAGCAATTAGGCATATCCAAGGCGAGCCACCATGTTCACAATTTACCGAGGATAATATAAATTCTGGAGGTGGTTAATGCTAAAACCTGGCAGAAAGAAATGCCAGACTCGGATAAATATAATACCTCGATTGTGACTTTTAAACACCCAAGTACGACTAATGTAACTGCTAAAGTTAGGTTAATACATATTATATATAAATATAAATATATAATATAAATATATATGCCTACAGACAATATAACCATAAAAATGTGAAAGTAACAAAAAAAAAAAAAAAAAAAAATGCTAGTTTGACTAAAAAAAGAAAGTTGTTTATATTGGACAGTAATAAAGATAGATAACACAGAAGACAAGTATTTTGTAAACAAATCCACAAAGGCCATGATGAGGGTTCGAGCTTATGTCCGGGATGATCCCAGATGTTGCCTTAGTCGACTAGGAAACTATATATTTTGTATTTATACTCTAGACAAAATTAAATAATTTTTTTTTTAAATACGTACTCTAAAACAAAATTTGAAAATTTTTAATAAATTAAAATAGAAAAGAAAATGGATGAGTCTCAACATACCTGGTTATAAAACATTATTTTATTCCTATTTAATTTATTTTTAGGGAGTAATACTTGGTATATCTCAAACTTTTTCTACTCTCAACCCAAATGTTTATAAATAGTTTATTAAATATATCATGTCCTTACCTTTGTCTATTATATTTTAAATAAATTTCTTAGCAGGACCTAAATGAGGGCATCTATCTCTTACATTAAGATGATCATAATATAACTTATATACACTACATTGAAGAGCTTTGCCTTCTATGGCAGTGTACACATCTCCTGCAAGGCTATGTAAACAAAAATACACTTGTGGGACTTCCAACTGATATAGAATGGTTTCCTAAGAGTATATTGGATTAGTAGGAAATTAATGTCTTGATAAGCATCTAATATCATACTAAATTGCATAAATAATTGGACACAAGGTTTATCTAACATACACACCATTATGTTCCCTTTAAAATTATTTTTGGTTTAAAAGACGTGTTTCAAAAGACAGGACACTAAGTTACAGTAGATTTAACACCTGGATGCAATAACATGTGACGTTTCATACTATTACGGTAACGAAATCTCTTTTCACACTCTGAACACCCGTGAGGCTTATCATCTGTGTGCACTAACATGTGTCTAATTATACCTCTACGGTCGCTGAATCTTCTCCCACATTCGGCACATTCAAAAGGTTTCTGGCCCGTATGCATCATCATGTGGACTTTCATACTACCAAGTTGAGTGAATCTTTTCCCACACTCTGGACACTCATGAGGTTTATCTCCAGTATGCACAACCATGTGCTTCTTCATATCTCCAAGTTGACTGAATCTTTTCCCACATTCTGCACATTCACAAGGTTTCTGGCCAGTATGCACAGTCATGTGAGACTTCATACTTTGAAGATGAGTGAATCTTTTCCCACATTCGGAACATTCGAAAGGTTTGTGACCTGAATGTACCATCATGTGGGATTTCATACTTGCATGTTGACTGAATCTTTTCACACACACAGGACACTCGTGAAGTTTATTCCGGGTATGCACAACCATATGCTTCTTCACACCTCCAAGTTGACTGAATCTCTTTCCACACTCTGGACACTCGTGAGGTTTATCCCCCGAATGCACTAGCATGTGCTCCTTCACATGTCCAAGTTGACGAAATCTTTTCCCACATTCTGTACATTCATGAGGTTTATCCCCTGTATGCAAAAGAATGTGCTCCTTCACATGTCCAAGTTGACGAAACCTTTTCCCACATTCTGGACACTCGTGAGTTTTTGTCATCTTTATAATTCATAGAGATTGCATAAGGGTTATCTCCTGATGACTGCTGGAGTTGTCTTGTGACTTGGGGCATCTCCTGGAGACACAACACTGCCGCTGGGTAGGATAATTAAGCAGAGTTGCCGGGCATAATTGTTGTTGATCTAGGGGCCAGGGGGGCACTAGTGTCAGAGATGCCCAAGTGTTCCCGTGAAGAGAACAACAGGAAGTCTTGCGGGTAATGGTGGCGTGTGGGTGGAAGACTACTGTGTCTTACGGGAGATAAAGAGGCTGCGAGGAGATGCTTGGCGACCCGAGGCGTCCCCCAGAGAGGGAGGCGAGGGACACCCCACACAGAGAACCAGCTGGAAGACTATGGACCCCCAGTAACCCCCAGACCATAAGGCATCAGGCGTCCTGTAACTCTGGTAGTGGAACAATGTCGCCGCTTAACGGCACAATCACGCACGATGGCTCCTAAACTCAAGCCCAGTTGGGCAAACACGTCTTCCAGTGACCTTCAAGGGAGCCTGGTATCGAACTGGGCCATTGAAGAGGAATGGCTGACGGCAGCATCGATAGCTAATGGTCAAAATGTAGGGAGGTGTTGCCCAGGGGGAGCAGGTGTGCGCTCGTCGTCAAGGAGTAACCAGGAGCCTTAAGTTTTCCACTATGTTTGATGCTGGTAATGGCTGTTGTTGTGATGGTGTCGGTCGCTTGCGTTCCTGTGTTACCATCGTTTTCTTTGGTTCTTCAACTTTGGCTAAACTATAATATATGTCAGTCACCTTCCTACATTACTCACGAAACCAATATTGTGTCAACATAGTTTTCTTGTGTTCCTCGATATTAACTAAACTATAATATATATCAGTCACATTCCTGCATTACACACAATTCCAATATTGTATTGTGTCATCATCGTTTTCTTTATTGCCTAAATTTTGGGTAAACTATAATATATGTCAGACGCCTTGCATCACACAATACCAATATTGTGTCAACATTTCTTTAGTTCCTCATCTTCGGCTATACTATAATCTATGTCAGTCATCTTCCTTCAAATGTGTTTTCACCTGTATGCAGCGTCATGTATTTTTATCATAGATGCACGACTAAATCTTTTCCCACAATATGGATATTCGTGGGGTTTATCTCCTGTATGAACCATCATATGCCTTTTCATTCGTATTTTGTTGATTTAAGGGTGGCGATGCTCTTTGAATCAGATGAACCCTCTCGATGTTAATGATCTCTAGGATGACTGTTGTTGTGATTTCCAGGTGTTTTAGAGTTGTGAACAACTCTATGTGTCTCTTGTATATGTAGTTATCTCTTCTATGTAGTTATGTATCTCTTACTTAAACTGCTCGAAATGCTATGCGTGTTAGTGGTCTTGCAAGAATGTGCAAATACCAATCTTATGTAATCTCACCAACCCATTGTACCTTCTTGTGAATCAGTTATTATTATTATTATTATTATTATTATTATTATTATTATTATTATTATTACTATTATTATTATAAGGCAGCCCCTGAAGGGAACATGGTATCAAGAATTATAGATAGGTAGGGTATAGGAAACAATATTCTTAACAGCACTTGCTTTATTTTGAGCCAAGAACTTTGACACAATAATTGACACGTCTATTATATTTATATCACACACACACACACACACACACACACACACACACACACACACACACACACACACACACACACACACACACACACACACACACACACACACACACACACACACACACACACACACACACCCACACCCACACCCACACTCACACAATAACAACACAAGAAGCCTCTGAGGTTTGTCTCCAACTCAAAACTTTGCTCCTTGCCCGACACACAGAATAAGTAACCTCTTTAGAAAATGGGAGCCTGGCCTAAAATCTTAAGACATAATTCAAAGTGTTTCCATAACTGTGCGACATCTTGATAGTAAAGAGCTAAGTCAAATTAGCTTGCAAATGGTTTTGATAAACATTTGAAAATAAAAATAGTATTTTGTCTAAATAAAATAGTCAAGATTACGCCTTATCTCAACATATAGTCTTGCTAGAACACCGACACAGATATTTCACAAGACTGACTCCTTATATAAACGCTGATTTAAATATTGTCATTAGCTATCCCGTGCGTCAACAGTCACCTGTAATAATAATTCAATACTGTACGGTACAGTTCAGTATTGTAATAATACTTAATAGTACGGTACAATATGTAGTTTACATTCTGATAATTTAAGTAAACAACAACCAAAATTATGTAGACTGTTCCGTGCAATATGCCAATAGCGACCATATGAATAAGGGTTAAGGGAAGTAAATCCTTCTTAAAATATCTAAAAAAAAATTAATAATAAAGAACAATGTTATAACACCTACCATGACACTATAGTGGAATCTATATGTACAGAATATTTATTTATGTATATCCTTGCCTTATGTTTTCATGTATAATCATGTATTTATTTAATGTATATATGAATTTATGAATTATCTGTTTTTTAAAAGAAAGAACATAAATAAGTTATTTAGGCAAGTAGTAACTTGGTAAACAAAGAATACTATTTAGGTATGTAGTTACTTGCTAAACAAACACCCTTGTGTTTTTGGCACTTTTGAAAACTCCCACGATCGTCGTCGCCCCTAAATCAACACAACAACTTTTGAAAACTTATCATTCTCAACATAAATGCGTCTCCCAACATCTGTCCCGGTGCAGTCACCGGGAGGATAAACCCTTCATGTAAACTGCACCTACTATCAAGAAGAAGAGAAGTGTGTTGTCACTTGCTAAACGGACGTCTGGACACCACCTCCGCCTGGGAGCCCCCAGATGACGTTCTGTTTCGAGATTTTGGATTTTGATACTACCGTTTGGCATTCTTATTCAACGGTCCAGATTATTACGACGCCTGGCGCACATATCTGGTAAAAAATAAATTTGGTGATCGATGAGCTACGAAAGGTTGGCGACCGCTGTCTAGCTGACTCTCCCGGCGGAGTGATGGTGTTCAGGGGCCGGCTTGGCCAAGAGGTACTGGAAGCTGGTGGGTCTTGGTAGGCTCCTGGTGTGCCCTCAGCCGTGGTGGGCTCCTGGTGTGCCCTCGGGGCGTGGTGGGCTCCTGGTGTGCCCTCAGGGCGTGGTGGGCTCCTGGTGTGCCCTCAGCCGTGGTGGGCTCCTGGTGTGCCGTCAGCCATGGTGGGCTCCTGGTGTGCCGTCAGCCGTGGTGGGCTCCTGGTGTGCCCTCAGCCGTGGTGGGCTCCTGGTGTGCCCTCAGCTGTGTTTGGCTCCTGGTGTGCCCTCGGGGCGTGGTGGGCTCCTGGTGTGCCCTCAGCTGTGGTGGGCTCTTGGTGGGCCCTCAGCCGTGGTGGGCTCCTGGTGTGCCCTCAGCCATGCTGGGCTCCTGGTGTGCCCTCAGCCATGCTGGGACCCTGGTTTGCCCTTAGCTGTGGTGGGCTTTTGTTGGGCCCTCAGCCGTGGTGGGCTCTTGTTGGGCCCTCAGCCGTGGTGGGCTCTTGTTGGGCCCTCAGCCGTGGTGGGCTCTTGTTGGGCCCTCAGCCGTGGTGGGCTCTTGTTGGGCCCTCAGTCGTGCTGGGCTCCTGGTGTGCCCTCGTTGGGCCCTCAGTCGTGCTGGGCTCCTGGTGTGCCCTCAGCCATGGTGGGCTCTTGTTGGGCCCTCAGCCGTGGTGGGCTCCTGGTGTGTCCTCAGCCATGGTGGGCTCTTGTTGGGCCCTCAGCCGTGGTGGGCTCTTGTTGGGCCCTCAGCCGTGGTGGGCTCCTGGTGTGTCCTCAGCCGTGGTGGGCTCTTGTTGGGCCCTCAGTCGTGCTGGGCTCCTGGTGTGCCCTCAGCCATGGTGGGCTCTTGTTGGGCCCTCAGCCGTGGTGGGCTCCTGGTGTGCCCTCAGCCATGGTGGGCTCTTGTTGGGCCCTCAGTCGTGGTGGGCTCCTGTTGTGTCCTCAGCCGTGGTGGGCTCTTGTTGGGCCCTCAGCCGTGGTGGGCTCCTGGTGTGTCCTCAGCCGTGGTGGGCTCTTGTTGGGCCCTCAGTCGTGGTGGGCTCCTGGTGTGCCCTCAGCTGTGGTGGGCTCTTGGTGGGCCCTCAGTCGTGGTGGGCTCCTGGTGTGCCCTCAGCCGTGGTGCAGAGCACCGGTTTCTGCTCTGCTGGAGGGCATTGGATGACTCTTTGCATTTTAGTTGGGGGGGGGGCTGCATTTTTGGTTTTGCATCCCAGTGTTCTCTGTGTGGGCCGGGGCCGGTGCTTGCCTTCCTGAGGGACTCCTGGGGCTCCCCAAGCATCTCCCCATCTGTGTGTTTATTGGCCACGAGGCACATTAGTTTCCGCTGATGAGCAACATTCATTTCGCCATTTGGCTTTGTGATTAACCCTCCATGGGTATGCCGAGGTGCATCCGGTCCCGCAGTCGTCATCACTCCTAAATCAACAACAACAACAACACTTGCTAAACAGCTATGTTTAGATACATAATTACTTGCTAAACAACCTTGTTTACGTGAATAGTTACTTGACAAACAACCTTGTTTAGGTACATAGTTACTTGACAAACAACCTTGTTTAGGTACATAGTTACTTGACAAACAACCTTGTTTAGGTACATAGTTACTTGACAAACAACCTTGTTTAGGTACATAGTTACTTCACTAGTCAAAACAGTCTTGTTTAGGTACACAGTCACTAACTAAACAAACTGACCATAATTAGTTATTTATTGACTAAATGTAATTATTGACTAAACAAATCTCCCAAAAGATTTTAATGAAGATCATGACAAAATCTTTAGAATCTAATTATCAACCCTGAATATTGCAAATTGAAAATAGGCAGCTTTTGTAAAGTGAAAGGAGCACTTATGAGATAATTACCCTATGTGTCTTGAACATATTTAATTTTTTTCCATTGTTGGCAACAGGAAACCTGTACTTAGGCATGTATTGACGTCCCCCCCACTAGATCATACTAAAAAAAAAAAAGT